ATATATTGCGATTGCAACTTTACATTCGATTGTGTACAGAGCCTGTAGAGGCAAGATTTAGCTTCTTTTTGCACGTGGAGATATAGCGGAGCTATGTCCAACAAAGCATTTAGAGCGTCGCCTGGTGCCGAATGGAAGGCTCCCGTGATGATTAGACATGCCATCCGTTGTATGCTGTCTAGTTTACTCATAGTTGTCTTTTGTTTGGTTTTGTTACACCATACGACTGAGGCATATGTTATGATCGGCCTTACCACGGCGGTGTACATCCAGAGAGCCATTTTGGGTTTGAGGCCCCACTTGGCTCCAGCCATTCGACAACATATCCAGAGGGCCATTTTGGCTTTTTGTATAATGTTGTTGAGGTGAGAGTTCCAGGTCAACTTTTGATCAATAGTGACTCCAAGGTACTTTACCTCATTTGATAGGTTAAGGGTTTTGCCATTGAGTCTGAGTTCAGTCAGCCTTTCAAGCTTCCTTTTCCTGGTAAATGGTACAATAACTGTTTTATCAGCGTTTATTGATAATTCATTTTCTCTGCACCATCTTGTGATGGTATTGAGAGCTCCTTGTAACCTGGTGGAGATTGTGTTCAGGCAGGGACCTCTTACTACTACAACAAGGTCATCTGCATAGCCCTGTGTATCGTAGTCGAGATCTGCCATGATTACAAGTAGTAGGTCTACAGCTAGTGTCCATAATAGGGGTGAAAGCACTCCTCCTTGCGGACAGCCTCTTGTAGTGTGGAAGTTGTGCGAGTGTTCGTTTAACGTAACTTTCGCACACCGGTTGGAGAGCATATATTCCACCCATCTGGTGGTTGTGATATCAACACCTTTTGCATTTAATCCTTTCAGGATGGTTGCCGTAGGTGTGTTATCAAAAGCCCCCTCAATGTCCAAAAATGCACATAGAGCTGTCTGCTTATCCTCTAGGGACCTTTCTGCCTTGTCGACCAGAGCTACTAAGGCAGATTCTGTGGATTTACCCTTTTGGTAAGCATGTTGGTTGCAGGAAAGTGGTCTAGCCACAAGATACCTTGTTCTAATGTGCTGATCGATTACTTTTTCCATTGTTTTTAGTAGGAAAGAAGTAAGACTAATAGGTCTAAAGGATTTGGGCTGAGAGTAGTCTTTTTTACCGATCTTCGGTATAAAGATAACCTTGACCTTAGTCCATTGTTCTGGTATAATGCCCCAAGCAAAGCTTGCTCTAAATAATTTTACCAGATGCGGGATAAGGAGTTCCATGCCCTGTTGAAGCAGAGCTGGAAAAATTCCGTCTTCTCCTGCTGATTTAAATGGTTTGAATTTTTTCAAAGCCCATCTAATCTGGTTAGGCCTAAAAATGGTATTGGCCATCTTCCAGTCGCAACTATTTGCCCTGTGGATATAGTTTTCCTTTGGGTTTGATTCACTGCCGGTGATAGGGTACGATCCTGGGAAATGGGTTGCTCTTAAAAGTTCCAGCGTCTCCATCTCTGTGGTCGTGAAGGAATCGTCTCGCTTTTTTAAAAAGCCGAGAAAGATGTTTGGTGTCTTGGCAAGGACCTTGTGGATTCTCGCTCCTTTATGTGTTTGGGCGATATTCTCACAAAATCGTTTCCAAGATGCTCTTTTAGCTTTTCTGATCTCTTTGTGGTATTTAGTCAGAGCCTTCTTATACCGTTCCCACCCATACGGTGTAGTGGCCTGATTAAATAAGCGACGTGTGGAAACTCTAAGTCGTTCTAGCTTTTTGTTCCACCACGGAGTATTGTTGTTAACCTTGAGTTCCCTGACAGGACAGCTATTTTCATAGGCATTTAAGATGCCATCCGTTAATAAGTTGTTTAAAATGTTAAGGGAGTCGGGTGTCTTGATTGATTTTGGAAAATCCTTAGCTGCCTCAGCGAGCAGGTTTTTGAAGTCTACCCACAAGGTGGCTTTGGGATTTCTAAGCCTTTTAGGCTCAGTAGTTATTGAGCCTTGTATGCTAAAGACAATATGTTTGTGATCGGACAAAGAGTTTTCATTACTGACATGCCATTTACTTATGTGTTTAGCGATTTGTTCAGTAGCAAAGGTAATATCCAGAACTTCCTGCCTAGCTTTGGTAGCGAAGGTTGGATTACAGCCTTTATTGAGTATTTGTAGATCGTTAGCTAGGAGAAAATCTAAAAGTAACTCACCTCTTTTGTTGGTACCAGTACTGCCCCAGATTGTGTGATGGGCGTTTGCATCGCAGCCAACAATTAATTCTGTCTTGTGTTTTCGAGCGTAGTCGACGACTTTAGACAGTTCTTCGGTGGGGTTGGCTTTCTCTCCGGGCAGGTAGGCCGAGCACACCAGTGCTCTAGTTTGACCACGCCCTCTGAGAACGGTGATTGCAGCGACCATGTCATCACTGCAAAGTTCTGTAACAGGCAAGAAATTAATACCTTTCTTAAAAACGATACAGGCCCTAGGCTTGGTGCCATTTTCGTTTGCTAGGATCTTACCTACTCCATTTAAGCCCGAGATCTTGGACTTGGCGTTAAGCCATGGTTCCTGGACCAGCGCTATATCCATGCCATTTGCCCTAAAAGTTTTTTCTGCCACGGCTGTGGCAGCGATAGCGTGGTGTAAATTGGCTTGGAGTATTTTAGTGGGGGCGTCGCCAGTTGGGTGTGAAGCGCTACTGGGGACGGGCCCCATTGCGCTTGTCACTGCCCTTGCTGGGTCTGGGTCCCTTTTGTTTACGGGGGCGCTGGCTCTTGCCTCTGGGGGTTTGTCCACCCCTGGTGTGCCCCCCTGTACGAGGAAACCTGTGCGGTGTACCAGTCGCTCCGCTGGTCCCGGCCACAGGAGCCACGCCAGGTGCAGCAGATGGTAAAGGCGCAGCAACGCTGGCGTTTGCTCCAGCAGCCGCGGCCCCAGAACGAGAGGTAGACGGCACAGGTTCAGAGGGAAGTGTCCCAGGATTCGTTGGCGTCTGGTTGATGCCCTTAATACGGAACTGGACCGATTTGAAAGCCAAGTAGGCCTTCATGCCGGTTTTTTGAAGGGTCTCAACAGATTGGTCGTCGATGGAGAGGGTGAGTGTGATTCCGCCCTTCTCCGCCTTTTTGTTGAGAACCTTCCACAGTTCCGTATTGAGGCCATCATTTTGTATCCGGAGACAGGAGAGCGCCTGGTCGACGTCTTTTGACTCCGGATCAGGGATGTATACTACCCCAACCTTTGGTTTGGGCAAGTCACTCTCATTAATGAGAGCGAGCTTAGCTCCTGGCCACGGCTGTAGGGTGGGTATACAATTTTCAAGCCATTCTCTGGCGTGCTGGTTGATGCAGGTAATGAGCAGCCAGCCTGGCTTGAATGATAGCCCGCCAAAGGCAGGTCCCTTACCCTTCTCCGAAGTGGTGATTTTGGCCACGATCGCATTATAAAGTGACTGCAGATGTGCGTCAGTCATGGGAGTGGAGTCCCTCACACCAACTTTGGATGAAGATAAGGCCGCACTATAGGCAGCTGGAGGTGGTGGGGCCGACGGTGCTTCGCTCGACCTTTGGGACTTCCTCACTGGTTGTCCCTGTGGTGATTCCTCCTCCGAGCGGGTCCTTTTGATGGAGCGCTCGGGTTCTGGTTTCGAAGCATCGAATCGATACCCCATAGCCCTGAGTTCCGCAAAGGTTTTAGCGGACAGTTCGTAGGCTTTTGCAGCCTCCACTCCCTGTCCCCTAAGAGCCTTAAGGCGGATTAAGGCTGCCCCACTCAATCTTTTACGTTTGGGTCGGGCAGCATCAGAGGAGGTGGCAGCAGGGTTGCCAGTAGGTGATTCAGGGCTTGTAGAAGCCCCTATCGCCATTTCGGTGCCTGCAGTCACCTCCATTGGTTGCGCTGACATTTGGGCGGTTTCATCCGCACCCATTGTCAGCGGCATGAGGTCCTGGCACAATTCGTCCAGGGTTTGTGACGTGGTAACGTCATTTCTATTTTTGATGTTTTGGTCCTTACTCATATAGGTCCCACGAGCAGCTAGGGAAATAAAAATGCCCACCGACAGAGCCCCGCATGTCGGTGGGAGGACTTAAAATACTATCCGATTCGTCCAGGTGTCGGATAGCCACCGTTAGCGACTGAGCTCCCCCCCAGCCACGCATCCCTCGGCACGGTACGAATAACACCTTGGATTGGGTTCTAAACTAAAGCTATATATATACGTACATATATACTTCATAGACACACTTACATAAACATACATAAACATACATATATAAATAAAAGCGAAAGCAAGCGCTCGGTGTTTTCTGTTGCGTCTATTTCCTAGTGAACTAGACCAATAACAGGGCTGGCAACCTCGTGAAGGATAGTACACCGAACTTGCCTTGGGGATCTTTGCAACAAAAGCGTCACTCTCCCCCAAGACCAACGCCACCCCACCGTCTCTGAAGGAGACAGTAGGGTAGGCCTGCGCCTACACTACCATGCGAAGCATGTCGTAAGGGAACCGTGAAAGCATAGATTCAGGCCCGCCCCTTTTTACAGTATTCTCTGTTCTTGTAAATAAATATTATTAATTGTCACACGTACGTTTTGACGCTTATATATATTATACGCTATGGAATAGACTTTTTTGAAATTTTCTTTTTCGTGAATTTTTGCGATTTTTAATAGTTGTTTTGCTATTCGGAGTGAAGACAAATCCAACAAAACAAAGATCATAAAAATCGGCTAGGAGTTCTCCAGTTATAAGTTTTGTAACAAACTCGACTTTGTTTTATATACTTATGATATTAGACAACACCAATACTGGACCATAGATGTTGTACAACTGTACCTTGATATGTAAATGATGAAAGTTTGTATCAATAATGAAATTGTGGTTTAAAATACTGTTTTAAATGCTGACTGGATGACCACGTAATTAAATATAAGACTAAAGGGCTACTTCTTTGACAATTTTTTATAGCACATCACATTACATTAATGATTTTTTAAGGGATCGTATCCGGAAGAAGTACTTTTATATTATATTTATTACCAGAAAATATCATACAATAATTTGTACCATGGCTTTGGAGGTTCTGGCTTATAATATTCTGAATTTAATTTAGGAGTCATATCATCAACTGGGTCTTCTTGAAAAGCATTTACAAACGCATTTCTTATGCCGAATTTCCACATAGCAAGATATGGAATATAAGTTGCGACAAAAATAGACCATTTATGATAACAATTAAAAAACATTCTGCCATAATAAGTTGAATACAAGCTTACGACGATATTATTGAATGCAATTTTGTATTTTCCTATAAATGGAAGATTTTTATAAGCTGGTGCAATATCTACAGAATCGTAGTCACGAAGATAAAAGACGTTTTGTTGTCTTGGCACTGCAGATTGTATAAGGCACTTCTCCATTAATTCAGATGCATACACTCCTGAAAAATATTTTAAGTTTAAAGTATCGAAAAAATTGGCCAAGCGCTTCTTTAAATTCTATTATTTTCTATTTATAAGCATTGAAAAATAATACAAATAACATTCCTATTTTGTAACGTCACACGATGCTACTAAAAATGTTCTTTTATCTATAAAATTCCCTCAAACTTTGTATGTATACTCGAAAAAAGTAGAGTGTGATAAACAAAACTTGATTCTATATATATGAGGATTTTTTATCACTCTTCTCTGGCACACTCAATTAAATACCTGAATTAAACCTTGGTGATTACTAAGGTTAGTTAAGATTCACATCAAATATCCTTTTTTAATCAAACTAGAAACACTTGTGAAAAAACGTTTAGTACTTTCAAAATTATTATCTCTTAAAACAATATATCCTAAAGATAAATCCAGGAAAATCGAAAGTCTTTCGCAGTGTCAAATTACAAAATACCTGTATGTTCTGACCGCCCTTTCAATATCTTTTTTAGCTTATTTTGAAAAATATGTCTATCTTCCTCCGTATATATATATCCAGGGACATCAGATAGGTATCTAACCAAATAGGTCATTGATGAAGATTCTAGAGCCTTTAATATGTAGCTCATTCCCTCTATCATGACACGAGTAGAGTGTTCGAAATATTCTGGAACATTCTCCAAACATGGAGTATACACCCGTTCCAATATGATTTGCAATACTTGGCGCGTCTCTTCATAACTGTTTCTACATATGTTATATCTGTAAACATATCGTGCATAATTTAAATTCAGAGTAGAAATATGAAATGATATTTTTAGGCATCAAGCAGGCTCTTTGTTAATACACACGACCACACGTTTTTATTTTTTTCGTACTTGATAGGGTCTTCTCGATTAATGGAAGGGTGTTAAGTTGAAGACGCCAAAGAAGACCATACACTGAATGAAGAACTTAATAATATATATCAAATAAAAATAGTGTATCAGGTTATCATTATCTTATAATCGCTATTACTAATTTATTACTTACTAAAGTATTTTACATTGTAAATATAGGTACATAAAAATTAAAAAAATACATACTTATCCTTCAATCCTATCATATGTCCGATAACTCTCCAAAAGTGATTAGAGGCCTCCCAGTCACCTTCTTGGAGTTGATTTATTCCAAATTTGTCAGGTTTCAGGAAAGAAAATCCAATAAAAAAAACAACGCGAGAGATATATCTCGCTGAGATATTGTTCCTATTTCCTTTAGCTTAGCGGTTCGACCAGCAACTAAGTGCCGCTTTCTAACAGTATATAGTGACTTCCATGATCTAAAAAATATACGTAAGATAATTTCACTTACATATGCATTCATTCATATTATATACAAATAATTGATAATTAGTTATTGCCAAAATTAAATCAAAGCTTAAGTAGATTAAACTTTTTATCGACCGAAAGATTCTACTAGCAAGGTCGGGTAGTAAATCCGGGTGTATTTAAAATTTAAATCATTAAATTTCAATTTTAAATGATAGATAATAAAATACTTACTCTGAGCCAGGCTTAAGTTCAGATTCCATCCATAAATTTATATGTATATATGTTGAAAAATATATCCTGTATGCGGTGTAGACAGAGTTGGAATGTCGAGTAGAGACCAGAACGTCTAGTATCGTTTTAATTGAGAAAACAGCGACCAGACCGGCTACCATAGATGCTGAAAGCATGAAAGAGAAGTCTGCATAGAAACGCCTGCCCCTATAATAAAGTATTACTTTTAAGGTCCATTCCAATTTAATATTATTTGTAAGCTGATAAATAGTTATCCAATAAATAAAAATATTTTTAGAATGCGTTATTGAATACTGAAATGCGTCTGTATTGTGATATACGAGTATCATAACAAGATTTAACTATTATTGACACAAATAATTGTGTATATTATTTAAGTGAGTAAAGAATTTTTGAATCGCAAAGGAGGAGCTATTTCAATTTAGTGTTTTTTTGTTACTATGCATCTGTGGTACATTGTTTATATCCACATTCTCTTAGGTCTATTTTATCTTACTGGTTATATTTTTTTTCATCGAACCATTCGGGTAGTTTCATTTCCAAATCATCAACTTTTTGGTCATAGGAAGGCTGCTCATACGCCTCTTCACTGAACAATCCATTGATGAATTCTTCCACTAAAAAAAATAATAACTGTTAAAAATTTATTTAATTTAACCCATTATAGATATCGAGTAGCATTTACATAATACTTTCTTAGATTTACGAAAATATTTGACATTTTCAATTTCAATTTTATATAATAAACAAACACTACAATTCATCTGTTTTATTATATTGCCCAAAATAGGGTAGTAATTATTCATACTGACCGAGATAAGGTATTAATCATGCAACTTGAGAAGACCGGTCATAGCGACCGGGCTTCTCAAGTTGCCCGTAACATATACCTAATTAGCGGCTTACCCCGTAGCGTACCTAACAGTTTCGGAGATTAGCCCGTCCAAACCGACTAACAGACAGAGAAACAAAAAAAAAATGAAAAAATCTGGGTTAGTTATATATTTAGCAAAGTTTCAGTCAATGCTACGAAACAGAGAAAGAATCTATACTAATATTATAAAGAGGTAAAGTTTGTTAGTTTGTGAATTTATGACATTGTAGGGGGTGATCTCTGGGTCTACGGAACGATTTAGATGAAATTTGGTAAGAAGATAGTTTGAGACCCTGTTAAGGACATAGGATACTTTTTATCCCGGAAATCATCCCTTAGGGGGGTGAAAATGGGGATGAAAGTTTGTATGGGGAATCAAGCTAGTGACGAACCCGATCGAAGCGAGGGTGAGTCGCTAGTACTAAAATAAAACTGTAGAGGTCGAATGTCTGTACATAGAAAAAAATTTGCTAAAAACAGGGTCAGGGGGATGTAAGAAGAGAAATAGAACAAATCCAGTTTTTTTTTTCATTTTTTTGTTTCTGTCGGTTTGTCTGTTTGTACGGACTAATCTCCGAAACTATTGGACCGATTTCAATCAAATTTTGCATGGTGGTACCTTATATCCCCGGTCAAAATCTTAGATACTTTTCATCCCGGAAAATTAAAGAGTTTCTGTGGGATAGTTAAAAACTACAGTAACTTATACAGCTTAGCACACAAAAACTACTGATTGAATTTACATGAAACTTTACAATAATATAGTTTACTTTACTTTACAATAATATACAATAATATCAGAATAACGAATAGGTTATTTTTTATCTTTAGATAAATATAGAGACTTTAAGAAATGTTCGACGTGATTCTTTAAATTGGCATCACTTTTTTATTTATAAACCGATTGACGTGAAACAAACATAAAAACATAAAATGTTAAGTGAAGCTTACCACAATATATTAATGAAAACCACATCTAAATCGGATAAGCCGTTTCTGAGATTAGCGTGAACATACGCAAAGACAAACAGATAACCAGACAAACAGACAAAAATTCTACCAATCATTGTTTTGGATGCTATTTGCGTTGATAAAGGCCCCAATAATATTTTTTCTCATATATCTTCCATGTACAGACAGCGATCCGTTACATTTTTATTATATGTATAGATGATGCGATTATTTGGCCAGTGATCGATACAAGTTCAAAGTTAAGTGAAGCACAATAAACATTTTTTTACGTTTCAACTTAAATTATTTATTAGTAAAATATTTATTGAAGTTCTCTCTCTTAACTCATTGTCTGCTTCTATATATATGATTTGAGATCATAACATTGAGCTAACCTAAATTATAAGGAGCACTGTTACAATATTCGGGAAATTAATTTCTATATTTATTTTGTAGTTACTAGTAAGATGTGAATTAACTCGCATGTACAAATATTTTAAGAAGTTAGTACTATTTTTATGATTTTTAATAAGTAAGATAAATTTTGGTCTTATTATTTATCATGGTCTCAAGTTAACTAAGAATTCATTTTTAGTATGCCTTATAACGGCTGGTACCGAGTGCAAAAATATCTGATTAGATAACTAATGGAAGGAAAACAAGCCCCTTTCAGCTATTCAGAGACAACAAAAAAAAATTGAAAGAATTAAAAAAGGAACAAAATAAGTGATTTAAACGAATAGTGATGCTTGGTGTGCAGCGAAATTTATGAAGATCCACCAACAGAAGACTGGATAAAATGCGGAGATTGTGGAATGTGGGCATGCATGAAGCTTGCACTTTATACTCAGGCAGAGGTTCCTACTACTGTGACATGTGTCAAAAATATTTTTTTAGTAATTTAAATTAAGGCTCATTCGTGCGAAGACTGTGATAATTATAAAACAAAAACTGTTATTTTAAGTTCTAATTAGATATTCAAATTGATTAATCTAATTATTTTGACTACTACCCGTTATACCTAAAAGTCTTACCCGCTTTATACATATTCCGGGGCAAAACGGGTTTCTTAAGGTTTTACTTTTTGGATAATTTTTTTTTGTAATGAAGATATTTTTTTGAGTTTGAGACTGATTTGTTAAAGTTAAGTAGGGAACTATGATTATTAAGATAAACGTTCAGAATATTATATATTAAGAATCTGTTTTTTTTATCTAAACTTAGCTTACCCGTTTTGGGCAAGTTTCCCCTAAAGTAGAGAAAGTATAGAAACTGCTAAAAATATACCATATGAAGATGACCCTTTGAACTAATTTTCTATTAAATAGCATAAATATAAAAAAAAAACATGTGTTCTATACACGTGTTATTAATGATTCTAAAATTAAATTAAAACTAACCTGACAGAATTGATTCCCTACTTTTTGTTTGCTCCGCTCGGGTTCGTTTTAACGTTTAGTATAGATTTCTCAGAGATGAGATATTTTCCCGCAGTAAAACGTATTCTATATCTTGACCCGGATAACCAACTATCCTCATGCCAAAGTTTGTCAAAATCTCTCCAGTGGTTTTCTCGTGATGCGGTGACAGACAGACAGACAAAAATATTAAACTATAGATTCGGACTCTGTATCGATAATAATATCTATTTCAATTAGATTTTCCAAAAAATATTTAATGTACAGATTCGGCTTAGTTACAATTTCATTTTATGGAAAGATGTTATATAGGTTTTATAAATAATGTCTACTTACCGTTTGAATCCATAATAATTTAGAAGAGTCCTGCAAAAATTATAAACTATTCACTTTTAAAAACTCAAATGGCATGTATGTTGTATTATTCCTTAAAAAACATTTAACAGAACTAAACTAAAACTACCAAACCAAATGAGACCACGCGAATATTAACAAAATGTAAATGAGGGTTATTCCACACGACAAATGTCCGCCGGTTAGGAACAGCAAGGGACTGACTGTTCTGCTCTTCCATTATATAGAAACTTATATATCTACTACGACATAACTGTGAAACGATATAAAGTCTTGTCCACACGCCAACATTCCCTGAAGTCGAGACAGGATACGCATTCAAAATTGATACTGATATTGAAATATAAACCAGACTTCATATTTACTAAATCTTCTAGTGACTTTTTAAAATAAAACTATCTTTTCGGATTTTTCCGGGACATTTTTTCGGAGATTCCATCGTAACTATGATTGCTGTAATGTATTCGAAACATCAGGAAACAAAAATCAAAATAAGTTCGCAAAGAAATCCGAAAAGATATTTTTATTAAAAAATGTTAAACAATCTGCGGTTGGATTAGATCATGTTTCAACAAGCTAAATAAGTTCAATATTTTTCTGGCCATCTAACAACAAACTCAATACCAAATTTTCAGGAAAATAGTCATCTGTTTTTCTGAAAAATTTGGATCGTACATTGAAGAACAGGTTGAAAGATTCCCCATTTTTGACACCATTTTTTGACTTTTTAACGTTACTCCTTATAACATCAGCTATCTTCCAGTCTCGTCAAAATTGGTTCTGATGTTTATATATAAATAATAATAATATTTTAATTGTGCAAATTATCTGATTACACCAAAACATATTACCTAGTTAAGTATTCTGTACTCGGTATTCTACCGAATAGGATAAAAGTGGCCGAAAAGGCCGAATACCTAATAATAGCCGAATATTAAATTATTAGTAGATCATCATTCATTCTGTTTTTTTTTTTTTGTTTTTAAATTTAGAGTTATTTGGATAAAAAACTATTTATTTGTAAGTTTTAATTTTCGATTATATGACAGGCCCGATTTGGATAACGTAGGGTAAACCTTATCCTTTGGTCTTTTTTTTATTTCAAACTCAGGATCCCCAATATCATAATTGTTTTATGTTATTTAAGATTTGGTGACACTTTCCACTCGAAAATTATACGGTATGAAGATCGGAAGTGTCAAATTTTTTTGACGACACGCTCCCATTTTTGAAAAAATGAGAACAAGATAAATACATAAAATATTTGTGGTTTATTTTCTCTTATCATTATTAAGTAAAAATATACCTATTTTTTTTAATAATCAGTAACCGGACTAATAAAAATAATACTAGACGTACCTACAGTAACTATACTAATAAAAATAAATTATTCATATAGTTACTGTATCAATAGGGTCAACCTATTTAATATACAAAATATGTTAAGGACTATGGAAACGACATATTCTACGTAACATATAGTTTTAATCTTTGTTGAAGAAATCTGAACTTGGCTAAGATGTTACCAGACAACTAGACTGTGTGGTTTTATTAAAACTGGTTTGAATATACTCGTACATAAAAAAAATATGAAAAGTCTAAAATTAAAAATTGGATTAAATTAATAAATAATTCTTTTCGACTTCACCCGATGATGCAATGACTCAACAGTGCAGCGTTCGCGTATTCTCGCAATTTAATATTCTGTTTTAATTAACTTATCTTAATTTATTACAAACCAATTATATACAGGTAAATAAAATTGAAGTGTCTGCGTAATGCATATGATATTATATACGATACTTACAAGAAAAAATTTTTTTTGTCTCTCTGACTTTATTCCGGCTAATCTCCGAAACGGCTTTTGATGGGATTTTGATGGGGCTTTCATTGGCAGATAGCTGTTATAAGGAGTCACTTAGGCTACTTTTATTTTAGAAAAAAGAATTACAGTTCCGCCCAAAACGTTAAAACGTACTTAGGGACGTACCCAGGGACGGACCCGAGGGAAGCAAAGGTAAGTCGATAGTATTGTAATAAACTACAGTATAACTACCAGTAGTGTCAAATTAGATAAATTCTATTGCATTAATTAGCGATAATGCCTTTACTTTCGTTAAAATGGAACACTAGCTAAATTAAATTCAATACTGTGAACCTTTGAATTTTATTTTGAACTTTCAATTCTTTTATTAAAAAGGATACAAAGTTGTTTTAAAAAAAACACATTTTTCCTGTAAAGGCAATATTGAATATATTGCCTTTACAGGAAAAATGTGTTTTTTTTTTATTAAGAACAGAGCTAACTTTATTTTAAATCTTTAGATTGCTGAGTTTTAAAGGTAACGAAAAAGTGTTACACTGTAATAATAATATAAGTTATCCATACTTACTTAATATTATAAATGTGAAAGTGTTTTTGTTTGTTTATTTGTATGCTTGTTTGTTTGTTTGTCCTTCTTTCACATCGAAACGGAGTGACTGATTGACGTGATTTTTTGTGTGGAGGTAGTTGGAGAGCTGGAGAGTGACATAGGCTACTTTTTATTGCAGGAGATTATCTCACTCCTACGGGAAAACAAGTTAAAAAAATATATTTATGATCAGAATTACTTGAAACTTGGTATTAATGCTCTTCAATACAATTAAATAAATACGTATTTTAGCATTTTTCAAAATTCATCCCATAAGGGAATAAAATAGGGGATGAAAATTTGTATAAAACCTACCATTTTAGATTTTTTTTGTAGTTTTAGCGCGAGCGAAGCAGCGGGCTTTGCTAGTAATTATACAAAAATAGTATTTATATTTTATGTCTTTAAACGAGCAATTCTTGTATATATATAATCTGAATCTCGGAAACGGCTCCAATAATTTTCATGAAATTTAACATGCAGGGGGTTTCGGGGGCGATAAAACGATCTAGATTAGTCTTATGTCTGAGAAAACGCGTATTTTCGAGTTTTCATGCGGTTTTGTTTCGCATTATTCCACGCAAAATATGGTCGCTAATTCGCACGCTAGGACATAAGCAACGTGGTAAGCGGCCAAGTTTGACAACCATAATTGTCTGGGTTCGTATGTTGGTCGGATACAAAGTTTTTACTTTTGTTTTTTTTTGTATTTATTCAAATTTTTAGTTTGTTTTTTTTTTATATGTTATACTGGCCAAAAACTCCGAGCGGAACTCGGTCGCCCAGATACTGAAAATAAAATACGGAATGTGTATGCTGAATATATCAAATATTTTAAATAAATTATATACATTTAGAGTTCTACTGCGTGTTATTTATTATTTAGGGATGTTCAAATGAAACCATGGCAACAAACAACCACGCGGCCGCGCTCTGGGGGCGGGCGCGGGCGCAAATTTGCTGACTCCGCTACAGACACCACGTCGCGACATATGTACATAATTAAAATAAAAAATAAATAAAAAACAATAAAAAAAATTTCGACGAAATTATATGAGAACTGTGAGGTAAACCTAAAAATCAATTAGATACATTAGTAAAACAAAGATATGTACGTTCATAGTAATAATTAGCATTTTTTTTGTGCACCGTCTTGGCCAAGTGCAGAATGACGGAACTGTCATGTCTTTTGAAAACTTGCTAGATTTCTTCAAAATGTTTTCCATCACGGTACGGAAAGTGAATAAGATTCCTTAGTTTTTATATTCAATTTTCAGAACACTATCGCTGTTAGACAGTTTCCCGAGCTATCTTGTATTTTACGTGTTTGTAATTTACTTTTGTTAGTTTACAGTTATAAAATTTTATGTCCGCTTTTTAGTATTCTTATATTACTTTTGTGTCTTCTTTCATGATTGCACTATTTATATCTTTACTATATTTTTGTATTTTTTGTGGTGTGTTCATTGCAGTTTTTAAATTCTCTTCTTTTGGCTAGGGTCATAAGGTGTTCCGAGATTGGGAATACAGTATTTAGAAATTTTCAATATATTATGTATACTACTCACCCTCGCGTCACTTCGGGTTCGTCCCTAGACAAAAACAAATCAATCCCACGGAGACCGTACATTTTTCCGGTATTAAAAGTAACCTATGTGCTATACTAGACTATAATCTATCTCTGTGCCTTTTATCCACATCCGTTCAGCCGTTCTAGCGTGAAAGAGCAATAAACATTTATTAACCCATCCTCACAAACTTTTACATTTAATATTATCGACGAAACGTTTGGCTCAGTTTGTAGTGACCCTACTTGCTGTGCCAGCGGTCGCGGCAATAAATTTGTGTGATCAGCATGAAATACGAATGTTTGTACTCCAATCATGAGTGTTTGTTTATATTTATAATATGTATGTATTTAATACTTATATAATATGTGTCGTGTACCAACTATCTTTTTTTAACGTTGGGAAATGCATTTACGCACGAGGTGTGGGACTCACCGGCAAAGTTAGTACTACCCACTAAAACCCAACAAAACCTTCCCCCGTCTTAATGGGGCGTCGCAGGATCGCTTACGCATTCAACTACGACGCCCCAACGGCAGGTCTGCTGAGGCAGACCACAACGACCATGGGCTTGCTCCAAAGTCCACTCTGCTATCAGAGAAGTACCAGGAGCAACCCGCATGGTACACTGCCCTCCGAAGAGGGCCACCTCCCAGCGCCCACCGAAGTAGGCCACCTCTCTGTGCTCTTGGCTTCGCGCCCGGCTGTATTGCCGGGACTACTGAGCCCCCCACCACGACAAGGTGAACGCACGTTGGAGGGGTGTACCAACTATCTGCTATGAGGTAGGTAACTTACCGTGGAACTAGATGTCGCTGTGTGTTAATGTCCCAACATATTTAATATTTTATTTATTTACTTCTAAGTAAGTAGTTGTATACAACTGCATTACATAAATTGGAATCGAAGGTGCCACGTGTTAGCTCTTCGTATTCCTAATTAAGGTTAAAAGCGCCGATGAATAGTCAGTCAACCTTGTCTCGATTTTAAGGTATAATAGAAGTATTTTTTTCGTGGACATCCTAATATAAAAAACTGAATAAATATAAGAAATGTAACATTTTTGATAGAGACTAAACTGTAATATATCTTTATAAAATTGGGCATTTATGTCATATCATGTCCACCACAAGGCCAAGCTCATAGACTTCAGTTTTATATTATTTGCATTTGTTGGAAGGAGGTTGGGATAGAAAATGTACACCACATTTCGTTTAAAAACGATGTCATGATACCTAGTTGCCATAAAACAACATGATCGGTGGTAGGACTCTCTCAAGCCTGAGGAGTCCGACTGGATGGCTGACACTCCCTTATCTATTTCTCCCGACAAGCAACAATGATTGCATTGATGTGTTCTGGTTTGAAGGATAAGGTAGCCAATGCAATTACAGGCAAGTCTACTCTCTTAGTCCTCACAGGGACAACGCAGCTGCGATTCATGCATTTTTGTTACATAAAACCTAAGTCCATGAACCGTAGTTATTATGGGCGACACGTACCGCTTTTCATCAAGTGAGCTGTCTGTTCGTTTATCACTGAGCACCATAAAAAAATGGGTGCGTGTAACCTTAACGCGCGGTTGAAGTAAAACTTCTTTGGCAAATATCGCAATTAAATTAAAACAAATCAATAATTCAATAAGGCATATTACAATCATATATTTATAGAATATCATACATATACGGAAAAAATATAATATTACTTATATATTTAAGTGTTTGTCTCTTTCTCGTGTCACATTTCCGTTTCATCGAGTTTCAATTCCAAATGATTCTAAAGAAGTTTCAGTTCAAAAATTTACATACGAGTATGTACATGAAGTCATGGCCCATTTTGTATTCGAACTAACTAACCTAACTAATTATCTCTTCTAGTCTTTATCAACATCAATCAAAAAGTTTTAATAGCATTTATTATCTGAGTAAGTTCACATTTTTGTTATCTCTGCGCCATGTTGTTTTCGTTGTCTGTGTGTAGTGCGCGATCGGTAAACTAGTCTGTGGCAACTGGCAAATTCCTCTCGCTTTTTAGTATGCTCAATGCTGCTACAGCTCGACGGTTCATGATTATGTAGAGCGTATGGCCGGAATCCATTAATTATCTCTTTTAAATAAATAATCTATAATAAAGTATATAAACAATGGAATTAACTGGTAAGTATTACTTTACGTTATTGATATTTTTTTCATGTAATTTTTAAGCCAAAACTATTTGGCTACTTAGCTACTATTTGTTTATGTAATTATTATTGACAGTCGGTGGACAGTCGGACGTTCGGTAAAGTAGGCTTTAACTTTCACAGCTTTTTAATTTTAACCGTTATTTTGATCGGAATACTAATATAGGGAATGATAATAAAACGAATTATTATAAGGCTATAAATGTAGAGTGCATATATTTTTAAAATAATATATCTATAATAAACAAACAAAAGATATATATAAAGATTAAAAAACAAGCTTTACTTCTTAAGAAAATATTAATTAAAAGAATAATAATTTATAAGCCAATAGTTAAGCAAAAATCTTGAGGTAGATAGATATGAGAAAATTATACCAACCATGCTATTTGATGACTTCATGGCGCGTGAATACCACTGGAAACAAAGTTCATTGCCGCGGTTTCCGCATGGGCCTACTGTATATTAATATTTATATACCAGTAGAAAAGTAAGCAAGTAAGAAATAAAAGAGCATATTCTTTCAATTTCATCTCTCCTAAAAAATACTATTGATATTTTAATATATGTAAATATTATTTACTAGCGACTTAACTTTTTCTCGATCGGGTGTGTCCACAGATCTTGCGTACGCGGATTTCGTTCATATGGTTTCAATTTTTTTGCGCTGAACCATAACTAATTTTTATAAATAAAAGTAGCCTAACTTTTTAACGTTAGGATGTGCCAGCGCGCGATCCACGCCCAGTCTAGGCCGAACCCTATTTTATATACTCAACCATATAGATGTGAGGTCAACTTACATAGGATGCTACTTTTCCGAAACTATCAATTTTTTAACTTTTTTTTGTTCATATAAACTTCCAATCATCATCTTTTACGAACTACATATATTATAATTAACCAGAGTTTCAGCTAAATCAACTGAGCAGTATTTTAATAGCATTTTTTTTTTCAATAAATGTTTGATGTGACGATGTAAATTGACACTACTTTCTTATTCATGAACCATGTTTGACCACGTTTGACATGAAAGCGCGCACAAACACACGCACAGACAAACAGATAAAAGTTTTAAAAATCATTGACTTGGGTTATACTGCTTCAATAACTTTTTCTCATATAGGTATCTTCCATGTACAGATATCAGACAGCGATCAGTTATACCTTTATTATATGTATATTTTTAATTATGTATGTATGTCAGTAATTCTTATTAAGGACAATGTATACGTTTTTCAACAGGACCTCAGAAAACATTCTAAATGCTTTTATTTACAATTTACATTTTTTTGTGAGGTAAAAGCATAGAATTAACGTTTTTCGAGAAGATGTCAGATGTTGGAAATGATGTGATTGCCTTGTGGATTATTTAATTTTATACAAAAATATACATACATACATGTTTATAGTTCAACAAAATGGCAGTATTTAATTTTTTATATTTTGGTAATAAATTAAGATGATTTTTTAAATATATTTTTTTTGTAATAAAATTCAAATATTTTGTTTTTAATTGTGTCATATTTACTGCCTTTAACAACCATCCTGTCATGCATATTTTCTATACAAAAAAAAAAAGAAGATTTACATCTGCCAGGCGTCCCGCAACGGCAATAATATTTTTTTAATATTATTTAATTCAAGAATAGAAGGTTTTTAAAGTGTCTGTCTTTCTGAAATTATTATACATTGAGTAAATTACTAGATATAATCTCGTATAGGTATATTACAGTGTCAACTCAAAACCGGAAAATCTAGATGGTGTCAACCGCAAGAAGTAGTGTGTGAACATAATAAAAATTAAAAACTTATAATATAAAATAAGAGAAATATCATTAGCAATACTATAATGTTTTATGTTTGTTTTCTGCAATATGAAATTGAAAATTATAATAAGCCTTTACTCATCCGCGTCTTTTTTTTAAATTACTCCTTTGTATCCCTCACAGGTCGTAGTGATAAATTGAAAAAAGACAGCCTAAAAATTTCCTTAATGCTATAAAAATAAAATGCCAAAAGAATTTTTCAAATTCTAACCAGAGATTAGCGCGACAAACAAACTCCTTAACTTTCTATATTAGTATGGAGCTTAGATACGTCAATAGAAGTCTTGCTAATTGTAATATGCTATGTAAATTGCTTCATAGAAAAAATAGTTGCGCAGTAGTGATATTATGTCCAAATTATAAGTTGTATTTTTTTACAAAACGAGTACTTCCTTGTTGTGCAGCAAGTGTTAGATACCTACCTAGTATATAGCTATTTATTACTTAGTTGTGGTATAAAATGTTCTAGGAGATCTTATATTATATGATTTTGTTGAATCTATTCTTGCTTACTTACGTACTTATAAGAAAATCAAATATTTCCGAGAAAAAATGTTCTAGAATCCAGATTACGACTCTTACGACTTTTTTACTCGACTACAAAACGTCGCCACGACAAAAGCTGGAACCAGACGCTGAACTGACTTATGATGTTAAATATTTTGAAATATTTTCTCATCGTACTTTTAAGGTTAGACAGAAGTAATAAAAACAATACGTGGAGCACGCGTCAGTTAAGCAAACGTCCGGTCGGACGACAGACATAATGTCGCCTTAGATATAGGAAGCGGACTGAGTGTTTCTTTGCCAGTCATCAGCTAAAAAGGGCTAATATTTATAACCACCTACTTACTATTATAATATTGCATATAATTTTTAATAAATTATATTTTTTTATCGTTCCATTTATAAATTCAAATTGGAATAAAAGACAGGTATTGGCCGCTCTTTCTAGAGAGTGGTCAATTTCATGACCGTATTGCTCAGTCCATTCTCTATGCCTTATGCCTACTGAGCGAACTCCAATGCAATTTATTTTTATAGTTGGTTGTAATATATTTTTGTTTCAATGTTCTCTTGCATCTTCAGTCACAGTAATATCTTTAAATTACTAAATGAGCACATCATGTCGCATGTCGCATCATGTTGCATGTCGCCCAGCGCACGCTAGGCATCTGAGTAGAGCTCGTAGAGTCTTTAGTCGTATAGTATTATATAATCAAAGGGTGTTGAAATCACAGATAGACACTTAAATTTTACTTATATTATAATTTATAGATTTTATACTTTTTCAGTGGACGAATTTATAGAAGGGATCTTTTCTAAGAATGCTTTTGAACAACCCTCTGATTCAAAGAAACCTGAGGATTTGGAAATGAGAATACCAGAGTGGTTCGATGAGCAACAATTTAACAAGTTAGTATTTATACTGTATATGATACAGTAGAATTTAATAAGAGGTTAATTATGTCAATTTGATAATTCCTGATCGATTAAGGAGTTATCTGTGCAGAAGGCTTACAAGTGGCAAACCCTTCATATCGATTTTATTTCAATAAACGCTAACACCTTGGCAATTTCGATAACAACTTGGTAGCCAAACGTACAAGGACTTGTCGTTGTCGAACGCTCAGTCAAGTCTATTCGATCGTACGACAACAATCGAACGTAGTCATGGTTTTGTTTGGGAACGTCATTTTGACATTGTGAAGTGCGCTAAAATTCAAACGTATACGAACAACACCTAATCAAATATTTTCGAAATCGGTGCCAGCCCATACAAAGCAAAGCACACCGACTTCGAAAATATCTGATTAGGTATGTATAGTAAATGAAAACTACGAAATAGTTATTTTTTACTTTTTAGTGCTTTTGTTTGAAGTCGGTTTTTATTTTTTTGTTAAAAAGTTTTTATTTAGATGTTATTACGTTTGTGATAGTTAATTATATAGATACACGGAAACAATCGTAATTGATTACGGGTTTAGTAAAAGTACCTACATTAACAAAAATTATATCTTATCTCAGGAGCCTTCATTAACTTGTCGTAAGAAATACATAATCCCAAAACAAATATATTCTGATATATAATCCAGAACAGGAGCAGAAGAAAATCATAACAATGTGTTTATAACTAACTACCATCAAAAATCCGATTTCTAATTTAAAATCTAATAATTCTTTTTGACACTACTCACGTTTCGAATCTAAGATCTCATGATGGGCAGCCAAACAGCTTTGTGAATCGCCATAGATCACCACACAATTAAATAATTATATGAACTCAGCACTTGTATTCAGCCCTTTTTAATTCTTCAATGCAGAACGTCAATGGTTCAGACATCCAATTTTCCTCACGATGTTTTCCGTACGTAAGTCAAGTGGAAATCATGTTAAAAATGATTACCTATAATGAAATTAATAAGATATAAGCAACACTATAAATTAATTGATTTTTTGATAAAAAACTTAATATTAATCCCTCAACAACCGCGGACACGCCGGCGTTACAGTTAACAATAGATTTCTTAGAAATTTACCTGTAGGTGTAAATAAATATGTTAAGACATTAACACACATCAACATCTAGTTCCATGGTAAGCTACGAGGCTTGTGTTATGGATAACAGATAGTTTATACACTGCACATAGGTATATAACTTTAAATACATACATACTATAAATATCAACATCCATGGCTGAAGTACAAACATTCGTGCTCATCACACAAATGAATGCCCCCAGCGGGACTCGAACCCGCGACCGCTGGCACATCGAGTAAGGTCACTACAAACTGAGCCAAACGTGTCGTCAATATCCAATAATAATAAAATATTGTACTTTGTATTTTAGAGCTCGTCGCTTTTACTGGTACAACTGTTACCAGTTAACAACGTCGATGCTGTTGGGACTAGTTGCAGTGTTCGCGATCCCATCTATATTAAGAGTGCTAATAAGTTCAAGACGATCGAATTCCACCTTTACAGCGTACAAAAGATATCTTTCTACACTTTTGCATACGATTTCCTGGTTTGAGAACGAATTAAAGCCAGGCAGTGTGTAAGTAATATTTGTAAGTAATTTTTAATTAGTTTTTGGCACGGTTTATTTTCCCATAGAAACAAGAGTTTCTTGACCCGCCGACTTCGTATCTCATGTGTGTGATGATGATGATGTTCTCCTGACCGATTCCGGCCACGGCGGCCAATCTCATTGAGACTAGCCAACTGCTCAGGAGATATTATAGTGCACAAGTGTACGCGCAGACACAACGTGCACTCTCTATTCCTGTCACTCTCATACTCTGGTGGGACGACCACTCGACACGACCAGTGAGAGTTAAGGCGCAGGACGGACAGCTTTACGTGCTCTCCGAGGCACGGGGGTGAAACACCGCCAACTTCCCAACTCCGGGCTGTTACTGAGACTATACAGAAATACTCAATAACTAAACTTGGTAACGAGTTTGCAGCCGTACATGCTAGCCATTACACCACCGAGGCAGTTAATCATGTGTGTTGTTGGTATATGTGTAGTTAAGCAACTAACTTGTGTCATTGACCTGATGTTGACCGCGCAATTTTAGAATTTCTAAGAAATAGAAAATGTGTTGAAATGTGCCCAGTGTGTGCTATTACGTGCCGCTTGAGAAAAAAATTTATTCAAAAAATATATTTTCTATGAGGAGGTCCTTTTTTTCAAGTACCGTTAGCTCCGCAACGTTACATGGGGGCTCTTCAGACATTTTACTACTCTTGGAAATGCAATTTTTTTTACGACTTCACATTGTTTAACAATCGCTCTCGATTGCAGCACAACCTATGATAACGGTTATCGAGCGAGGCTAACTTTTGGTGCAGGGATTGTACTTATCATTTTACTATTCTTGGAAATACAAATTTTATCAATTTTAACGATTTCGATACAATTACGTTGCGGAGCTAACGGGACTTGAAAAAGAGGACCTTCTCATAGAAATTATATTTTTTGAATATTTTTTTATATAAAGTTATATTAAATCTACAAAAATCCACAGTTCATGGAGATCATTAATGACAGTACGATCGCGACATATTAAAGCAACTTTAGCGGCGAACCTTAAAGGTCAAGGTATCGTCTCCCAGAGAGATTTAGCTCTAACCCAATTTGGTTTTGTGGGATTTTCTTTATTGAAACCGAATAAGTTTGGTATTTGCCAAATGGAGGATGGTGATTGGGAAGCTTACAACCATTTCTGGAGAGTCATTGGACATGCTATTGGATTAGAAGATAGGTGAGACGTTTAAAATTATCTATGTATAGTTTCATATTTATCTATATACAGTCTGTCGTTGTTTTATGTAAAAATACATGCCTTTTAATATACATTTAAGTATGTTTTTATTGCATCAAACAATTAAAAAAAGTTTTATGACATAATAATTCAATTTTAAGTAATAATATATCCAAAAATTGAGGAATATTATTTATAACTAGCGACTCACTCTCGCTTCGCTTCGGGTTCGTCCCTAAACAAAAACAAATCGGACACTACGGGAACCGTACATTTTTCCGGGATGATATATAATAGCCTATAGTCTTTCTCAACAAATGGGCAATCTAATGCAAAAGATTTTTAAAATCGGATTAGTAGTTCCTGAGATTACCGCGTTCAAACAAACAAACAAACAAACAAACAAACAAACAAACAAAAATCGGTTGTGCTATTCGGTAAGAATTTTTATGTAATACGACATCTGAAACCGAAATATACGTCATACGTTTTAAAGTGTTATGTTTATTATAAAGTAGTCCTTTGAGCCGGATCGCAATCAATATGAAGTGGCGCGCTTTCTCAAGAACAAACGTAATCTGTCATTTCTACCCTGCACCTGCATCCTCTTTACATTCATAAAGTTCACGAACCTTTTGCCGTATATTTTAATCATAAATTTTTTATAATGCGTCGCTTACAAAGTGTATAAAGAGCACTACAGTGCGGCCGTAGTACGTTTAATGCGAACAGACTAAACTGCTATTAGCGACACATGGTCGGACTTAATGCCCCAAAATACATCACTAAGAATATTATGTACCTTTTATACTATCTTCAAAATAAAATAAATTCTTTTTAAGAACTAATTTTTATTTGTCGTTTATACTATCTCCAAAATAAAATAAATCCTTTTTTACATTACAACAGGTACAATATTTGCCGAAAGAACATGGACGAAACTCGACAAGTCTGTAAAATACTTCTCGATAAAGTATTTACACCGTGTTTAGAGAACGTTCCAGAATATTTCGAGCACATGGCTCGGTCCATGTTGGATGGCCTCTGGTGTATTAATCCCACTATAAATGTAGATGGAATGATATATTTGACGAAGTATTTAAGCAATGTTCCGGGATACATCTATTTAGAAACAGACAGACAGGACCTGCAAAGGCTTATTAAAGAAAAGTTGAATGGCAAATCAGAAGACACAGGTGAGTCAAGTCTGAAAGTGATGAGTTATTCATTTTACATTGATTAGAATAATTTTTAAATGAGTGTACATGGTATTGAGCTTACCCATAAAACTTGCTTTTTCGTACATAGAGAAATAATTATATTTTATCTGTACATATAATAAAATTGTAACTAAGTCGAATCTGTACATTAAATATTTTTTGGAAAATCTTATTGAAATAGACATTATTATCGATGCAGAGGCCGAATCTATAGTTTTTAGAATTTTTGTCTGTCTGTCTGTTACCGCATCACGGAAAAACTACTGGAGGGATTTTGATGAAATTTGGTTTGAAGATAACTGGTTATCCGGGTCAACATATATGATACTTTTTACCGCGGGTAAATGTCTAATTTCTGAGAAAAAATACAAAAAGTGCAATGTAAGAGTATACTAATATATAAACCTAAGAATTTGGTTTTTGGTCATATGAACGCGGGCGGAGCCGCGGGCAATGCTAGTATAATATATAGTCTATCTATTCCATACTAACCGTTAAAACGTACCTAGGGATTAACCCGAGGGAAGCGAGGGTGAGTCCCTAGTTATATAATAATTTTTCATCGATTTATATTTCATAGGCATACAAATGAATTGTGGCGGCACACTTAGTCTTTATTTTCACAGTTCCCATTTTACATGATATACTCGTATATAAAAAAGTACAATTTAGCTGAAAAATCTGTCAATGATTGCCGTAACTAAGAAAAAATAATAATTTTTATAGTAGTACCTAGTTGAATGACAGAAAAATATTTAAGTTTAGGAACTACTAGCGTACTCCTACTGGGTCTGTCTGTCTTCCGAAAATTACTCCAGTTATCTAATCTAATAATTCTATAAAAAGTTTTATAAAAAAAACAAAAACCGATTTCAAAAAAAAAACGTTTAAAAATAAAAAAACAACTACTACTATACTTTAATTTGCATCGGCTAGCACCGACTTCGAAAATATCTGATTAAGTATCTGTAGTAAATGAAAAATACCAATCATTTATTTTTTACTTTTAAGTGTTTTGTTTTGAAGTCGGTTTTTATTAAGTTTTATTTTTCCATTTTTAGTGTACGCATAGTAGTAGTAGAGTAAGAAGAATGTATTTTAAAATTCAGTTGATAAAAAATTAAACATCCTTTATTTTCTACATTCAGTGATGGATTTTTTTCCAAATTTAAATGGGACCAACTCTTAGGTATATACAATAAAAAAAGTTATCGAAATCGAACTACACTGTAAAAAGTTATGCGTGATCACACAAAAAAAAAGTGTCGAATTGAGAACTACTACTTACGTATCTACCTACTTTTTCTCGTCGGTTAATAAAATGAGATCTCATGTTGTCATAAATGTCTTAAATAAATGTATTTTTAGGTGTGGAATCTTCTTCACTGTTATCAGAAAATTTGATAGAAATACCAAAAAGGACACCACGGGTACTTTTTCTCCACGACTACGACAGCTTAGACACGGCGCCTGCATACAAAAACTTGCCTTTGGCGGGAAAATTTAAATTAGCACTTAATTATTATGTGGTAAATTTGTATAAATCGTACATCGGTCGTATTTATCTCAATTTAAATTTCAAATTTAGCGTACTTCTGATGAAGTACCTCCCATATTTAGCTTTCGCCAGATTTGGTATAATAGCATCGTACGTTAATATCTTCCGTGAAGATCCGATTGATGACCAACAACCAAAACCTAACTCTGAATACTACAAAGTAAAACCTAAATTATCAAAAAGCAAAGAGTATTTTTCTTTGATTTGGTAATCTATACATAATCTGTTCATTAAATATTTTTTAGGAAATTTTATTAAAATAGTCTACAAATACGATACAGAGGCAGAATCTATAGTTTTTAGAATTTTTGTCTGTCTGTCTGTTACCACATCACAAAAAACCACTGGAGGGATTTTGGTGAAATTTGGTATGGTGATAGCAGTTTATCCGGGTCAACATATAGGATACTTTTTACTGCGTCTTTTTCAATAAGATTTTCCAAAAAATATTTAATGTACAGATTCAGCTTAGTTAGAATTTTATTATATGTAGGTAGAGATTAAAGTTTTAATACAACAAACATTTCGAAAATGTTTAAGATTTTCTAGCTTACAATAATAACCCTTTAAGTAAAGGCGTGCAATATAACTCCAATCCTTATAGAAAATTCGATCTTATTCGATTAAATATTAAATAAAAAACTTAGACAACTAAAACTTAAAGGCTAGGCAGATGCGCATATACGCAGGAGATATTAGTGTAGTACTTATGAGTGCAACCAGTTCACTCTCTAATCCTTTCACTCCCAAACTCCGGTACGATATTACGACATTTGCGGTTAGAAATCAGGCACAGGACCGCTTTACTCTGACTCTATTAAAATAAATAATTTATTAATAGTGCCGTGAATTACATAAGACGAGTTTAGAGTAAAAATTGGAATCAAAGGTGACTCAACGAGTTTAGAGTAAAAATTGGAATCAGATTGTATCGTAGAGTAAGGTATAGGCTAGTTTCTTCAATGTTACCGTTTATTTCTATCGTCCATTAGGTAAAATGAAATAGCCTTAAATAGGTTCCATCATTATGTTATGTATTATAATATCTTAAGTTGTTTTTTATATTTAATTTCACGAATACTCAACGAATTGTTACTGTTAAACGTATTTAAAATATAAATTATATAAATAATTATAAATACCTATCAAAATTGAGAAATATCAATGTACCTAATATTTGTTATTATAATGTTATATACAAAGCGTTTTTATTTATTTACTGTTCTTTATTTTTATATACGAAATTTATAAAAAATAAAAATACTCGTTTAAATTAGTTACTTAATTTATTATTAAAAAAATTTTATTTGAAAAAGTCTTGCGCTTTTAACCTCGTTCTCTTTGCTACATTGATCTGCAATAGATTATCTGTGATGTTATTGTTCTCTGTTACGTTTTCGCTATTGACAGTTGTGGAGCTTGACGGAATGGCAGATACTTTTTTCGTTGAACTTGACATGTTTGGTGTCGCCACTAATGGTGTTTTGGGTGTTGGGGTTCGTTTGGGGGTCGTATGAGAAATACCCATATCGTTAGGTGTCAACTTGAGCCGAGGTGACAGTAAATGTTTTGCCGCCAATTTCCTAGCCGCCGGTGACATGCTTGCCAAGCGCTCAGTATTCGTCCTGAAACTGAAAAATTAAAATAATTAAAAATAATAATTTTAAATGAACCTGGATAACTTATGAACTACTAGTACGTAAAATAAATGAAAAGACTAATAAATAACAATGCCTTGGTGAACTATGGTGTAACCTTGAGGAACAAAGAAAAATTAGTTCCAATTGCCAGCACAGGTTTTTAACCTAGTTCATTTAGGTTCCAAATTTACCTAATTTTAATTCAGTTAATTTCTGATTTAAGGATTTATTTATAATTATGTATGTTTGCGTATCTTATATATATTATGTAAGTTTGTAAATATATATATATATATAGTATATATACATAATATAACTTATAAGATATGGTATGTACCTGTGGGTGAGCGTGGGCGTGCGCGGCGTGGCGGGGCGCCGCCGCCGCGCCGCCTGCTCCGCCAGCTGCAGCGCGATGCGCTCCCGCGCGCCGCCCTCCAGCATGCGGTACGCCGCGCCCGCGCCCACACTGTTATATGGAAATTGAACGTTATTATACGTTACTATATTAGTCATAAATAAAACCGGCCAAGTGCAAGTCGGACTCGCGCACGAAGGGTTCCGTACCATTATTTATAAAAACTTTTTGTGTTGTATGGGACTGTCCCCCTTGAATATTTATTTTAATTTAATTAAATATATAACTAAATATTCTGTGAATATTTCAAGCGTCTACCAATCGCCGTTATCAATATCCACCCCCTTAAGAGGATTGTGAACTGCCGATACGCGGCGAGAGTAGTAGTATTTTAAAAAATGCTATCTGTTTCATACCGCTTTGCATCCCCCCGGCAGTGAACAACACAAATACAACATACGCAAATTCTCACGCACACTATGATAGCAGTAGCCGGTGACGCGCGGGCGCTCGCGGAGGGCGGGGGCGGGGGCGGCGCGACTCGGCGCAAGAGCAATTTCAAAGTTTATCTAATATCTACGGTTTGCATACAATATACATTCCCTACAAGTTACATCGCACCTTTATTCATAAACTGAAATAACTCTAAATTACAATTTTGTGGCGAATATCATTTAAAATTTGACTTGTTTAGATTGATGACTTCGAAAAATCATAAAAAAATAAATAGGTGGTTTAGATGAATTACAAAAATCTCGTTCCAAAAGTTGAAAGTTTTTGTTGTTTATGTACTAATTAATAGACCAATCGGAATCCTTTTATTTTTAAAAGAAAATTTTTATGGAAAACCTGAAGTTTTATGATTTTAAAATGTTAGCAGGTATACGAAGAATAGAAATTCATAAAATGACCTGAACATGAATGATGATGATTTACGATTTTTAACAAACCTATGACTAAATTTTATAAAATATATCAACTTAATTTTTTAAAATATATTTTTAACTAATGAATAAACAAGATTAGACTACGAATGAATTTCATTTCTTTCTGTCAATTACAGAAAGAAATGAAATTAAAATCAAATTTTTCAGAATAATCAATAAAACTCAAAAAACTAATAAAATATCGATAAATTCGAAAAAAATATAACGAATATAGAATTAAAAATATAAATTTTACAAAAATAAAAGTATTTTTATTGCACCTTCTAAACGGTAATAGTCCAGCAATTAGCAAAATAAAGCGCGTGACCGGTGGAGGGGGAGGGGTGGAGGGGTGTAGGAAGTGGCCCTTACTCACTTAAACTTGGCCAGATGCTAGAACTTTACCTTTATTTTTTTTGAAAATCTACGAAATATATTTTTTCTTGTTACAGAGGTTATTGTTATGATGTAAATATTCCCAAAAGGTCATCAATAAATTAAAAATTAATGAATGAATTATATATACCTAGTGTTCTTACACGACGACCATACAGTATTTTTATATTTTCAAAAAGACGAAAAGAATGAGCCCTATTTGAAAATTGAATGATTTTTTTTTAAATGTAAACGCCCACTTGAAGTTGGGGGTGATTTTCAGCCTATCGAGACCATAATACATACTTTTCTCGGAAACGGAAAATTTCTGTAAATATTTCAATTTCTTTTTTTTTATTATATGTATTTCGAAGATTACATTCCCTTAGTTCCATGGAAATCAAAAGATTATTCTAGAAATAAAAAATAAAAAACTCAAGATAAATTTAAAAACCGAGTTTTCTGCAAATATCTCGAAAACTTTGAGGTTATCGTAAAAAGTGTTATTTATAAAAGTTGTAGAATTTTACTAGACCTTTAAAATTTGAACAAAATATTTTTCGATAGAACGTCACAGTAAGCCGGAAATTGAACAGGTTTTCAATATTTTGTTCCCAGATTCCGATTGGACTATAATACTAGCTTACATATCAAATTTTAGCTTTCTAGGACTTCAGGAAGTACCCTAAGAGTTTTGATGATTAACAGTGAGTCAGTGACGAAATCGGAGTTTTTTAGATATCAATAAAATCTAATGTAAAAAAGCTATGCAATTGAAACTTTTTATGTTTACCTAGCATTGCCCGCGGCTCCGCCCGCGTTTATACGACCAAAAACCAAATTCGTAGGTTTTACATATTAGTATACTCTTACATTGCAGTTTTGTATTTTTTATCAGAAATGATATATTTTCCCGCGGTAAAAAGTATCCTATATGTTAATCCGGATAACCAGCTACCACCATACCAAATTTCATCAAAATCCCTCCAGTGGTTTTCCTGTGACGTGGTAACAGACATACAGACAGACAGACAAAAATTCTAAAAACTATAGATTCGGCCTCTGTATCAATAATAATGTTTATTTCAATAATATTTTCCAAAAAATATTTAATGTACAGATTCGGCTTAGTTACAATCTATACATACGAGTATAATAAAATTCTAAACTTTTGATTGAATCCTTTCAGTATCGATCGATATATCGATATATCGATATTACCTTCTCCTCCCTAGGAGATAATAATATCGATAGCACCTTTAACATCACTACAATATGCCCCTGCCCCCGACCCGTATGGTGCGATAGAGTTGCAAGTCTTAAAGGCAATTACCTACATTTCCTTTTTGAAATATTGTTTCGGGCAATAACGTTTTCACCCCCCTAAACATTAACGAAATGAGACAATTTTGGTATCATTAGATTCAGTACACCTTAATCTAGGTCTGTACGTTTTCCTTTTTTTGTAATTCAGTTTAGTTTAATTTAAAAAAATAAAAACGCTGGAGGAAGTTTTTAGGTCAAAAATATAGATATTTAGATGCTAATAACTTCTATCGTACGCAATATTTCTAAAAAATAAAAACGTACGGACCTAGATTTTAATTATATCTACAACACTTCCAAAAATTATGAAAATTAGACTATGTTTAAGGGGGGGAAAACGTTATCGCTTTTTGTATGAAAATTTACAGCTTCACAATCCTCTTAAATATTTATTTTATTTTAAAGCATTTGTCGTTATAGCGGCAACAGAAATACATCATCTGTGAAAACTTCAACGGTCTAACTATCACGGTTCATGAGATACAGCTTGGTGACAGACGAACAGACAGCGGAGTCTTAGTAATAGGGTCCCGTTTTACCCTTTGGGTACGGAACCCTAAAAAGGCAGTGGTAGCCCAGTATTAACGCGCTCGCATGGGAAACCGAGCGAAGCGGGTTCAAATCCCAGGTCTCGCATCTCTAATATTTTCATGTGCGAATCATTTCTAACATGATTACCACTTGCCTTGCGGTGAAGGAAAACATCGTGAGGAAACCTGGATGTCTGAGAGAACCTAGCAAGTTTTCCAAAGACATGTGAAGTCCCCAACCTGCACTCGGCAAACGTTGTGGGACGATAAAAAGGGATGAATACTTGTTACTAATGCCGATTATTTTTACAACAGTTAGCCAATTTTGTGATTATCGTAGTAATGCGAGGCATCATACGATCACTTGATTTTTTTTCGTAATTAGAAATGAGTTATCAAACGCAATACATTCTGTCAGTGTCACATATTATATATTTGCAATACAAATTAACAAGACGTAATTGATTTATTAGAGTTGAATGAATAAAAAATAAAAATATTAAATTATAAACAAATCAAAAAAAAATTGAAAACAGATCTAAAAAATTAAAATATATAAAAAAATATATATAATTTCCATGTAACTTCCTGAACGTGACCATGTAATGTTTTATTTACTTTACAACTTCAAAACATGATCCTTGCCCAAGAAACTTTGCCCCTTTGAAACTGCCCATTGAAAGCTACTTTATTTTTAAACTATTTATACAATTTAAATATTCTATTATTAAAACATTACAGCCACAGACATCCACTAAAAGTATGCGAAGGTATACAAATAAATTATGACCTAGAGTAACACTTAGGCATCTAGGTACTTAGACACACTTATACTGTATTCGCCGAATGAACCGAGCACAGAGATTTTGCGCTTCCACGTGATTAGTTGCAGATAAGACGCTTAGGCCGCGATTACAATGCAAGTTATCATTAATTAGTCCGTCGTTGCATTCCGTACCGTTCAGACGTCTCTCGTGTAGTTACATGATTTATTATCAATGTAGGAGATCGGGAAATGGGTCGGAAAGCGAAAAATAATAAATAATATAAATATTTAAAAATACAGTTAATTTTACTTTAATGTTGATTTTATGGTAATACAAATTATTAATAATTGCTCACTAAAGCATCAGCAATATGAACGAGCCCTATGATTTCAAACCAGTTGTAAGTGTCAGTGGGCGGAGCTAGACAGTTTTCTATCCTTATCAGTTTGTATGCTAATGTGGGACCAAAAAAGCGCTTTGCATGGTTCACTTCACGTCAACAGAGTATAGGTCTGTAAACTTGAGCGGAGTAAGAAGTCGCTATTCTAGTATTACAAATTAATTACAAAGGTGTGTATGTGTGTGTATTACATACACTATACAACCCAGATAACTTACGCTGGCAAAGGTGTATCCCCTCCATCCAGTCTGAAGGGGGTGCCTTCTATCTCTCCCCAAGTCATTAGGGGGGACTGGTCCGGACCGTCTCCGGGCCGGGGCGAAGGCGTCGCCACATAGGAATACTCCGAAGCTGGCTTCTCCGATGATATACTGACACCGTCTACACCAATCTTGCCTTTAACGTTTGCGTCCTGTTGAAAGAATTATTATTAGAAACTGGATTATATTTATACAATATAACATAAAGGACACTAACTAATAATTACATGTAATTTTTCTATTCAAGTCAATTATCCTGTTAATGGCTTCAAAACATGCTAGTTGAGCAGATTACTTACTTACTTACTTACTTACTACCAATGTCACGGAATGGAGAAGACGTGTAATTCTTAAATTGTCTTTAACGTTTAGCGATGCCTTTAAAGTCAAATTGAACCTATGGATGTTTACATTATATTTTATTACAGTAAATGTACTTTCGATCGATCGTATATTCATCTTAAACGAATAAAATATTATTATAAGGAGAAAAGATTTGATTTTTTGTATGTTTCTTTTTAATGGATGATAAACACAAACACTAATCTTATCAGTGTGTAATGTGTATCAAGAAACTTGCAATGATGTAAACTAAGATATCAAAAACTTGCCTATAAAAGTCAATATTTGACGTGCACTGCGAAAACTATTGATGTTATGTATATAAAATAATAAACTACGTGTTTCATAACCAAGGTTCTTACAAGGAATACGAAATTATAATTACAAAACAAGTGTATTATTTAAAAAAAAAAACTGGGTACGTTTTAACAGTCAGTATCTTCAATCAACAATACTACTAGATATCGGGTCGGCGTAAGGAATCCGTCTCCGTAAATATAAGCTCACTAGCAAAGTAAGCATATATTGATTACTTCTATTTAAACACTGCCAACTTAAACACGTTCACAATGCCGCAATGTGTATTTAAAAGTTGCAAAATAATTGCGCTTCAAAATAAGTACATGTAGATTAAGTCAATATTTTTAGATTTAACCTACGAAATAATATAAAAATGAAATTTTGAACATCAAAATATTTTTTTTTGAAACCGTCCGATTTGGCGTGGAATTCCCCATATAGATTATTAAGTATTTTATAAAAACTTAAGTTATTTATAAAAAAAAATATTATTTACTTACTTGATTTCTGGCTAAAGCAGTTATAGCTTCTTTGTTTTTAGCGTAATCAAATGGTTGAGTCCTAAGACGTGTATTGTGGTGCTGCAATTCTGGCTTTGGTCCTGCTTGTTGGGACTCTGCTCCGTCCGGCACATACATTATGTAGTTCTTAGCACGGTAACGCCATGTATCTAGCTGTAATATAGAAAAAGAATATAACGATATTAGTATAGTATTAGTTATATCGAGAAAGTTGTTGGGTGGTCGTTTAATAATAATAATAAATAAATATGTTGGGACATTAAGCACCATCTAGTTCCATGGTAATCTATGAGGCTTGTGTTATGGATACCAGATAGTTGATACACTACACATATATAACTTTAAATACAAACATATTATAAATATAAACACCCATGACTGGAGTTCAATCATTCGTGCTCATCACACAAATGAATGCCCCTGGCGGAACTCGAACCCGCCATCGCAGGCATACAAGTAGGGTCACTACAAACTGAGCCAAATGTGGCAACACGATTGTCTCGGATCGACTGTTTCGTCGAGCGTATGCGTGCTGCAATACATTGCAATACACATTGAGTTGTTGGTTGATACTTGTTCAACTGATTAGTCAAAAAGCAGTCGATGTGGTCTTTTTATTATTTTGTCGAGCAAGTATCTAGTTGATAGTATGCGGACCTCCATACATTTCCATATACTTTTGTCATACAACTCAACAGTTGTTCGGTTAAAAGTTGTATGTATGCGGTAGGTATTAGGGTAGAGGAGTATGTATATAAAATGGTAGGCAGTGGTAATTAACTATTTATTCAACTATTGTGTTAAGACTTAAAAATACAAATAACAACTCAGTCTTTTATTTTGTAATTGTTATAGAACCCACAAACCCAGTAAACAATTATATTTTGATGAACCAATAGTTATTATATTATAACCCATACTCCTGAAATATAGTGATACTTAATGAGTGAATAAATTCTCAGAAAAGAAGTTGGCCTATATGTGTATTATCAACATGAGGACTTGCATTAAGGTGTTAAATAGTAATTGTGAATCTACTACACTACTAAAGTTATGTACAAAATTATCAATTATATACCTCCTCAGGTCTCTTTGTTTGATCAGCCTGATCTTCTATAGAAGGTAAAGCTAGTGCTGACTCAGCAAGGGTCAACGACGTTACTTCTGATTGCAGCTGCGAAGCAAGCTTTGTAGCTCTTTTTTTATTCTCTAAAGCTATTACACGATCATAACTTGCATTATCTTCACTTGTGTGGTGAGAGAGGAAGGAATCTGAAAATATAATTATGTGACTGAAAATTTACTTAAATAAAAAAATCAAATAATACTCATATATTATTGCCAATCCTTTTTCTTAATATTATACAGGATTTTCGATAAACTGAAAAATCTGGAAGAATAATTTTAAAAAGAAAGTAAAATTTTATATCAACATATTAAAAATAGGTATAGCTTCTACAGTAGCTTGTGTGCTTTAAGGTTAATTATTAATATATCTTGATAGTTCAAATTATTTTACCTAATGAATAAGTATCTATAATATCTTTAGATTTATCTCCTTCATTATTGGAAGATTGAACAGGTGGAGTTTCTTCTGCTGTAGGTGAGTATGGTCTGTCAGCTCCTGGTGTATCAAATGTTGCTGGTGAATTATCTAAAACAATGAAAAGTACATTTTTAGCAATAGCATTATATTATCCTCCTAAATTCCATTGAAATTTTATTTAAGCAACTACAATATATTAACTAACAAGGTTCTGTTGGCGGTCGATTTCCACTGTATTTTCTGGCAATCTCTCGAAGTCTAGCATAATCTTTATTTTCTGATGCCTCTAAATAATCATTTTGTGCCTTTAGTTTTTCCAAATCAGGAAAAAAGTCTCTCTGAATTATTCTTGCTATACCCTGCAACACAACGATATCATAATAAGACAACACTATCATGACAAAGTAAGAGATAATTATTAATATGAAATTATCCAAGCAAATATATTTAATCATACTTACCTCAACATAATCTTCTTCAACCAACACTTTAGCTTTTTTAGCTATTTTCTTTTTTGGAGGCACTTTAGGAACTTTGAATAAAGTACTCTCTTTTTTTAACAATTGCATGTTTTGTAATGCAGCTTCACCAGGTTTGGCTTTGGTGACATGATTTTCTTGTGTCATTTTCTTTTTGTTTCATATAGTATATTATTGTATCAAACTGAATCCAATATTTTTTTACGCGAATACTTGTAATATGCAAGTACTAGGTATATGCAATATTAATGAAAACACATTTTCTGTAAGAATTTTACAAGACATCAACATTTAAGAATTCAAGACAGTGACAATGACATAAGAAAATTAAAAAATGACAAATTCAGTCAAATGAAATTGACATTTTGATATTTGCTAGCTAGCAACCTTTATTTGTCACCCATGCTAGCAACATTTAAATCAGAATAAAGGTAGTTATATATATACTAATTCTATAAAGAGGCAGAGTTTGTTTGTTTGTATGAACGCGCTAATCTCAACAATTACTGATCCTATTTAAAAAAAATGCATTATACATATAGCCCGTTTAGTGAGGAAGGCCTATAAGCCTTTAGGCTATTATATCATCATGCCAAGTGAGCAGGAGCATTATTCATAAATGTCAACAAAGGGTAGATTTCCATACATTAATTATTACTAACAGCATAAAGTCAAAGAGTTTTATTTTGTAGTTTTAGCGCGAGCAAAGCCGCGGTTTCTGCTAGTTATATATAAAATTACTTATTTATATTAAAGTGTGCTTATGAAATAAAATTAAAATTATGTATGACTAGCGACTTACCCTCGCTTCGTTCGGTTGCGTCCTACTTTTTAATTTTTTGGCGGAATCCTAATTCTTTTTCTAAAATAAAAGTAGCCTAAGTTACTCCTTATAATATCAACTATATACCAGGGAAAGTCCCGTCAAAATCAGTCCAACTGTTTTGGAGATTAGCCGGAACAAACAGACTAGGCAGACGGACAGATAAAAAAATTAAAAATTGTGTTTTTCTTATAAGTACCATTATATTATATAGTTTCTGCATTTACTATTTAGTAAAAAGATGTTATTTTGACATTAAAAACAGACACTTCAATCTTTTTTTTAATTATATATCTGTATTGATTAACTGAAACTTTATTTACATACAGACACCATGCGCGTAAAATATGTATCTATTTACTAAATTCGAAGACGAAAGCTAACGTTATCAAATTGTCCTTAGTTCTGGTGTTTCATATTATTATTCTACACTACCCTTTTTTTTTTATGTCGGGAAATGCATTTACGCATACCACCTGATCCCCCAGGTGGTGATGTGGGGCTCACCGGCTAGAAGAGCCGGTACTACCCACTAAAACCCGACATTCCCCTCCCCTCCGCCTTAATGGGACGCCGCAGGATCGCTTGCGCATAACTACTACGGCGCCCCGGCGGCAGGTCTCAGGTCTGCCTAAGCGCTAGGCAGACCACCAAACCAATGGGGCTGCTCCACAGTCAACTCTGCTACGCCAGAGAGGTACCCGGAGCAGCCCCATTAAACCTAACCACCGCCCACCGAAGTGGGCCACCTCCAATCGGCTGCAGAGGACAGGGAGAGCGGCAACGAAACACCGACACTCCTCTTCCCCTGCAGCCCCACCGCGTCCGCCATCAAACGGTGGCGGCCCCGTCTAGGCCGCGGAAGGTAGGGAGAACGGCGCACCGAAATACCGGCACTCCTCTCCCGCCGCGGCCTACTCCTCCGCCGGATGCGGGCCTGCGACCACAGTCCCGCAACCGGCACCCGTCATTCGGTTGTGGGACCAAGCGGTCCCACCACCGGTGGCCGCAACGTCTTCGGCTCGAGTCCTAGACGAGCGGCTCCACCCAAGCCATTTGGTCCGCGCCGGATTTCTCCGGTACCACCCGCCGCCCTAAGCGGGTGGCATTCCCCTATCCGCCACCTGGGGACGCGCCCGGTAGGAGTTGGCTTCTCCCCCGGGTTTCTACACTACCCTATAACAACTTCTTGAAAGTTATGATACCTACTGCAAATATCTCAAATAAACAAGCAGTCTTAACGTTTGTTAGTAGTAAAACTAAAATTTTACAAAAAATAAATTTTGAACTTCTGTCCAAAATTTTGATCCTATAAAAATGATCTGATGATGGTGTCAGGAAGGGATAGTGGAACAGGGAACTTTTTAAAGGCTACGAGTAAAATCATCATTCATTTTACAAACTTGCAAAAACCCATATTATTATACACACAAAAGATTGTCCGAAGCTGTTTTTAGGACTCCGTACCCAAAGGGTAAAACGGGGCCTTATTACTAAGAGTCCGCTGTTCCTTAGTCTGTCTGTCTGTCCCTCTGTCACCAGGCTGTATCTCATGCACCGTTATAGTAAGACAGTTAAAATTTTTACAGATCATGTATTTCTATTGCCGCTATAACAACAAATTCTAAAAAACATAATAAAATAAATATTTAAGGTGGCTCCCATACAATAAACATGCTTTTTTGCTCGTTTTTGCTCGATATTGATAACGGCAACAGGTAGGCGCTTGATATATTCACAGAATATTTAGTTATATATTCATTTTGGAAATAAATAGTTAAATTAAAACAAGACAAATATTTAAGGGGGGGCTCCCATACAACAAAAGTGAATTTTTGCCGTTTTGCCGACGGTTTTTTTAATTTAATAAAACTATAATTTTATAAAAAGGTTTAAACATGTTTTATTTATTGTAAAGTAATCATTTATTTACGTTATTTAATATAAAAAAATACTAATTACATACTATTAAGAAATTGATGATGTTGAAACACTAGAAAATAAATAAATTGTTTAATATAAACTAAATCATAATCAACTGTACAAAATACATACAAATTATTTTTTCTTTTTATATATGTACTCTTTGATATAGAAGTCAGAAAATAGGAACAATATGAAAATATTATGAGGCAGGAACACGAATGATACCCATTTAGGGTAGCCGCACGACGGCTCGAATATAATATGTCCGAAGTGTAGAATTAACAGCAGAAACTGCAACTGTAATAAAAAATATTAAATATTAGGCATTTTAAAACCATGCAAAAGTAAAATATCTTTATTTGTAACATTGAACGACAAATGACACAAAGAAGGAGGTACTTAATAATTCAGATCGAATATTAAAAAAAACTGCTTAAATAGGTAATAAATAAAAATAATGTTAATTATACTATTTTTAACCACCTACATATAAAAGTTGTTTAGAGTTTGAACTTAAGATTAACATACTTACTGCAATGTATACATTAATACTTACAATTTGCATTTGTGTGATGTACTTTTTCCACCATATCCTCACCCATTCCGGCCGCACTATCGATATCAAGTAGTAACTGTACATTACTGCATGCACTATGGAATTAATGAAGCCCAACATTATGCCATGACCACCTTAAACAATTAAAAATAAATATTTAAATCGACATTTCATATATTTTAAGTTTTCTGTAATGTGCTTCTATTTATCTAGGAACGAACCTGAAAGGCAGTACTAAATATTTTATTGAAAAATTAGAAATAGGTAAGTACGTATTTCACGCCTATGTAAAATCACGGGATTACATTATTTTTTATATGTGATACTGGGGACTTTCGTTATTTAAATTAAATTATATGAATAAAGGTAAGGATTTTTTAAACATATATTTTTATGTGTATATTTACAACATGTTTTTCATGAAAACTATTAATATGAGAGCGCTATTCTTTGTTGCAATGAATGAATAAATATTTATACTCTACACCTACGATAATAATGTTGCAATTTTAATCAACCTTCTACATCAAATCGTTTCTAAAATGAAACTGCATGCTTTAAATAAATAAAAATTTTTTACGAATTTAGTAAGTAATTCATACTAATATTATAAATACGAAAGTGTGTTTGTTTGTTTGTCTTTGGAGTTGGAGAAATTTCTCTCAGTTGGAGAGCTGGAGAGTGACATAGGCTACTTTTTACCCGTCCCGTAGGAATGAGATGATCTCATTCCTATGGGAAAACACGTTATAATACAACCCAAAAATTATTTATGATCAGAATTACTTGTAATTTGATATTAATACTCTTTAATGCAATTAAATAAATACGTATTTTAGCATTTTTCGATATTCATCCCTTAAGGTTATTTTACCTTGAACGTTTGTATGAAACCTATTTTTAGAGGTTTTATGTAGTTTTAGCGCGAGCGGATCCGCGGGTTCTGCTAGTATTAAATAAATATAGGTAGTAATAACGTTATTTATCTCTAAGATCTACATACTACTACTTACATTACATTTATACATCACTTTTATATTTAATACCTACGTTAAAGTTTAAACAATAAAATCAAGTGATATCTGTAGGTACCCATTAGTTCGCTCGTCGGAAGTTCGCGAAACATTCTTACAGGAGCCGTACACACACGTACACGACCATGTCATCAGGCATGGATATTTGTATGGTCATTACACACAAATACGTATTTCACATAGACAAGACTCATTTAGGCATATATGGTATTCAAAAAACTACTAAATAGAGACAAAGTAGGTTACCTAGCAAATGTTGTAAATCATCGAGGCATGGTAAAACGAGAGTACTAGTGAGTAGTAACAAGATACCGATCGTTGAAACGGTTAAGATGAAGAAAATTACAATATTGATAAAATTGTTCGAAACTAATTAACATGTAAGACCCCTTATTTGCAAGCACGCGAAGAAATATGCTTTCTTTTTATACTCACGTTCTACTCATTTAGGTTATATTCATAATATATTACAGATAATTTTCTATAAACTATTTGTTTTCTTTTTAGATATGTGTAAAGTATAAAACTATTATTTAAAACTTATTTATTAATATCCGTAATATTTGGAAACAATATAGCATAAATATATCATAATAAAAATATATATTTTGAGATGATATTTAGTTTAGTTTCTTCTTTTAGGATCACTTAAAATTCCGTTTCTTTTATTTTGTCAAATCGTCCATAATCGTCAATATAACAAAATTTAACGTTTATCGTAATAATTTATATGAGAGATTTATATGTTCTGTAGATAATATCTATTTAACTTAATATAAGTTATACCTAGCTAATTTAACTCTACGAGTATATAATATGTAGAGATTATTAGGTAGTAATATGAGTTCACTTCGGGGTGTAAACCGTGATTTAGGTAATAAAGCGCGTGAAAAATAGGGATTGAGCGTAGCGTTTACATTTCGGCCGTAATAGAATAATTATAAAATTACTAGCAGTACCCGCGGCTTCGCTCGCGCTAAAACTACAAAAATAACTCTGAAATGGTAGGTTTTATACAAATTTTCATCCGCTATTTTACCCCCTTATGTTCAATAAAATAGTTCATAACATCAGAATAACAAATAGGCTACTTTGTATCCCGGAAAAATGTACGGTTCCCGTGGGATAAATTTGTTTTTGTCTAGAGGCGAACCCGAGCGAAGCGAGGGTGAGCCCCTAGTAATAATATGAGTATAAATATAGCAAGTATTTTTAAGTAAGAAGAATCACTTCTGCAATACATACCTATAGGTCCCTATGTAGATGAAGAACTAAAATGGAAAACTAAGATAGCCCGTAAGTTGATTTCAGCGTACAGTTTACATTGTACATGCGAAAGATACTGTAAATGCTAAAGCTTGTATGAGTGTATGTTTGTTACTGTTAACCCTGAAACGGTTGCACGGATTTAGATGAAAAGTACAAAGTAAACCTGGTGTTACACAAAAACACCTAAGTAGTTTTGACAGGAAATCGTTGCTATTTTTATTCTGGGATATCAAGTTATATTAACACTTGTACCTATATGTTTTATTATATGTATATTAAAGAAGATTTATTGATGTGCCGAGGTTAAAAAAATATCAGGGCAATTATCGTGTCTCATATTTGGAAATGTCAAGAAAAAAATTGGACCTTTGCAATTCTTCTTAAACGTTTAAGGAAAAAAAGTCGAACAATTAGCGATACAATAAAACTGAATTTACGTAAACTTACGAAACGTTAAACAAAATATATTTCATAAAATGACATTACCTATTCAGTGACGTAGGTAATACTAATAGGTATACCTACTATAAAAAGAAGCCAACATAATATTTTTCACCGATTTCAAAAAAAAGCTAGTAGAAGAGGTGTTACTCGATATATACTCCAATTGTGAATCGATTTCCACAATGTTTATTTTATTAAATAGATTAAGAGTGGTCCTTTATAAATAGGGCAAAGACCACCCGTAATCCTAAAACCAAATTATTATACAAAATTATTTATTACTAGTTGAACCGACATACTTTGACCTTTACATTTTAATTAACGTGTTAGTAATTTTAATATCATGCAAAATCACTATACTTTTCCAGAAGTTCATAATTTCCCGGACAACTTTTCAATTAATTTCTTAAAAATCTCATTCGAGTTATTATTACAATCAAATTTAAAAAAGTAAGTAATATTAGTCAAATCGGCCCAGCTGTTCTCATTCGAAGCGCGCTTACGGGCGCTTACCGACGAACAGAATTTCATTTTTATTTATATACATATATTTAGATATGAATACTCACCTGGTACGTATTTTGTTCCGATAAAGCCCAGAAAACACATGCCCAAGTGATGGTACACATGCAGGAATGATACTTGCCTAAACTTCTTTCTTAACACAAAAAATACCTATGAACAAAAATTTAAAGATTAATCAATCTTTAGAAAATTCAATTCATTCCTGTCTTTATATTGATTAACTAGCGGCTCGTTTCGCTCGGGTTCGCCTCTAGAAAAGCACAAACAGATCTATCCAACGGGAACCGTTCATTTTTCCGGGATAAAAAGTAACCTGTTGTTTGACCAGCAATATAAGGTATCAACATGCTAAATTTTACTAAATTAGGTCCATAAGTAGTTGTGTACTAAGGTGTATAAGTTACTATAGTTTTTTAACTATCTATTTTTTTTATTTTTCTATTATAGTTATATATTAAATTTCCGGGATAATAAGGATTCCAAATGTTGATCGGGGATATAAGGTACCACCATGCTAAATTACATTGAAATCGGTCTAACAGTTTCGGAGATTAGCACAAACAGAGAAAGAGACAGAGAAACAAAAAATTTGAAAAAAACCTGGATTTGATCTATTTCTCTTCTCACATTCCCCTGACTCGGTTTTAATTATTCTTTTTCTATGTACAGATATTCGACAACTACAGTTTTATTATATGTATAGATATTCACTGTTTATAACAATATTAACAATATTATTTACATACATTTGAAATTATAGATATTTTTTTTTAATTTGGACAAGTGCGAGACTCAATCGCACACCGAGGGTTCCGTTATATCATTTTTTTTTTATTTTTCCGATTCATACTTCAAAAGTTAGTTACATGTTTACTTAGCATACAACTAATTGTATTGGGATGAACAAAAAATGTCACTGAGTAACATCTATCTGAATTTTAAAGAACTACTTATCTAGAGATGAGTATGTCACATGTGTAAAGTGTCAGCCCCATCATTTGTTTTCTATTTACTTATAATTTGACTTCATAATAATTGTCTATCGATTTACATGAAACACCTACCTACTTAATTTCAGCATTAAAGCCTTATATGTCTTCAAGTAAAATGGCTGTGACATACGGACGGATGGAAGTGGCGAAAGTAACTACATACATATATGGGTTTATTTAATTAACCATTTGGCTTCAACCCCTAAAAAATGTTTACTAACATAATAAATGTTGATTGTTATGGTACAAATGTGAATATATAAATTTTAAAATTTTAATATTGAACTCATATCCGGTGAACATTATTTCATAAGAATTTACGGGCAAGTAGTACTAATGTGCACATGTTCTATACCTACTTATTAAATATAATCCCTATCACTTTAAACTATAGAACAGTGACCTTGTATTTTTAATTTTTTGCTGGTAGAACAAATCAGAACAATCATATTAACAACAAGAAATAAAAATCGGACAAGTGCGAGTGTAGCTCGGGCACCGAAGGTTCCGAACAATAAATTTTTGTTCCGCTTCAATTTATGTAAAAGTTAAGTTAAAAATAATATAGAATATTACGCATATACGCATCCACAATATTCATTATTATTATAAAGTGACATAAATCTCTCAATGATACTTTGAATTTCAAATTAAACTTTGCGGCCGCTAAACTAACAAAACATGTATAATATGCATGTACGCGTATCTCGACTAAGCAACGTATCAGTTCGTTAATTTTCGCTGAATTTTCTGCCTCAAATTTAAGAAGTTTAACGGCTATAGAAGTGTTTATCTCAGCAACTATTGACTTGAATAAAAATATAAATGTTTTTTTTTTTTTTTCAAAAATGTTTACTATACGTATAATTACTACTTTTCTTCTTTTTTTTCTATATTTGTATACTTAAAGTAATTAAATTATATAGTAAATTATACAAAGTAAAAAAACATGAAAAGTATACAAAGATACTCCTATTTTTTATAATTTGACGTGAACATAGTAAAAATTTCACATTTTCCTCTCAAAATTTTAGCTGTCACATCATCTGTATGTCAGAGGCATTACTATAGGGCTATAATTTTATAGACGTGATGAAATTATAAGGGCTCTGTTTTTATCTTATTTTTACTGAATCCTAAAAAATACCTTTTCGATATGATCTGTCTTGAGAACAGAAACTACATATACATATTTACTTATACTTAGTTTCATTTAGATCAACTCGCCAATTTAATCGGAAATGGAAACAAATAGACACACACCACAATATTATGTTAGGGAGCCACGTTCACAATTTCAGCAAAGCAATTGAGAATATGTATAGAATTAATGTATTCTACTTTTGGTCATTTAAAAGTTGTTGTTTGGTCATATAAAAATATAATCGGTAAACTTTTTATCCCGTATACAGCAGGTACAAGAACAATGCATTATTAAGATGGGCATTGACTAGCTATTTATTATCCAGAGAAAAAGAGCCCCATTGGAAAAAGAGAAATTGTAGGTATAAAATTCCCTATAAGTACCTATTTATATTTTATTCCCTATGTCTTTCCATTCGTTTGGTATTTAAAAACACTTTGGATCGCTTTATTATGGTTATCTTTATCATTTTAAAACACTCACTAATAATAAATACTTAAAAATATTTTTTCTACTTACGGTGTCAAGCAAATCTATTAGTTTGATAACATAGTACAGCCACACGTAGTCTATGACCAACCGTTCTATATAATTGTCCTCATAGTTGATTTTCTGACACCACAAGCTGTAGTGTCCGGGCAGATATAGCCACCTGAGGCACTGAAAAAAAAAACCTTTTTTAAAATACAATATTTACGCGCGCATCTTGCTGCATCACTCTGATTTGACTAGAAAGGGTCTAATAACAATACCTATAAAGATAGACATAGGCTGCTTTTTATCGCGGAAGATTATGTAATTCCCACAGAAAAACACGTAATAATACAATCCAAAAAATATTTATGATCAGAATTATTTGAAACTTGGTATTAATGCTCTTCAATAAAATTAAACAAATACGTGTTTTAGCATTTCTCGTAATTCATCCTATAAGGGGTTAAAATAGCGGATGAAAGTTTGTAGGAAACTACCTTTTTAGAGATTTTTTGTAGTTTTAGCGCGAGCGAAGCCGCGGGTTCTACTAGTTATAATATAATGTGAAAGTGTGTTTGTTTGTTTGTTTGTGTGTCCTTCTGTCATGCCAAAATAGAGCGACAGATAAATGTGATATGTATAGATATAGTCAGAGGGCTGTCAATTGACATAAAATATTTTTGCCGCCGGAAAATATGTCATTCCCATGGGAAAATAATATATAAAAAGAATCATACAAGAGAAATTTCGATTAGTGTATATATATATATATATATATATATATATATATATATATATATATATATGTATGTAATATGGTATGGTTTTCTGTATGAAGATAAAATAAATATAATAAATCAACTTACCTGCACCGCTAAAAGGCCATTTAAATATATCTGAAGGACATTGTACAAAACTATTAAAGATTTTAAGTTATATGCGGGACGGTCGGCCATAAACGTCGGGCCCCATGAACGAACAAAACGATGGTACAAAAACATGATCATCATGACTGGCATCGGACTGGATACAAGCCAGAAGTCCTTCGTTCGTGGATCTGAAATAGATTTTTATATATTTAATAACTATATAGGTACCTATATTATAGACTAGCGACTTACCCTCGCATCGCTCTGGTTCTTTTCTAGGTTGATTCCTCATACAAACTGTCATACCCATTTTCACCCCTTACGCGATGATTTCGGGGATAAAAAGTATCCTATGTCCTTCCCTGGGTCTCAAACTTTCTTCTTACCAAATTTCTTCTAAATCGGTCCTGTAGTTTTTGAGTTTATTCGTTACAAACATACAAAAATACAAATCTTTCCTCTTTATAACAGTAGTATAGATAATATATAATGTATATCGTATTATAAGTAGAAACATAACTAAATAAAGGTAACCGTAGTTTATTTTGCTATTTAGACCGCATAAATATTTTACTTTTCCTAATACTTTTTAAATTGTTAGCTTCTAGCACCTACTTCACATAAGTGATATGCATGTACTATCTAAATCTATGTAGACTATTAGCAACGACGAATAATTATAACCCTCGATGTATACAGCGGTATTTTATAATGACCTAAATGGATACGTGTATATTAGAGATCTGAAGCCGAGTCTTTGGATCTTTTCGACAGATTGAAATGACTGTTAGCTACGTTTTAATTTATATCGTAAAATATAAGCACATAAGTACAATGCTTAGTAACTCCTAAGAGCGATTAAAAATTTATAAAAACATTGATTAATCGTGTTTGGCATCTTACATTTTAAGTTAAAAAAAAAATTAAGATATTTTTATAATATTATTCCTTAAACCAAATTTAATTATCTAATAGGTACATACTCGTGAATATCTCGTGTCACGGGTGTTTGTAGTCGCATTCCTCCGAAACGGCTCGACCGATTTTAATGATTTTTTATTTGTATATTTGGTAGGTATGAGAATAGGCCTTAAATTAATTTTTACCGTCCTACCGCACCCCCTTTTTTTAAGTAACTAGGGGTGAACACGAGCAAAGCGAGGGTGAGTCGCTAGTATATTATATGTATATAGAATTAAATAATATTTAACGAATATCTTATAATTTCGGTGTTTTATCTATATCTGCAGTGGTGGTCAACCACAGTCCATATCAATGTAGCGTTGCAACTTTTAAACGAAATCTACACTCTAAAATATAAAGGAAGCTTGCTTGCTATATACATATATAAACTTACTTAATTACTTGACATTCAATTCATATTCATTTTCATATATTTACTATATAAGTATGTTATCTTTTTTCTTATAGCAATACCCTCCTGAACGATTTTGATCACGGCGGCCAACCTCTTTCCGTGCTCTCCGAGGCACGGGGAAGAAACATCACCCATTTCCTAACTCCGGGCTGTTACTGAGTATTTTTAGACAAGAAAAGCTCAATAAATATACTTCGACCGACCCAAGCCTCGAACCCAGGACCAAAGGGGTACTGCAACCGTACAAGCTAGCCACTAAGCCACCGAGGATTTTCTGTTATAAAATTTATTTTTCATTTCATTAGCGTTTCGCTTCTGCCGCAATTATTGTGTTAAAAAGGGCGGAACAGTACCTATGTTGAAACCCCGAATTCTTAAATAACAAATTACAACAGCAATGCAAATAAAATTACAAAATACATATTATTAATGTGACACCCGGGATTTCATATAAAAAACTATAATATTTTCATATTTATCTACAAAACTATGCAGTCTCTTATTAATTACGTACTTGTAGGCGTAAACCTATTGTAATTTAAAATGGCTAAGAATGTATTATAACTGGAACAGGTACTCTTTGACCTCGAAAACAATCAATATTTAATATTCAAAGCTTTATAAAAGTTGGGCCCTTACCAGCCAGGTCATCATTTACATATGTGTAATAGTGCGTAACGTTTTTCATTATCGTCCCCATCTCGGCTCGTCTGGAACAAAAAGTTAACTTTTTAAATATACATTTTTACTAGTTTTACACGCGATTCCACTCGTTGATAGGTATGTCGATAAACGCTATCTCTACTTCGAATTTCAAACACAGCCATTACAGCGTTATACATATATAAGATTTTCAGTCAGTCACAGTTCGGCTCAAAGGGTATTTTTGAGCCGAACTGTGACTGACTGAAAATCTGAGAACATTAATACTAGATCAATTAATCATTTTAACTTTCGTAACTTTCTTTAATTAAGTCCTAAACCATGAAAATCTTTTCCTTTAATCTATATATACATAAAATGCTTTGTCCTGACTGACTGATCGATCAACGCATAGCCTAAGCCGCTGGTCGTATAAACGTGAAATTTGCAGGACCTATTTCTTATACAATGTAGGCATCCGCTAAGAAAGGATTTTTCGAAATTCATCCCCTATGGGGGTAAAATAGGAGATAAAACATTGTATAAAACTCTGTTATCCAAAGCGAAATGCACGGAAAGTGGATAAAAACGTATTCTAGCATTTTTCGAAATTCAATCCGAAAAGGAGGTAAAATGGGGGATGAGAGTTTGTATGAAACTCTGTAATTAATGTACGGAAAGTGATATTTACCTTTAAAATAAAATAGAAAACAATACAAATACTATTATTTTTTCAAATTCATCCCTTAAAAGACTAAAAAGAGGATGTGTTGTTTATATGGGGAAAAAATTGTTTATTATCAGAACTACTTAAAACTTGCTGTTAATGCTCTTCATTAAATAAACGTTTTCTAAATTAAGTCCCTAAGGGGGTAAAACTGAGCGGTGAAGTTGGAGTTCGTTAATATATTTAAAAAGAGTAACATGGCTCAAGTTCTCCGTAAGTGGGTAACTTACTGTGTGGCTTATAAAGTAGAGAACGGAAATTATACCGAATCAAAAGGAAAATTATATATAAATCCTCGGCAGGCATAGCAGTGATAATTATAACGGACCTAGAACGCGAGAGAGAGATCAGAGAACCTAGCTAGAGAGTATCCTGCTATCTATATCCGTCTTTTGAAGGTTGGCACACCTGTAATAAAAAGTCACCTACGTTATGTAACAGGATAAGACTGTGAGTGCGAAAAAATGTATTGTTTTTGTATGATCGCAGGCGAAGCCGCGGATTCTGCTAGTCTATACTATAATAAAACAGTAGAGGTCGAATGTCTGTACATAGCAAAAAAATGCTAAAAACCGAGTCAGGGGGATATAAGAAGACAAATAGAACAAATCCAGATTTTTTTGTTTTTCTGTCTGTTTGTCTGCTTGTCTGTTTGTACGAGCTTATCTCCAAATCTATTGGACCGATTTAAATGAAATTTTGCATGGTGGTACCTTATATCCCCGGTCAGCATCTTAGATACTTTTCATCCCAGAAAATAAAAGAGTTCCCGTGGGATAGTTAAAAAACTTAAGTATCTTATACAGCTTAGTACACAATAACTTATGCACCTAATTTAGTAAAATTTAACATTCTGATATCTTATATTGCCGGTCAAACAACAGGTTACTTTTCATCCCGGAAAAATGAATGGTTCCCGTGGGAACTAATAGATCTCTATTAGTGTTTTTCTAGAGGTAAACCCGAGCGAAGCGAGGGTGAGCCGCTAGTGAATAATAAAAATCTTTCATTAGAATGCAAGTAATCATTATACCGCATTTTATCGAGATAGGATCGACCGGAAAATTAACTATGTATACAAAAACAAATTTATCAATAAGATCAAAATCATTAGGTTTTTAAAAGAAACTTGAATGATATGCAATTTACGCACACAGTAAGTTACACATTATATTAAAATGTTCAATACTTAACGTAAATGGAAAGTTTATTTATTTGTATCGATATATTTAAATTTTATTTATTATTGTAAATAATAAAGCTAATGTTAAACATTATTTAACTAAGTGATGGGATGGTATGGTAAATGGTATGTGACAGAATTTTACAGAGATATTTTGAGACTTATCTGAGTAGCCATTTACACCAAAAATCTTCAATTCAACTTTATTCTTTTACCTGTGGCTCATAGGACTAAATTCAAAAGACAACAGAGGGATAGAAAAACTTATTTTATATAATTAGTTTATAATTCAATTAAGAGTTATTTTTTTTATTTTATTTATTTATTTTTTATTTATTACATAGGTCGCTAACAGAGCATACATCCTTACAATTGTACATGGTAATAAACAAAAGAAGATCTAGTCTTAATGATGCCCTAAAATTATAAGCAACACAGTTTACATTAGTGAGCTAAAATAAAATTGAAATTAAAGTTAACAGTAAGTATATACTCAAACAAAAACTTGAAGATGTGTTTTTTTTATTAATAATAACAATAAACAATTTACCATTGATAGTACTCCACTATCAATGGTTAAGTTTTGAAAGCTTAAGTTTTATGGTATTCTTAAATTTATAAAAAGAATCAGAAAAAATATCGATATTATGACTTGAGCATAATGTTTTGTGAGATCTTATCATTCTATTATGTGGCGCATTGTGACCCAGGAATTTTATAGTTTGATTATTTATTTATATAAGTTAATTTGATTATTTTTAAAAGTAGTCTTGATATGATGTATTAAATATTCATATTGCTACAAAAATTGAAACGGACGTCTCGCGCAATAACAAGCACGCTATAAAAAGGAAGGATTACAAATATATGTATCAACATGTAAGTAATTCTTTTGTACAAAGAAGCCTGTACCAATGTTAAACATTAACTTACTTTAAGATTCTAAAATAATACTAAAAAAAACTACTCAAAAAATAAATGTCATTGAGATTGGGTTTATTTTCAAATATCTTCATGTGTATTTTATTATCTGCTAAAGCTGAAGAAAAAAAATATCAAGGAATAAAATAATATAAGATTAACATTTTATCTTTAATTAATTAGTTTCATTAAGATGACAAAAGCTTATATGAAAAACAAAAACAAATCTATCCCACAGGAACGGTACATTTTTCCGGGACAAAAAGTAGCCTAAATGCTATTCCAGACTATAATCTATCTCTGCGCCAAATTTCCTCCAGATCCGTTCAGCCGTTCTGGAAAGCATTATCGAAATCTGAATAGCTAATACAAACCAAAATTACGCATTTGGAGTTACCCATACACAAGTTGGTAGTTACTAGGTACTTACTAAAATTTTTAAACGTAATTTATGACTTAAATGTTTTTATTCTCGCAAACACGATCAATTTTTGTATTGTTTCAGTTTATTGTATATAGAAAATTATTCCTTGTTAAAATTCATTCCTATGGCGTCAAATTGCTATGGAAGCGCTTTATTTTTGCAATAATTTGTATAAAGACAATAAAAGTGGTAACTGGTGTGCAATTATTTTTGACTGAATTTTAATTAAAATAAACCGCATGCTGCAATGGGATTTAGTCTTGTGAAACTCACGAACTATGACCGTTTAATTCTATAATGATAGGCATTTAGTTTTAACACACTCAGTTATTGCGAATTTCTTCATTATCTGACTCTATGGCACAGTTACATTGTTTGTCTGGCGATGCCTTAACATATTACCACAGAGATCACAAGTTCGAGCTTATTGTCACAGTAATGTATCTATAACATTACCGTGTTATTGTGGAACAAATGGCATTGATTCAATGACATTTATAGTGCTTTTAGACTTTTACAGTAACTATAAAATATGTGACAAAACTCCTTCATTACCTCTTTTTTATTTAGTGTTCACATTTTTATCAATGCTAAAAAATATTTTTATATATTAAATAAATTTATTACATTTAAATGAAAATTTTATTGATTTGCTTAAAAATTGATATCTATGTTAAAAATTTGGTTTTTGATATCTATGTTAATATTGTGCAGCTACAAGCAGTTATCTAGGTACATTTACTATCACACGCATAAGCCAAAAAAATTTTTTGTTATCTACCAACCACAAACAACCTAATTATTACACCATATAAAATATAAATGAATAAATTCTACTCGTAATATTTATTAGAAAAAATATGATTCCACAATAAAGCTGAATTTCAACGAGACAGATCGTGAGAAGCTTCTAAGAAAATCCAAATTCCGACAGACATTTATTGTAATTTTTAGGTAGATTTTTTTTTAATTTCTTTTAATTTTTAGGTAGAAATAAAATATTCGCACTTCGACAATCCATAAACAAACGCTAACAATGTTTGTAACATAGTACCTATTCGTTTAATAGGTTGCTAAATTATATTGCAGGTGTTTACATAATTAGTAGAATGCTAATAGAAATTATTAAAACTAAATATTCAACCTGTTAAACGAATTCATGAAATCAATTTCCCTAAGTCAACTACATACATCGAATGCAACTAAGTATTATACCAATTTTCTTTTCGCTTAGGTATATTTTATTACGAGTTTAACTATTTTTGGCACAATATATCACTATCACTGAAAACCGTAATTTTAAGTAATTAATTGTATCTTCATACCTGTAATTCTTGCAGGCTTATGCAGGCCTGGGCGACGCGTCTACGTGCAACCGCCGCTACTCTAATTGTAACTACTAACTACACTCAGGTGCTGTTGAACCTGCACTAAATATATATTTTTAAATAATATTCATTTTTAAATGTCGCTATTACAAAGCTATGAATATCGGAGTTCCGTTCGCTAGAAATTATTGTTTTTACTTTTATTTCATATTATAATCATTAATTTTAATATTATGTAGATATATTGTCGAAACCAATTCACGTTTACTTCATTTCATAAGTTATTGCGTAAACGTAACAATAAAAATTAAAAACATTGATTATTTTTTTTATATTTTGAAGGTAGATCAGAAAAAATAATCTTTTACCACAACTATCATAATATAACAATTATATTCATGTAACATTCATATACATAAGTTAACGTACCTCTTTGCTTTTATTTTTACTCATTGGCTTTCTTAATTCGAATTTGTTTTGTGATTTAATCGCGATAGGTGTTCTAATAGTCTATTGTTGGCGAGGGCACTAGCCAATCAGTAGGTATATCTATACTAAACTTGCAACAAATAAGTTTTACTTTAATTTAAGTACATACTTATAATATATTATCATTATCTATCAGAGTTCAGAGTTCAATTTAAGTAAGTCTGATGGATATTTTATGTTATTTTTATAGTTTGTTATTATGAATTTTAATCCACTTATGTTTTTTTTATATAAAACCTGATTTATATTTTCTACTTTAATATAAGTATCCTATAATTTGATTTTATTAATCCCTGTGTTCATAAAAATCAGTCCCTTTGAAATTCTATCACGGCAGTCAATCTTAATGTGACTAGACAATGCACCTCTAATCTTTATACTTTTTACTACTCCTATGGGATAGCAAATCCAAGACAAGAGATCATATGACGACTTTTTGTGCCCTTTTAACTGTTCTTGTAACGACCCTAACCGTTCCCTCGCTTAAACCGGGATTCTAAAGTTCAAAATGTACAACCATACATTTTATGCACTAGACCATTGAAGTGATTATCGGTAGCGGTTATATTATGTACTAGCGGCTCACCCTCACTTCACTCGGGTTCGCCTTTAGAAAAACAAAAATAATAAAAATAATAAAAAGAGCATATGTGCTATTTCAGACTATAATCTATCTCTGTGCCAAATTTCATCCAGATCCGTTCAGCCGTTCTGGCGTGAAAGAGAAACGAACAACCAAATATCCATCTAAACTTTCGTATTTAAAATATATGTGACGGTTAGTAAGGAATAAATAGACTATTTATTCGTTTTTTTTAATTTGCTCTTTTTAAACGACATATATACATATAATAAAATTGTAACTAAGCCGAATCTGAACATTAAATATTTTTTGGAAAATCTTATTGAAATAAACATTATTATCGATACAGTGGCCGAATCTATAGTTTTTTGAATTTTTGTCTGTCTGTCTGTCCGCATCACAGAAAAGCCACTGGAGGGATTTTGATGAAATTTGGTATAGTGATAGCTGGTTATCCGGGTCAACATATGTATAGGATACTTTCTACCACTTTAAAATATCTCATTTCTGAGAAAAAATGCAAAAACTGCAATGTAAGGGTTACTAATCTCAAAAAAAAAATTACAGCTTTTCTGTGAGTTATAAATTGAGAAAACTTAATTAGAATTTTATTAATAAAATAATAAGAAAGCGAAATCAATACATAAAACATTTTTTTAAAAAACAATAACCGTCACGTATTTTTTACAGAAGATGGACCCCAAAACAATACTTATTATCTCTTATTCCCACGGGAAAACACAATAACTGGTTCTGCCGAATTGTCCTTCGTGCAAAAAATCTAATGATATATGTAGTTTGTATTCAAGCCTTTTTAACGTCCCACTGATGGGCACGGGCCTCCCTTCAGTACGAAGGGGAGTCCACCACGCTGGCCAAGTGCGGGTTGGCGGACTTCACATGACTTTCGAAAACTTGCTAGGTTATCTCAGATATGCAGGTTACCTTACGATGTTTTCCTTCACCGTTAAGATAAGTAGTAATCATGTTGGAAATGATTCGCACTTGAAAATATCAGAGGTGCGAGACCCGGGATTTGAACTCGCTTCACTCGGTTTCCCAAGCGAGCGCGTTACCACTGGGCTACCACTGCCTCATTGCATGATATATGTATTATTACACAAAAAAATTAGCAGCAGGGTTATTAACCGTATTTGCATATTCAACAATTTAGTGCGGTAAAATCTTTTACTTTCCCTGTAAACCTTAAGAGACATTAAAATAATGTAGGTACTAAAATATAGTAAGCTTTAGAAAGAGAGAGCCAACAGAAAACACGATAGCATGGGTCTTTCTTCTAATACACTCACAATTACTATTTTACTACGCACCCAAATATATAGCGAGCGTAAATCGCCAATAATAATTAAGATGCATGTAAGTTCTTAAAAATGTAGGTACTATTTAAATTTTAATAAGGAAACTAATGAAAAATTTAAATAAGAAATGTTTAAATTCCTGTTTAAATATGCAGAAATTCAGAGTTACCTAAGTAAAAGCTGACTGGCACTATTGTCAAATCAGCGCGGTATCAACATCTAGAATCTAGATGTCACATACCTACTCACCTATTCTTAAAAAGAATTTCTTGAAGTAAGAATGTTTCAAAATGATGGTGGTACGACTCCTGGGCGACCGAGCTCGACGTTTTCGGATAAGATATTAAAAGTGTTTTTTTTTTTCCAAAAAAGACACCTACCTACCTTTATACTCGTAGATTACGAACGAGATACACGCAACAATATAGTACCTGGGCCACCGAACTTCGCTCGGAGTTTTTGGTTAAAAGTACAATTTTCTTTTAAAAAATAAACTAAAAACTTGAATAAATAGAAAAAAAAAAAAAAAAAATTATATCTTTTTGCGTTTTCTCAGACATTGTTGGACATCGTTGAAGCCGTTTCCGAGATTCAGATATATATATATATATATATATATATATATATATATATATATATATAGATATATATATATATATATATATATATATATATATATATATATATATATATATACATATATATACAAGAATTGCTCGTATATGTATCTTTAGTTAGTTACTTACAGGTAACAATATGAGCATTTTTATAAAGAGATGGACACATAATTCATCTATTGATTCGTAATAGGTAGTCTGTTTAAAATAAAAATGAGGTGATAAGCACCCAGAAATGTGACCCGATTTCAATTTGATCGATTTTTTAGTAAAAATATTTTTATAAATCGAGTTACAATAATTTTTCAACCGACTTCTTCAAAAAAGAGGAGCTTCTCAATTTGGCTGTATTTTTTTTGGTTTGTTACCTCATAACTCCATCATTTATTGACCGATTAGGACAATTTTTGTTTTGTTTAAAAGTGTATATTTCCAATTTGGTTTATTTAAAGTTCAGAAAAATGTCACCACTAAGGGTGGAAAAATAGCTAATGATGAATTTAGCATACTTCTAATTTTCATATTGACTTGAAACTTTGCAAGTATTTCTATTTCCGTTGATAGTACAGTGGTTCGGTGTTGTTGACCTGATCTGATGGCAAGGTCAGAAGGTGGATAGGTGGAACTCTTCAACGGTTAATAGTAAATACTTTGAGTTTGCTTATTTTGTTTGATTTGGCAAGCCCAATACGTTATAATTGGATTTTAGAGTCTGATTTTTTAGTGTTACTAATTAATAAAAGCTAATTTCAGTTTGTCAATCTTCATATAAAAATTGCATCAAACTAACTTAAACGGCTATTTTATTAAAATACTTTCTCCTTAGTTTGCTACTATTATATCTACACTAAAAAGGGAAAAATAAAAAATAAAAAAACCTACTTTTTAGTCGGTGTGCTTTATTTGTGTCGGCTGGCAACGACTTCGAAAATATTTGATTAGATATCTATAGTAAATGAAAACTACCAATCACTTATTTCTTACCTTTTAGTGGTTTTTTTTTTTGAAGTCGATTTTTATTTTATTGTTTAATCTATACATATAATAAAATTCTAACTAAGCCAAGTCTGTACATTAAATATATTTTGTAAAATCTTATTGAAATAGACATTATTATCGATACAAAGGCCGAATCTATAGTTTTTAAAATTGTTGTCTGTCTGTTACCGCATCACGGAAAAACCACTGGAGGAATTTTGATTTTTTGGTGATAGTTTGTTATCCGAGCCCAACACATAGGATACTTTTTACCGCGGGAAAATGTCTCGTTTCTGAGAAAAAATACAAAAACTGCAATGTAAGAGTATTCTAATATGTAAAACCTAAGAATTTGAGTTTTGGTCATCTGAACGCGTGCGGAGCCGCGGGCAATGCTAGTTATCTATAATATCCTGAATAAAGCCAACAGGCTTAATACAAAAGAACCTTGACAATAGCACAGTATAAAAATGCATGTAGTAAGCGATAGCCCTTTAATTTTAACGGAAATACTGTCAAATTCATAGGTTATCAAAAATACCAATTATCTTGGCGAACAGTTTCTTTTTACCACCAACCACCACCAGTTTCTTTTAACCAATTATCTTGGTGAAAATAATGCCGGCACGATCGACACTTTCGTTAAATGGCTACATTAATGCATTAGTAGCCTGTAATAATATACAATTAAGTTTTAAAACAAATACAATTCTTATGTTTTAAACATTGCATAAATTATATTATCATGTGTACATTCTTCGATACTCACAATGACGCGACGTTTTATAGGCATTTGTTTGCCGCAATATGAATAGGGAGCCACTAATTGTTCCTTTATGACATCGTCACTATGTCGAATATTTTAATTTTAATGAAAACAAAAATAATAATATTTTTAATTATTATGCGTTATATGTGATTAACATACATATAGTTCTATAAAATTTATATACGCGCTACAATCTCTACATACCTTTTGCTCTTGTCCTATTTTTCATACTCCCATAATATGTACCTACGTAAGTATTTGTATTCAGCCCTTTTTAACGACCCACTGCGGGGGGTTGGCCTCCCTTCAGTACGAGGGGAATCAGGCCATAGTCCACCACGCTGGCCAAGTGCGGGTTGGCGAACTTCACATATCTTTTGAAAGTTTGCTAGGTTCTCTCAGACGTGCAGGTTTCCTCACGATGTTTTCCTTCATTCGGTTTCCCAAGCGAGCGCATTAGCACTGGGCTACCACTGCCTTTAAGTATTTATTTTAATAAACACTTCCTAAAAGGCGAAGTGATCTTAAATAATCAGAATCTAAATACAATATAGGCCTAGTAAAATGACATGTAAAAAAAAGTGATTTTATTGTCAAAATATGTGTACATTCAACTTTCAAAAATGTGTCGTTTTAGTTAAAATTGAATTAAAATATGTAGTTGCAGTTCGGTATAAAGCCCTTAAGGTGACATCAAAGAATTCTATAAAGACGGCGGCTAATTTGTCGTACAAAATCTACGGAGACCACCATGGCTCAGACGAACCAACGATACTACTATTTCACGGCCTATTAGGGAATAAGAAGCATTGGGACAGTATTGGGAAAACAATGCTAAATGTAACTAAAAGAACGGTTGTTTCTGTTGATTTAAGGAATCATGGCGACAGTCCACACGTCAACTCCCATAAGTATGAGGACTTGGCGATAGATATACTAAAGTTGTTAGAAAGATTGTCAATTGCGAAGGCAAGTCTTGTTGGGCACAGTATGGGCGGTAGAGCTGCTATGAGCGCTTCTCTTATAGCGGTATGTAGTATGTAGATAGGTAGGTAATATGTGTTGAGATTAATAAATTCTTATATCAACTTACATAATATGATTTTTACATTATTGTGTGATATTTACATTGTTGAGTGTAACTTAGGAATGTAAGAACTGTATACTATAAAGATTCTTATTATATATTGATTAAGCTTATATAGCCATGATAATTCGGTATCTTTAATAATTAATATTTTTATATAATAATCCAAATAATACACACGTCCGCGTAAATTTTCAGTAGCATTAATTTATTTTCAGCCAGAAAAAATTGCTGGTCTTCTGGTAGTGGATATTTCACCGATATCAAGTGCGAAACAACTAACAGATTATTTACCAAAAGTTTTGGCCGCGATGAAGAAAGTGAGCTTTAAAAAACATACGAAAGTTACTGCAGCCAAAAAAGAAGCTAAAAAGCAATTAGAAAATATTATATATGATGATTTGTTAATGAAAGCGGTGTTATCAAATATAAAGATGAAGGCAGACCATTCAATCGGCTGGGCCTGCAATGTAGATGTCTTAGTCAAACATTTTAAATATATAGCATCATTTCCAGAAAGTTTAAAAGTCCAAAACATTTTACGGCCCAACATTGTTTATTGGAGGTCAACTTTCAGAATTTCTTCCGTAAGAAATTTGATATTTTAATGCTTGAACCATATTTTCAGTGTTTTTTTCACGAAATTAGTACAGTACCTAATTGTCATAACAAATTATGTATACAATATGTTATGTATATAATATATATACCTCTGCACATAAATTCTAAAACTTCTGAATCAAAATTAAAAATGAACAAATGCAATGGTCATCCAATGCATGAGATAATATTTTTTCGATCAATCCAATAATAATAATTGTGTTATAATAATTACGTAGATACATCTATATATATATATATTGCAAAAGCCTTGGAGATTGATTGATTCATTCTCGTAATATAATCGCAATCGTAACCTATGGGATTCGAAATCGAAATGGGAATGCTTTTTAATCGATTTTCTCCTTTTTTTTATTAATAGCTTATAAAAAAGGTATCCCTTGGAGTCCTAAAGTTAAGAGTGGAATAACACTTTTAAAACATTTCGAAATTAGTGTAAATACAACAGGCGAAGCCACATTTGCTATGTAACATAATTTTTATATGCCCTTTGATATATAACATAATTTAAATTATAAACGAATATTTTATACATTTATCTATGTTCTGCTATACCTACTAGCAGCGGAAGTTCTCAAGTTACTTTTTTTTATATTAAACAGTGAAATAAAATTTGTTCGGCACTAAAATTAAGGTAAAAGACATTATATCAACCTTAACCTTTTCCTTTCGACGTATTTGGAGAAGTATAATCGTATGTGTAATCTTATTGCTCTTGTTCCTGATAAAACATCCTTTGGCATTTGACTTGAATGTCAATTTTTGACCGACTTAAAAATCAAAAGGTACTTGCTTCGGTTATAATATGTTTTTTGTGTGTATGTTCCGTGATATCTTCGCCATTCATGATTCTTTTTTTGATAATTTCATGAGCAAAAATCTACCCTTAAGTGTGGCATAATTACTTTTAAGTAGTGTTGAAGTTTATTTATGTTATTCAAAAATTAATTAAGTAGGTTTATTTACTATTTTATACTTTGTGTTTATATTATACCTTATTTATGTAAAATTGATCTGCTGTTAAGGTTCGTAGAGTTATGTTAGATAGCATGTAATCTTCCCCAATAAATAGAAAATTGTGCAAAAAAATCAAATCTATGTACCTAAATATTACTTCAGAGATACCTAAGCCGTAAGCGTGATCGCTGATCACACAAAAAACAAATTGTACAGCTTAATGATGTTAATAACCGGAAAACATTACGTTTGTACTGCATTAAAAATCTTCATTTATGTATTAATATGTCTCGTATCTATATTGTTTTTTTTTTGTGTTTTGTATACTTTTACACCAAGTAATTTATATACATCCGACCTCATTTATTGCAGTCCTGACGATTTAGTGGGAATCCGAGAGATGTTCCCGCGTGCTGTTATTACCTATGTTCCGCAGACTGGACACAACTTACATGCTGAAAACCCGAAAACTTTCCTAGAACTTGCTATAGCCTTCCTTCGTACCAATAAGTAAAAGTTAATATGGAAATATGGTGTTTAAAAATAGATAAATTGTGAAATTTGTAATTAAAAACTATTATCTACAGTTTTGTTGTGGGCTATTCATTTAAAAGATAGTGTTGTAAAATTTTATTGACACACTATAAAAAATCTGTTAAGCGCGGGTTGGAATCTTGCAACCAGGGTTTCGTATTTTTTACACTAAACTACACCTAATTCTGTTGAGTATTTTCTACTTACCTGCTTAAAAAACAAGACTTAAAAATCATACATAGGTACATCGCAAAGCGGTTAATTAGTACAAAACCGACTCATCTCGTTTATAATATATTTTAAGACTAGCATTGCCCGCGGCTCCGCCGGCGTTCAAATGACCAAAAACCAAATTCTTAGGTTTTACATATTACTATACTCTTACATTGTAGTTTTCGTATTTTTTCTCAGAAATTAGATATTTTCCCGCGGTAAAAAGTACCCTATGTTGACCCGGATAACCAGCTATCACCATACCAAATTTCATAAAAATCCCTCCAGTGGTTTTTCTGTGATGCGGTAACCAATAGACAGACAGACAAAAATTCTAAAAACCATAGATTCGTCCTCTGTATCGATAATAATGTTTATTTCAATAAGACTTTCCAAAAAATATCTAATGTACAGATTCGGCTTACTTAAAATTTTATTAGGTATATGTATAGATTTATTTATAACCACATTCCGCTTTATTACTGCTTACAATTGAGTATAATTTAAAACTTTTACTTTAATTGTTACTTTTGAAATCTAGTGTCAGCTAATATAAAGTAACGAACGCAATTTACGAATATTTAAAATCTAATCAGATACTTATCTTACATTATTATGATTCAAAAGGAGCAGCGCACCACTCTATACTTTACTTTAAATAAAAGTATGACAAACACCGAAAGGGAGATTTATAAAAACATGAGACAACGTATAGGGTTTGGCCCCAACCTTCTACGTACGGAACCATAAAAATTGATTGTGTTACCCAGAATTATGAAATTCTCACCACACTTGTTATTTTTATTATTTTAATGTGTATATATCACCTGTAAATTAACCATAGAATTAACAATCTTATAATAAAACGATTATTTGTGCGAAAAATTATTAGATGAATAATAAACCTAGCAAAAGTAATATCACCATAGTACCCATTTCGTGGCGAGTTTATTCGACAAATACTATGTAATAAAAATACTGGCAATAACAATAAATTAACGAAGTATGTCTAAGAAATCAATTCCGTTGCAAACACTGACATAGATACGTGAAAGTCAAGTCTTGGCCTCACGTACCGAGATGTTTCCACGTGATGTACCTAATAACTAAATTATCCTCCCAAGCCGCAATTATTGGCCCGGTAAAGAAGGCCTAGCTGGCATAAATTTAACGTTACCTATAGTAAGATACCGTTGATTGCGCTAGCTTTTCTAAAACAGGTTCAACGTGGTAACATAAATAATTTCTAGTAGGTAATCTATTTGTATTTTGTGTAAGGAATTCTTTTTTACTTCAATAATATTATGGCATCGCCTCTATGATTATTTAATAAAATAAAATTAAAAAGATATACCCGACGTATATATATATATATATATATATATAATATATATATATATATATATATATATATATCTTTTAAATTTATAATAAAAAAGGGAAGATACCCACAACAATTCGCCCTTTACTTGCTCATTTTTGTTGCACGAGATGTTTGGTGAATGTATTTAACACCAAAATGTGAACCAATTTTAATATTTTTTCTTTTAGTACAAGTCTATTTTAAATTCAATAGAAATTCAAATGAAGTAAGGATATTTAAATTGTGATTTTATTATTTTCTTTAAAACATTCTTTCAACTAAGGTACCTATTTTCCACTTTTCCATTCTTTATAGATAACAAAGACAGTTCAATGAATACAACACTTTAGTTTTATCTATAAGTCATAACTCTTAATAAGTCAATTGTCACTTGATGACAAGTTGACAGTTGATCATTGAATTTATTTAAACAATTTCAGAGGACAATAATGTCAAAATATTAAATTACAAATTTTTTATGAAGAATAAATAAATTGTATGGAAACATGTTACTCAATAGAATCATAACAAAAGATATTTCTAAATTATGGTCATATAAACTATATACAATACTTCCTCGACATGCAACTTGCTCTGCCAATAATGCAGAAACTGTGGACTTAGCTTATTCGTCGTACGAAAGCACTGATAGCCATTCTTCTACCAGACCTCCAGTAGTAATTCTTCATGGTTTATTTGGTTCGAAAAATAACTGGAACAGTATGAGTAAAGCTATACATAGGAATACAGGAAGGAAGATAATCAGTATAGACGCTCGTAATCATGGGGATAGTAAGCACTCGCCACAGCATACGTATTTACATATGGCTCAAGATGTAATGAAATTACTAAAAAAGCTAGAAATATGTAAAGTATCTGTTATAGGGCACAGTATGGGTGGTCGTACTGCTATGGTGTTATCACTACTATGTGTAAGTTGTACGTAAATTCTTACATTTTAGAGAAATTGTCATAAACAACATTAAATAACACTTGCTAATACATAAATGTATCTTAATATGTCATTTACTTTTTTCAGCCTGATTTGGTTTCAAGTCTTATTGTTGTTGACATGTCACCAGTAAAAACAAGTCCACAGATTTTTTCTATGGTAAATCTGTTTGATGCTATGGCAGCTGTTTCAATCAGGTCAGGAATTCCCATGTCTAAGGCCAGGAAACTTGCTGATGAACAATTACAAAGCATAACTCCTGATGTGAATCTACGAAATTTTTTAATTACAAATTTAGTGCAAACTAATGCTGGCTCTTATACTTGGAGAGTTAATATACCTGTTTTAAAAGAAAATTTTCAGCACAATATTGCCAGTTTTCCTGCAAGTCTAAAGGGCCTTCAATATTGTGGGCCAACATTGTTTATAGGAGGGTCACTCTCAGATTATATTAGGTACAAAACTTTGATCTTACCCTTTGACACAGTCAATGGTTTTTTTGTAGCAGAGTTAATAAGAGTTACCACAAAAATTATGTTACTCTAAATTCCATTTAATTCTAATTCTTATTATGGTACTTTATTAAAAATTAAACAATGTGTTTAAATGTTTGATCTGACATTTATCTTGTTAAAATAAATCTTCATTATATTAATAATATTAATATGAAATAAATTAATCTATCTTCTATTTCAGTAAAAATGAACTCCCTGAGATTCAAGAATACTTTCCACTAGCTGAATTAACTTTTATTGAAGGAGCTGGTCATTGGGTGCACAGTCAAAAGCCAGAAAAATTTCTTGAAGTTACATGCAAATTTCTGACAGAGAAATAATATCTAAAAAATTGAATAGGTAGCCAAATTGAATATACTCTTCATAGTCCAATAATATAGTTCTTTTTTGTTATTATTATATTCTTTGTTAAGTTTGAATTATTACATTTATTAATAGTAACTTGATTTTATTTCACCATTCTATATAGCATAGGTACCTCGTACCTATGTAATATTAATATACCAATATTAATTTTCACTACATTCAATCACTGAAAAAGATGTTTCAAATAAAATACTCCTAAACTAAGGCAGTGGTAGCCCTGTGGTAATGCGCTTGCTTGGGAAACCAACTGTAGCGAGTTCAAATCCCTGGTCTAGTATTTTTAATATCATGTGTGAATCATTTCCAACATGATTTACTACTGTATGACAATACGGTGAAGAAACCTGCATGTCTGAGAAAACCTAGCAAATTCTCGAAAAACATGTGTAGTCCACAAAACACCACTTGGCCAGCGTGGTGGGCTATGGCCTAATCCCCCTCGTATTGATGGGAGGCCCGTGCCCAGCGGTGGGACGTTAAAAAGTGCTGAATTCAATACTCCTAAACGTTATTCGGCAAAGACGGTCAATCTTTATAAACAACCCATGTGAATGTGGTCGAAATAATGACCCAAAAGATTAAGCGTGGCATTACGAGCTCATCTAGTCATGGTCTGCAAGACCATAAACTTTTCAACTCCGAGCTGCAACAGATATTTTCTTGCCTTAAAAGCCCAATAACTCTTAAGCCCCGTCCAGAATTCGAACCTAGGGCCTCATGAGATGCAGCTGGTCAAAAAATCCACTACGCCAACGCCGTAATAATGTTGAGAATAAAGTAAATGTAAAAAAAGACTAGATTTTCTCATGATTCATTCAGGAATTAGATGGACATACAACGACTATAATTATTTTAATGTAAATCTAAGACTAGATACCTACTGTTAAAGAGACCCTAAGTTATTTAAACCATTATCTAAGCATTCTTAGAAGATAATTGATTAGAATAAATACCATACTGGTCTAATTTAAATAATAATTAATTATAATTGAAAACAAACTTAAAAAGATGTTTGTACCAAAATAATCACATACAGTTATCATTTCCTCCTTGTGGTTTTGCACTCATCTACGTTGCACCCGGTACTAATTGGGGTAAAATATATAATTCCCAACCGAATACAATCCGCTTCATTATTCAGTCTAAATATTAGACTGATAACATTAAATTAGTAGTGGCATAATGGACAAAAACATCGTCAATAAGGGTCTGAACCTCCTTTTCGATCGCCTGGGAGAAACCCTACTCTCCCCAAAGGGCGACGAAGGAGCCGTATTTCAACTAACTGAAGATCATTTGGTAAGATCATTTTATAAACTACTAGCGGCTGACCCTCGCTTCCTACCTAAAAACAAAAACAAATCTATACCACGGGAAGCATAATTTACTTCCGGGATAAAAAGTAGCCTATGTGTTATTCTGATGTATGAGCTTTATTATTATTGATTTTTAAGTGCAATATAGAATAGTAGTTTTATTAAAATTCATACATCCATTCTTACAAACTTTCGCGTTTATAATATTAGTATAGATGGGTATGAATGTTTGTTACTCTTTCACGCAAAAACTACTGAATGGATTTTGATATAACTTTACAATAATATAGCTCATACATCAGAATAACACATAGACGACTTTTTATCCCGGAAAAATGTTAGCGAAGCAAGGGCGAGCTGCTGAGCAGATGAGACGCTAGTTTATAATATTAGTAGGATTTGTTGAACTTTGTAAATTTATTAATAGAAATAACTTACGATACTAGATTTCGCCCACGACTTCTAACATACTAAAAATATAGATGATTTTTGACTTTTGAACATTTAGAATCGATTCCGCATCTACGAACTACATACTCTTAGATATCATAAAATTCATAACAATGCTAAGTACTCGTAACTAACCGAAATTTTAGTCTCGCTTATATGTATTTAACAATTTTTTTTAAATAACATTTTATTTGCGCTATCACACAGCACCTACATTTGCTTTTGTTACTGCCGGTTCGATTTTTGCATGTGACTACATCTAAAAATCTAATATTTCTTGTAGGACGACCAATATAAAAGCAATGGGCTCGAAATCAACAATCGCTTTGGCGAGGGTACAGCCGAAGTTATTCCACTAGTGTCGTTAAAGAAGCAGCCAAACATTTCTTTGGCAAAACAACTACCCCAAGACGCTGAGTTCTCTGTTTTCATACCTTCTCACCGGCAGATGGCTGATGAAGTCATTAATGCTTTATTAGGTGAATATTATACAGATATGTGTCAACTGTAAATACCAAAAACAATTATATTTTTTAGTAAAGTGCAATTAATGTCATTTTATGTTATGCAAATATATAATAATAGAAGAATAAAACAAATGTATGTATTAAAAATAAGGAATTTATTATTACTATTTATTTAATAAGTTACTATTTACATATAAAAAATAATACATATTGTCTATCGTTTGTAGATGTTCCAGAAAATGAACTTCCACAATTTCTATCAACATGTGTGTTCGCAAGAGAAAAATTAAACCGTCAGTTGTTCTTCTATTGCTACTCTGTTGCGCTCATGCATAGGTCAGTATCATATCTCATGTACCATTATCATAATAAAACATAGATGTAAATCTACATAGAGCTAAATTTTTATTAAATAAATTTCATCAACGTTTTATAATGCCCATAACTTTGGAAGGATATCAATAAGGCCTCATTTCTATCCTCCGAATAATGAAAAAAATGTATATAAATCTATCTGATTTTTTCTTTACATATTCTAAAAGTAGACTTGTGTGCCTGATAAGATAATATATTTGTGAGATAAAAAAACTTCAATTACTTGTGAGATGCCAAACTTTGGTGTAACTGAGATTTTCCCTTCCTTTAACTAGAGATAAATATTTCTGATGTCTTTATTATTTTATAATTTACATAATATTATTTAAGCCATTAGTGTCATTGTAATCCCAGTAATTTTGTTCTAGGCGGGATACAAATAATATCCGAATTCCAAATCTCGCGGAAGCTTTCCCCTCAAAGCTGGTTGATTCACAAGTATTTGGACAAGCTCGGGAAATTGCAGCCACCTCTGCCAAAGGAGCTCCAGTATGTCAATTTCTTTATTTACCTTTGCCTTCGCAACAATTTTCACATTTTTTATCACTACCTGAACACAAAACAGGCTTATAGTTCGGAGTCCAAGGTCCTAAACTATTATTAGAATAAAAATCCATAGGATATGTTCCATCATCTTTTAGCCATTTACTATTTCCTAAAGATACTGAAAATTCATAAGGCGATAGCAATGGTTTTGGAAAAGCTGTGCCCCAGTCAATAGATAATCTAGGGCAAGCCACTTGCACAAATGCATCCAGATTGAATAAAGTCAATTTACTAGGGAATATTTCTGATAATAATATTTTTACATATTTCTTTTCTGTGTTCTGTATTTGTTTCTCTAAATTATTTAAAACTTTAGTACTTCCTTGTCGCCCTAAAGTACCCAGAATAAGACCAAATTTAGATCCATTTTGTGCTATTGTCAGTTCATTTTTTCTATTTGACTGCATTAATTTATGGTCATATGTCTCAGAAGTAAATTTCTTATCATATGGGTCATATTTGTAAGCAGGAATGTTTGGATTAGCTATCATAATTGATTCAAGATGAAATCTTCCATCACCCAAATAAACTATAATATCCGCATCTAACTTTGGAGCTGTACAACCAAGAATTTCACCAGGAGATAAAGGCTTGCATTGAGGAACTGTAACTATGTATTCATCACTCCGAAGTGTTTTAGCTACAGAGTGTAATGTTGTAACAAATTGAATTGTACTAACTATAGCCAAATGGGTTTTTAGAGGAAAATTTAACTTAATTGTGTTTATAAAGTGAGAAGGATCTATCTTAATATCTACAAATACATACAAAACCTTTATATTACTAGTTTGATCTATAGGTATAAGGCAAGAATGTCCATAATGTACTAGCAGATCAACACCTAGAGCTATTGCTGTGAAATCATCAATACAGCAGGCTCCATAGGTTACATCACCCATTATTACTGTGTCAGCATCAGTAAATGTTTCGATTATGTCACATAGCGTCGTGGCAAACATTGTGAGACCTAAAATAATAATATACACTTCAAAGTACTGTTCGTAATAATAGAATGTATCTAAAATGTAAACATTACATTACCTTCTGGAAATTGCAAAGCTACCCTTTTTGAACCGAGAGATCTTATTCTCCATATTGTTTTATGCACTTCGAAATTATAGTTTGATGGTAATGTTTCACATGCTCTATTCAGAACAGGGTCATTTAGTAATTCATCAGGTATTTTATTTACCGAACGAATATTTGGTTTAAATGTTCGTCTTTGGCCTTCGGGCTTAGCACGCACAACAACCACATTAGGTTCTAAATTATCCATTTTTACAAGGACATAATTAATTATTTTTGTATGACTTAAGGTTATGTTTTTATAAAAATAAAAAACACGCGCGAACTTTTTGCAGGGCCTACGTGACTTTTCGCAAGATAATACGATTCGTTTTAGGTTTTGATCATTAAACATGATATTGCGATTTAAAAGTTTGGCTTGTTTAAAAAAATATTAAATTGATTGAAATGAGTATTAATTTATTATTAAATAATGCATTGAAAAAAAGTTATGTAGGAAAATAGATTTTTAGATTTCAAAATTTATTTTATGACGTTTCAATTTTATTTTACAATTTACGTAAAATGTAACGCAATACACACATTGAATAGTTCGTTCCTTTACACGATAGTATTTTTAATATCAACTATGTATATTTGATAAATAATTTTATTTAGGAGTAAATCAAATTAAAATATACTTTATCGTATTAATTTTTAAAATTCTTATTTAATCTCAGTATTTATTTCAGTGTGAAAGCTACCACCGGCGAGACATTTAAGCGTAGTACATTGGTATTATAAAAACAATACTTGTTAACAATATTGCAATACAACAATCATCGTCTTGTTCTACGCAAGTATCAACTAAAATAGTATTTAGTAAAAAAAATATTTAATATGTAATTTCTTTTTCTTGTAGCGTCGTCCAATCATCATTCCTAGAGATTACACGGCTACTGACTTAGATATTGAACACCGACTAGCCTACTTCCGCGAAGATCTTGGAGTCAATCTTCATCACCGTTACTGGCATCTTGTTTATCCTTTCAGCGGTAGATTTGAAATAGTCAACAAGGACCGCCGGGGAGAGTTATTTTTCTACATGCATTCACAGATTATAGCTAGGTAAAATATATTTGTATTGTATTCAGCCCTTTTTAACGCCCCACTGCTGGGCACAGACCTGCCTTCAATACGAGGGGGATGAGACCATAGTCCACCACGCTGGCCTAGTGCAGGTTGGCGGACATCACATGTCTTTCAAAAACTTGCTAGGATTTCGCAGACATGTAGGTTTCCTCAATATGTTTTCCTTCATCGTAAGGCAAGTGGTAATCATGTTAGAAATGACTCGCACATGAAAATATCAGAGGTGCGAGACCCGGGATACGAACCCGCTTTACTCGGTTTACCAAGCGAGCTCGTTACCACTGTCTTTTAAAATATATTCATTATTATACATATAAAAATAAATATATTTTTTAAAAATATTATCCACATGTGTGTATGTGGACAAAATCCTAATTTTTTCATCTCTAAAACTGAACACTAAACTAAAATATAGGCGGCATTTAATATATTTTTAATTGATTAATATAATAATGCTTGTAATGTTTATTATTTAACTAGATTGTTAATTATTTTAGGTATAATGGAGAACGACTTAACAATGCCTTACCGAGAGTGAAGAAATTTAATAACTGGGACGAACCTATCCCTGAAGCTTATTATCCAAAACTGGACAGTCTAACAACCTCGCGTGGATGGCCTCCACGACAGGCCAATATGCGTTGGCAAGATGTTAACCGCGTCCCTGACAATCTTAGAGTGTCTGTTGCTGATATGCAGCGTTGGAGAAAAAATGTCGAAGAAGCCATCGCAACTGGGATGGTTAGAAATGTAAGTAAATAAAGACATAATAGCTACCTACATACATTCCGCCCATTTTTACCTTTCAAAGCACGCGGAGCCACTGCAGGTGGCTCGGTTAACAATCAATTTCTTAGAATTTAACCTCGAGGTGTTAACACCGCAATGATTCCCCTTAATGGTAGGGGAATATGGTGTACCCCCGTTAGCCAAAAAAAATGCGGACTTCTTGAAAACAAGTTAGCCATTCATAAACATGAAGATTTGCTTACGAAATTTACCTTCACCATATTAGCAAATAATAATCATGTTGAAAATTTGCAAATAAAATACACCTGTAAGCGAGAGCTAGATTTCAACCCACTTTATTAGATTTTAAAACGAGCGTTCTTTAAATGGACTTATTCACATTTCAGAATAATTTATGATTTATTGAATTGTTTATTTTTATCTCATTATATATTATAGTATATAGCTATAAGGTAATATAACTTTAACCCTAGATATTTTTACTTAAAACGTTTACAAGAATAACAAAAATAAATTAAAGGTTTTAAATAGGTAGATATTTCCCATGAAATATTTGTTTTTAGCGCGATGGTTCCATGTCACCACTGAACATCAACCTGCTGGGCAACTTGATCGAGTCGAGCATACTTTCACCCAACCCCGAGTTGTACGGCGCCTTGCACAACAATGGACACGTCCTCACAGGATACATTCACGACCCTACTAGTCGTTACCTTGTAAGTAAAATATATTTTTAGGTAAAAAAAGAAGGAAATTTAGCATATTATTTTTCTCTTTATCTTACATAAAGAGAGAAATAATAGAAGATGGAATACTTTAATTTTTGTGTTCATAACCAGGAATACTTCGGCGTGATGGCGGACGAGGCGACCACCATGCGCGACCCGTTCTTCTACCGCTGGCACGGCTTCATCGACGACCTGTTCCAAAGGTACAAGGAGTCAGCAAATGTCGCTCCCTACGTACGATCTGAGGTTAGTTTATTGTTTTTATTGGTATAATTATGGATTTCGTTTTATTATAGTTTTGTATTTATCATTTTTTTTATTTTTCATTGAGAGGCATATATTACGTGTAGGTATTTAATGTGAGGAAAAAATCAAAAATCTATTTTAATCTAAAATATTTTTTAAATAAATAACCGTGACAATATTTATGGACGTGATTTTTTTACATGTAATGGAACTTTCTTTACTTTTGTCTAGTTCTAAATTCTAATACTTTTCAATACCTTCATAATATATTTTTTTGTAAATAGTCCCTAAACAGAAAAAGACTACATATATAAATCTTAATACGAGTTTTTTCGACTATATAAATAATATATTATTTTCGCACAATTTTTGTTCATTGACACTTTTAGACCAATCGGAATCCGTTTATTGATAAGAGAAAAAAAAGGTATTGAAAACCTAAAGTTTTATGATTTTAAAATGTTAGCAGGTATATAAGAAATAGAAATTCGAAAAATGCCCCATATGCCCAGCTACCCCCGAGAAATGGGGGGACGCAAAGCGTTGAAAAATAGTGTTTTTTAATTTTCGGCTTACAAGACTTCGGTGTTTTCACAAGACGACCATATTACAATGTTTTTATATTTTGAAAAAGTAGAGTTCAAGATGAAAAGAATGAACCTTATCTGAAAATTTTCCGATTTTTTTTTTAAATGTAAACGCCCACTTGAAGTTAGGGGTGATTTTCAGCTTCTCGAGACCATAAAACATACTTTTCTCGGAATTGGCTAAACATTTCAATTTCATTTTTTATTTATTTATTATATGTATTTTGAAGATTACATTCCCTTAGTTTCATGGAAATCAAAAGATTATTCTAGAAATTAAAAATAAAAAACCAAGAAAAAATTTAAAAACCGAGCTTTTGCAAATATCTCGAAAACTTTGAGGTTATTGTAAAAAGTGTTATTTATAAAAGTTATAGATTTTTACTAGATCTACAACTTTTGTAGAAAATATTTTTCGATAGATCGTCACAGTAAGCCGAAAATTGAAAAACACTATTTTTCAACCCCCATTTCTCGGGGGTAGCTGGGCATATGGGGAATTTTTCGAATTTCTATTTCTTATATACCTGCTAACATTTTAAAATCATAAAACTTTAGGTTTTCAATACCTATTTTTTTTCTCTTATCAATAAACGAATTTATATAAGTAAGAGCCATCAATAACTTTTTTTAGCTGGAAAACCCTGGAGTGCAAATAAGTTCAGTGCGAGTGGAAAGTTCGACCGGCGACGTGAACACGCTCAACACGTTCTGGATGCAGAGCGACGTGGACGTGTCCGGGGGACTGGACTTCTCGGACCGCGGCGCGGTATACGTGCGCTTCACTCACCTCAACCACCGGCCTTTCAGATATGTGTGAGTATGATACTTCTTATAATATTCTACATTATTTGAAGGAAAACATCATGAACAAATCTGCATGTCTCAAAAAATATATCAGTTTAATGCCATCTGTTCAAACGGCCAAATGCCAATACTTATTGTACCTACTTTACAGTAGAGTGGTCTTTTTTTCTTCTATTTAAAAAACTAAGCTTTATTTCTAAGATTTATGTACATACTTATGTAGATAAAATACAATAATCATAAAATATATCGTCTAACACTTCATTATCTAAAGCTTCAATAACTATGACATGTATATCATATTTATTAGTATATGTATGTAGATTCAAATTATTTGTGTACGTATTATATTATATGTATATATTATATTGTACTTGTTTATGAGTAAGCATATCTTATTTTTCTTCATTATACCATTAATAATTAAATCCGTATTTTGATACCACCGTCTCGTTTTCTTATTTTAAATCCTTTCACCAAAGGTTGTCTGGCAGAGATTGCTTTTAGCAATAAGACCGCCTTTGCATGCTTTATGTAAAATAGAAACAATACTTGTACCTACCTTTTTATATTTGTATTGTGTGCAATAAAGATTAAATAAATAAAATAAAATAATCTTTTCGGCTTTATTAAAGTAAAATTTTCATTTAATATTTATAAAATTGACATTTAAAAGTCAATAATTCTGCATTAAGACTCTTTCCGTAAATTGGTCATTTGGACAAATTAGCATTAAATAGCACTAAATTAAAAAGAAGTCGATTGCGAAAATAAAAGGTATAACCTCCAAGAGTCATTGTAAGCATGTCTTTATTTCACACTGCTTCGGATTTCGCAAGAACTATTGAGGACAAATCTATGAATTAAAATTTTCGAACCTGATGCAGAAAGACGTTATAAATTATAATGTAACATTTTTGTTGTCCAGGATCGACGTGAACAACACCGGGAGCGCGCGCCGCGCCACCGTCCGCATCTTCATGGCACCCAAGTTTGATGAGCGGAGGAGTCCTTGGGTCTTCTCTGACCAACGCAAGATGTTTATCGAAATGGACAGATTTGTTGTGCCATGTGAGTAGCTTATTATTATTATCTAGTGTTTTTGTTAAATAATTTATTGTAGTTTTTTATTATTATATCCCTCTGCTTTACCTCTTACTGGATAACAGTATTATTGATACAATAACAATATGGACTATTCACGACTTATGTACATATATTTAATGAACACAATTTTATTTTATTTTTTAATTTTATAAGGTTTTTTATATGTAATTTGTTTGTTAAACTTCTTATTTAGCTTCTCAAATTCTCTCTTAAAATGCCGGCCTATATAAGCTTTTTTGTGCACATTTATCTGTCTTTGATTGCAGTGATATTTATAAACAATAAAAATATATAAATTAAAAAAAACAACACTCAACTAGGTGGCACTATCAATCAAATTGACATACTTTTTAGGTTTTAGTGAGCTCTCAAAAGGCAATTCCTCCACGCATTTAGTATGGCTATAGTACATTCTGACGTCACTTATTTACAAACTCAATTGACCAACTTTTTATTGATTTAAAGCAATTAATCCCCAGCGAAAGTAAATTCGATTTTTGAAATCGCAATTACCAATGAAAGTAAATTCGATTTTCAAAATCGCAATTACCAATGAAAGTAAATTCGATTTTCAAAATCGCTATTCGCAGTCAAAGTAAATTCGATTTTCAAAATCGCATTTCCCAGTGAAAGTAAATTCGATTTTCAAAATGGAAAATTCGCAGTGAACGCGGGGCAGAACCAAATAGTGCGTATGTCGACTCAGTCGTCGGTGACGATCCCGTTCGAGCAGACCTTCCGCGACCTGTCGGTGCCGCGCGACCAGAGTGACGCCGTCGCCTTGAACTACTGCGGTTGCGGCTGGCCGCAGCACATGCTGGTGCCGCGCGGCACGCCCGCCGGCGCGCAGTACGACCTCTTCGTCATGTTGTCTAACTACGACTTGGACAGCGTAAGTGTTTCACAACTTGACCCTCTGTTATTTCAAGGTCTACTTCATTATCCATGCAGTGGTCTAACAAATGTTTCTATACAGCGTATTTAGGGTGTTTGGGGGGATGCGTTCATCTTGTCGTGTTGGTGGGGCTCAGTAGTGCCCGGCAATTCAGCCGGGCGCGAAGCCAAGAAACGCACAGGGAGGTGGCTCTCTTCAGTAGGCGGAGATGGCCCTCTTCGGTGGACGATGTACCATGCGGGTTGCTCCTGGTACTTCTCTGATAGCAGAGTGGACCATGGAACAACCCCATGGTTGTTATGGTCTGCTTCAGCAGACCTGCCGCTGGGAAGTCGTAGTTGAATGCGTAAGCGATCCTGCGACGCCCCATTAAGACGGGGGGAGGTTTTGTTGGGTTTTAGTGGGTAGTACTGGCTTTGCCGGTGAGTCCCACACCTCGTGCATAAATGCATTTCCCAACGTTAAAAAAAAGGAGTTTTTGGGGAAGACGCATGAAACGTGCACCCGACTGTCATACGTTATTATATAAGACAGTCGGGAAACACCTTTAGGGTTGAAGATTAACTCTAGCTTGCCACTAGACGGCATACTAACTTCGTAATCGTTCACCATGAAAATTAGTATTTTTAGATTTCAATTAGTAGGTATTTAATAGAATTTACTGTACGGATTTTTATATTGAGGTTATATCTAATTTATTCATAAATAGTCTGTTTACGTTTATTAAAAGGTTATTTTTTCATAGAATAGTTATAGAATATACAAATGTTTATCCTGTTCATCTTAATTAATAATTTATACGGAAAAAGTATTGTTTCAAATAGATGAGGATGAAATAATATTGATATAAATATATTTTGCAGGTTGACAACCCTGACGGCACTACGATGACCTGCGTGGAAGCTTCGAGCTTCTGTGGATTGAAGGACAAGAAGTACCCCGACAGACGTGACATGGGATTCCCCTTCGACCGCCCCTCGAACACCGCGGCCAACATCCAAGACTTCATCTTGCCTAACATGTCTCTTACTGACATCACAATCCGTTTGAAGGACGACGGCGCTGAAGTAAACCCACGAAACCCGCAAAATTAGATCCAATTGACATTTTTTTTAGCAAAACTCTTATATTTTATTCAAATTCGTAGATATGCCAAAGTTACTTACTCGTATTTATATTTAAAATGTAAGGCTGATAGATTAAGTGTTATAAATTTTTAGTATTGTACATATAATTTTAAATTTAATGGCTATAACAAAGTGACCTCTTAAGTAAGCTTAAATAAATTATGAAGCAGTATTATTGGCGTTTTTATTTCACTCTATGTACACGTGCAATGTGCGACGATCCTTTTTTGCATTTGGGCACGGATTACACCACTAATGTCTCATAAAACCTTTCTAAACAAGGCAGATTGGTCGGTAAATTAGAATTATAATGAACTAGCGACTTACCCATGCTTCACTCGGGTGCATTCCTATGTGCTTCACAATAACCCATCAAGCAACTTTAAAGGCCATTTTTTCCTGGTTCGATTAGTTATTATGATTTCTTATAGAAAAACACATTTTTATCGAAACAAATACATTAACAACATCCAGTCTTACAACTTAAGAGCTCACAATCTTTACCTCCTTAATATTAATATTTAATGTTCTCTAATAGCGATAGAAAACGACCCTATTTGGGAACATCTTTACTCGCAAGTCATGTTTTTTTTTCAATTTCATGATCTCCGGAAAAATATAACCAAATTAAAATATAAAGGACAAATTTTATCTCTATTAACTAATGGCGTCTGGCGTCGTAAGTAATTGAGCGATCCTGTGACGCCCATTAAAGACGAGGGAGGTACTGTTGGGTTTTAGTGGGTAGTACTGGCTTCTTGTTGCAAAGACGATGTAGGCAGGAGCGTGAATCAAATGAAAACAACGCACACGTGGATATTGGATTATATTATTATTGCACATTAAATTTATTGACAGAGATCACTTTATATTATATCTAAAAGGGGTGCACGTCGCGGTCAGAGCCATAAGAGCATAGATGAAGTAAGAGCTGTCAAAAACTTAAACATAGACATTACATAGATATAGACGTCAATAGACAATAGATAATTGTCCATGACATGAATGCATTTCAACACTTCTGTATAAGTCGGTGAGTCCCACATAACCGTCTGTATGTATGCAGGTGGTTTGCGTAAATGTATTTCCCAACATTAAACAAAAACATAGTAGGTATTATGCAGACGGAGACATATTGTATACACGTGGCAAGATTCGCGGCTAGTATAATTATTTTTTTTATGTTACTACAAACGACTTACTCTCGCTTCGCTCGGGTGCGTCTAGGGATGGAACATTTCACGAGTAGCAAGTGAAAAATCACGTGAAATGCGTAATCATACGTCACACCTGCTACTTAAATTCATAGTGGCTGCTACAAATCACAACTTGGTGAAATCTAGAGCTGTAGCAAACCGTATGTATTCGTTACTGAGTAACGGGTACGCCATCTAGTACCGAGTACCGAAACGTTACTCACGAATGCATTTCGTTACTCGCATTTTCCGTATACATTTTCGTACTGATGTTTTTATTGATTTTTTATTCAACAAAATACAATTTTCAGTTAATACCGTTGATCAGTAAATTGGGGAGTTTATTTATTTCGAGTTGCATGATTTCGGATTCTTAGAAATATTGTTTAGAAATAATTTTAAATTAGAAACAACAATTAAATTTAGAGCACATTTTTAGTTTTTTATCCAACAAATACTTATAATTTTTACTGAATGATTATGTGTAATACGTACAGACATAACCACCAACGCTGAGAACGAGCTAGAAATGTTTATGAATGAACCAGTGCTTCCGCGCGATTCTTCGCCATTAGTTTGGTGGAAATCTCACTCCTATATGTACCCCAATTTGGCGGAAATATTTCATGAGCACTGTCACATCGTGGTGACATCAGTGGAGTGTGAGAGAGTATTTTCAAAAGCGGGAAATTTTGCAACCCAAAAAAGAGCACGATTAAGCAGAAAACGAACAGCGGAACTTGTATTTTTAAAAAGCAATGAAGACTATTGTATATAGATATCTCATAAAAAAATCAATCATCAAAAAAATCAAAAAGCAAAAAAAATGATTATAAACAAATTAAAAAAATTAAGAAAAACAAAAAAAAAGTGTATAAAATTCTTTTATAAAAATTCTTATTGTACATAAAAACAATGAAGTTTTAAATACGCCAATGTAATTATGGAACTTAGCTTAATACAATTTTACCGTGTGATTACTCTGATATATTTAAAATTCATTTAATTTTACATTGTCAGTCCCAAGCCTGTAGAAGTATGAGGGAAAGTTCATTGTTTGAAAATAGGTTCATTCAAAGCACCATGTACGTATGCAACTACGTCAGATCTATAACTCTGCTCCATATCACATCAGTAGCGCCATTGGTGACATTTCATACTTCATTTTAATAGCAAATAATATAAAGTGTGACACCAGACCGTCGAAATCAAAAATCTATGCGTGAAAAGTAGCAGGTGAAATCACGTGAAAAATTGTTGTAATTTCATTACGTGATAATGATTTAAAAGTAGCAATCATTTCCATGCTTAGGTGCGTCCCTAGTTGCATTGTAAATAGATTATATATAAAATAAGATACAAATTTTTATACACAAGTGTAAACATTTAATTGAAAAAATAAAGTATTATTATTATTAAGTAATTATTTCGAGTGTATCTTAGGAGATAGACATTTATGCTATTGCGGACTTTTCTGTAGGCATTTACGTAATATCTGATTATTTATCTATAGTAAATAAAAACTACCAATTTCACTCATTTTTTAATTTGAATGTTTTTTTTTGAAGTCGGTTTTGTATTTTTTGTCTATTTATCTGTTTTTTTGTGCGCATTTCACGCAAAAATTTGTGATTTTAACTAAATTTTGTGTAGTGATAATTTATTTCGGGTCAACATTTAGGATATGGGTACTTTTAACTACAGGAGGGGTGGAAGATTGAATTGTGAATCAATCATTTCTCAAGAAGGGATATACATATATATATATATATATATATATATATATATATATATATATATATATATACATATACATATTAGATATGCGCCGAATGTTCAACCGAATATTCGGTTAAAATGCCGAATACTTAATTGCCGAATATTCTAATAGTATTACGTTAAGATTTATAGTATGTGTATAGAGTAAGTGTGTGTATAGAGTAGGTATGTGTAAATGAAACAAGCACTCTATAAAATCTATAAAATTTTAATTACAATCAAAAATATTTATTAATTACATCAAAATAACAATTCTATAAAATCAAGAATTTTAAAGTAGCTATTACTAACAATTTACTCGTGACGTAAAATGAAAATGAACATAACTCAAAATTTATTTAAAATCAATGTTAATTTTAAAACAACATTTGCTAAACAAAATACTGGTAGGTATCTGAAATGAACAGTTGTATAAATCTTTTAATTACAATGTAATTTAACATAGTCGACTCTTATTCAGCAATCAACATAAGCACACAGAACTCTAATAAAAATAAATCCATACTAATATTATAAATGTGAAAGTGTGTTTGTTTGTTTGACCTTTTTTCACATCGAAACGGAGTGACACATTGGCGTGATTTTTTGCGTGGAGATAGTTGGAGGGATGGAGAGTGACGTAGGCTACTTCTTATCGCGGGAAATTATCAAATTCCCACGGAATTGCACGTTATAATACAATCCAAAAAAATATTTATGATCAGAATTACTTGAAACTTGGTATTAATGTTCTACAAAAAAAACGCGTTTTAGCATTATTCGAAATTCATCATATAAGGCGGTAAAAGGGGAATCAAATTTTGTATGAAACTACTTTTTTAGAGATTTTTTGTAGTTTCAGCGCGAGCGAAGCTACTAAAGTGTTAGAAGAACATAAAATATAGGCGCCCTAAGTTATTTTAATACTTCGAGCAGGTCAAAATATGTCTGTTTTTTAAAGTTAACTGTATTTCCGATTTTTTTGCTAAGTATTTATTACGTTATGGGGTATCGTTGGAATGCGGAAAAATATAACTCGCAATTATAATATAACCTTAAGTAGCGCCTACGAGGAAAACAAAAATCAAAACCTAGTGATGTTATGATGTTAAAAATAAGGAAAATATCACATAATATTAATTTAAATATCGTAAGGAATGTGGGGAAAAATGAGCCGCTGACTACGAGATTAAAAAGCAAAACAGAGAGATTAAACTGCTTACAGAACACATCACTGTTATTTATTACGATTTAAGATACTCACGTTTTCCTTATTTTTAAGAATTTTTTATTGTAGCTAAAAGTAGTTCTTTCTTCAAAACTGGTTGTTTCCAAAGATATAAATACGAAAATCGACCACATCGAAAACAAATCGAGTTTGTATCTTCTAACTGACACATCAACGTAACCTTTGACGAAATATCTACTCATTAATTAAAAATGGTGAACAACTGCCGCTCTATGTTACTGTTGGTCTGCTTGACCTTTCTGGTGATCGTCTCATCTCCACAAAATGGCGTACAGGCAGATCGGCTTATTGGAAGCTGTGTACGAGGCGGGGTGGACTTCACCTCAAACTGCAACGGTGAGTGTAAGAGGCGCGGCTACAAAGGAGGTCACTGTGGAAGCTTTCTCAATGTCAACTGTTGGTGCGAAACATAAGGTTTAAGAGACTTGGATTGAGAGAGATTAAGATATTTTACTGAACTGACACCGGAATATTGTTTACAACCAATGAGAACTAATAATTATAAAACATCACACGTCGATAACAAAGAAACAGCATTGGCTATCTTTGTTTTGGTTTTTAACCAGCTTAAATGAATATTCAGAACAGGATATAATCTGATGTTGGTAATATTTTTTAAATAATGATTGTTTTATTTTAATCCTGAACCTTGAAACTTTAATAAACATGTATGGTTAAAATATAAAGTTGTTATATTTAAATCCAGTCTATGAATTTTATATTGGGTGTTTCGTTTGTAAGCAATTTCTTTTTCATCTATTGTTGCATTCCTAGAATAAACCCCTTAATATTCCTGATGCATTATTAAAGGAGTAGATTGAGTTTAAAGTTTTTAATTTAGATTAAATAAACTAAAAACTAATTTTATATAAGATAAAGTCGACTGCAGTTAAATTATTCAGAAGCTTCCATAGGTAGTTTTTATTTAAATATGTGAAATGAAATAAACTTTATTCGATTACACTTATTACAAGTGCTTTTGAATCGTCAAGTTTAGAATAGACCTAATCAGATATTTTCGAAGTCGGTTTTTGTGCTAGTTATTTTTGCTGGGAATTTGATTTTTTACAGTAATTATATAAAATAGTATTTTTTACAGTAGGTAATTTATGTGTTAATAAGTAATCGATTATTTTATCAAATTTAATCATATAATTATAACAATAAAGTAATTTTGTGTCTATTTTGGATAATTTTATAGTTTTAAAACATACCAACGCCAATAGTGTGTTCAATGGCATTCATGAATGACTTCGTTTGTAAATGGTGTTATATCGACAATAATAATCGGTCGCTCAATATTACTTACTACTAGTTTGTATTACAAATTTATTACTTGAGATAGTTCACTTCTTCTTCTTTTCGTGTCGATGGAAAGTTTTAAATCATGTCAGCCCAAAACTCATTATGGCAAATACCTAATTATAGAGGTCGTCGTTTGGTGGAATTGTCTCTTAACACATCTAGTGTTAACTGTATCGCCGGTGTGTCCGCGGTCGTTGAGGGATTATTGTTGCCGATGATACAAATTTACAAGCGAGAAAAGAAAGTTATTCACAAATAGGTAAACTATAATAAAAAAAAATGGCTACTTGACAGTTTTCGGAAGTGTTTTAAAATGTGCAAATTTTAATTTTATACTTCTCACAATAATCTATTAGTCGAAAAATTGTTTAAAAATACATAAAAACATTTTTTTTGATATGACATGTCGTCCTAAAACAGTCGGTCACGTGACATTTTGAGCTGATGACGTCACATTTCAATAAATATACCTGGGCCACCGAGCTTCACTCGGAGGTTTTGGTCAAAGGTACAATTTTCTATTAAAAAAAAACTAAAAACTTGAATAAAAAAAACTAAAATAAATTATACACCTTTGTATCCGACCGGGACTCGAACTCAGACACCTATGGTTGTCAATCTTGCGCCTTGGCCGCTTGACCATGATGCTTTTGCCCGAACATGTGCAATTATCGACCATATTTTGCGTGGAATAATGAAAAGTCAGTCCGTGAGGAAGCTAGTAGCTACCACCGGCTCGAAAAGCAGTTCTGCTGAGAAGTACCGGCGAGAAACTCAACAGTTGCTCTTTTAAATATCGGAGTTACATTCCTTTTATTAACATAACATTATAGATATTTATGCATATGAGTCATTAATATCATTCAATTCCACACATTTTCACCAACAAGAAACTCTTGAATACGCTTTTACGCTGTATAATACGCTAAGTTTGCTCAATAAAATATTTTTAATTTTATCTTTCAATTTTTGAGAAGTTAAATCAGGACATTTTCTGGAATCTTATTATATATGCGTATACTCAAGCCAATGAAGGATTTATTGACCTTTTGGAGCCGAAATCTAGTGTTTATTGTCTGTCTATCACTGTTTTTTACAAAATTATTTAAATTCTTACGAATAAGTAATATATTGTGACGCAACCGTAAGAATACCATTTTTTTTTAAAACATGTCGCAGGGAATCACGTGCTCTTAGATCATAAATAGCCCGTACTGCTCTTTTTTGAAGAATAAAATATATCGAATTAATTTCCGCTGCACTGCCCCAAAAAAGTATTCCATAAGATAGAATATTATGAAAATAACTAAAATATACAAGTCGAGCAGTGTTAATATCCAATCCAATATAGTACACGTATACAACTCCCCTATTTGAATCGGATATTATTAAATTTTTCATTGGTTTTAATTTTTTTTCGTGGGACCCTATTTTTTTCTAAAATAAAAGTAGCCTAAGTTATTCCTTATTACATCAGCTTTATGCCAGTGAAAGTTGAAATCGGTTTAGCTATTTCAGAGATTAGCCGGAACAGACAGACAAAAATTGTAAACTTATTAATGTATTGAAATAATTGTAGGTATCTACTTTTATTCATTCTACGACGACAGATTAACATTTATTAAGGATAGATTAAACTAACTTAAAGAGAAACAATATTAATAATAAAGAAAAATATGACAATGAAACACAAGATGGATATACCTATTGGTATGTTGTATATATTCTAAAACTACATCCGTAAACAACGTGATAAAAATAACTTTTTATCACATTGTTTTTAGTTCTTTTTTATTTTTTCTTAAATTCTCACGCAAGTTTATCAATATGCTGCGGTCATATATATTTTGCACCCGAGACTATGAGGAAATTAACATATCATAAAATGCATGTTATCCTGAAAAACTATTATTCCACTTCACGCTTTGTGAAGTGAAAGGACGTTTACAGTTTGTCTTATTTTAATAACTTAACGACTTTTACATAGCCGCAAAATGGCTGACGTAGTCAATAGTCTCCTATTGTTGTTCGATCGCCCAAATGAACCAATGATTTCTTTGAAAGGCGAAAACAAAGCTTTATTCCAATTGACCGAACAGCATCTGGTGAGTATTTTTACTGTCAGAAACGTTTATTCAAAATTTAAATGTGTATATAGTTAGATTATTAATATTACCACTGTGCATGAGCATAATTAAGTATATTTGTAATTTTGTTGTATTTCCATTAATCATTATCTATACTAATATTATGAAGAGGTAAAGTTTGTGAGTTTGTGATTTTGTGACATTGTAGGGGGTAAACTCTGGGTCTACTGAACCGATTTAGATGAAATTTGCTAAGAAGATAGTTTGAGACCCTGGGAAGGATATATGATAATTTTTTTATCTCGGTAATCATCCCTTAAGGAGGTGAAAATGGGGATGAAAGTTTGTATGGTGAATCGAGCTAGGGACGAACCGGAGCGAAGCGAGGGGGAGTCGCTAGTTGTAAATAAATGTAGCAATATTATAAAAAGCTACAAACTGTGACATCATAACCTCCTCCTCCACCTAATTTTATTATTAACAGAAAAACTGTATAACTACATATATTTTTTCTATCCCGACCCAACACGGAACCCAAATCCAGGACCTCCGGATCTATAGCCTAGATCTATAGGCCACTAATGATCGAACTTTTAGTCTAAAATCTTATAAATATATAATAGACTTAAAATTTTAGTAGAACATTGTTATCTTGTTTTTGTGTGTAGATATGTAGACTATATACTTGTACAAAATAATACTATACTAGTACCAAAGCTTTGTATTTTCAATGTTATCGTAACGGAAACTGTTATAATTAACCATTAAGTATGGGTTCTAAGTAATCGGATAAACAATTATTTTTTCATATTCTTGATTTAGGTAGATAGATAGGTACTCGTTTTTTACTTAAAAAATATGATTTTCCTTGTAAGTATTTATGTTTTTCTACTTTGTCATCATTTAAAAAAACATGGGACTAAAAAATTGAAATACTATTGGTATACCTCCTCTCCGGTCCTCCTGACTGATTTCGGCCACGGCCAACTGCACAGGAGATGTTATAGTGCACAAGTGTACACGCAGACACTTAATGCCGGTACATTGTCTATTCCTGTTGCTCTCATACTCCACTGGAGTAAAAGTCCATTTATCACCATCAGTGAGTGACCAGAGATCAGGCGCAGGACCAACAGCTTTACGTACTCTACAAGGCACGGGGGTGGAACACCGCCAACTTGCCAATTTCGGGCTTACACTAACACATTCTAAAATCTTAACATAATGACTCAATAACTAAACTTGTCCCGACCTGGGACTTTTTTTATTCACAATATAGAAAATTACAAATATACTTCATTATATATACAAAACAAATGTACACTTAGTTATTACTGTACAAGTCATGTCCGCGTGGAATAGTGGCAAGAATGCTAGCCGCATTCCCCCGTTGAATGGTAATGCCGATTCTTTAGGCGAAAAATGCGCCAGCCCTCCTGTCACCAGTAGAGGTGATAAGACGAAGTGTTATGTCTTTTTTAAAAGAGCTTAGCACTTTGACTTCATGACTCATGACTCCTGGGACTTGAACCTAGGACCTTCGGATCTGTAGCCGTACATGCTAGCCACTAGTACACCAAGGCAGTTTAAAACAAATGTACCTTGAGAATGACTGTTCAGTCATCTACTCTACTCTGTCTCTCTTTCTGCTATACCTTTATCACCAGCAGAGGATGTAAGAAGGAGTCAGATGTAGGCATTCCCAGTCCATGTTCTAATGGTTTTTAGTTTCCACTTTTTTCTATTAAACAAAGAGTAAAAATATACTATTATTATTATACTGTGTATAATGGAAAGTTAGATGGAAATATCTATACTTTTTTTATTGAGGAATATATTTATAGGCTATATAATATATCATATAATATATAATCTATCCATTCCATACTAACCGTTAAAACGTACCTAGCGAAGCGAGGGGGAGTCCCTAGTTACCTAATAAAACTAAATCGCGAACTTTTAAATAGATGCTACTATTAATTGATGATGTTCTCCTGGCCGATTCCGGCCACGGCGGCCAATTTCATTGAGACTAGCCAACTGCGCAGGAGATATTATAGTGCACAAGTGTACGCGCAGACACAAGTGCACTCTCTATTCCTGTCACTCTCATACTCTGGTGGGACGACCACTCGACACGACCAGTGAGAGTTAAGGCGCAGGACCGACGACTTTACGAGCTCTCCGAGGCACGGGGGTGAAACACCGCCAACCTCCCAACTCCGGGCTGTTACTGAGACTTACTATACAAAAAGACTCAATAACTAAACTTGGCCCGACCCGGGACTCGAACCCAGGACCTCCGTGTGTGCAGCCGTACATGCTAGCCACTATACCACCGATGCAGTTGACTATTAATTATTGTTATTTCCTACTAATTATTATTGTATGTTTGTTTAAGGAAAATCGCATGAAATTGAATTTTTATAAACTATTAATAAGTCTAATTACTCAATTATGAATTGATTATTAAATGTTATAATTTTTTACATTATATACACAATATATAACTCCACGTTCTAACTAGTTCAAAAACGCTTTTTTCGACATCTTGTCTTACTTCCGGTAGACTGCAAAATTATAAAGGTAGACTAGTACTAATGCTTTAAAACACAGTTACAATTATTGATAGTGTTTTAAAATTTATTCTATGCCACCTTCACGATGCTACACAAAGGCTATCAATCTTATCTCATACTCTCGTTGCTCAACAGTTATGAGTATCTATCTAACTTTCAAATTCAAAGAATTTGCAACATCTTTAATAGCTTTAGTAAATAGTAACTTAGATATTTTGACTCAGGTTGATTGTAATAATTTACAAAAAAATGACTTATTGGTGGTTGTAAATAAAGGTTGATAGAAATACAAGTTTCAAATATTTGCAACGAACAAAAATGTTTTAGGGAGAGGACTACAGGAGAAATGGAATTGAAATAAACAACCGTTTCGGGAAAGAGGCGAATGAAGTTATACCTGTAAAACAATTGAAGAGAGTGCCCCAGTTTCCAAAGGCGAGGCGGTTGGCGCAAGACTCTGAATTCTCTATTCTACTACCAGCCCACCTGGAAATGGCTGATGAAGTCATAGACGAGATGTTAGGTAACTATTATTTACACTCCCAACATTGTTCGCGATGAACAAAAGAAAAATTTGAATATCTTCTCAAAGATTTATATTAATCTTTCTTCATTCATTTGTTTGGTGTCGTGTGCAAAAAGTAGTTTATGGGTTGTATTAGGTGATGCATAAATTATAATTGACATAGTGAGTGACGAAGTTGTATTTGAGAAGTGTGATTAAAGACAATAAGGTCGACAATACAAAATATGGCGTGGACGATTGTGATTTGTAAGTGTAGATACTAGAACAAAAACATATATTACAATATAGTGTTTGTCTTGATGTTTTATGTATGTAATTTTAAAAATATTTTAAATTACCGACATAAAACATTTCATAATATTTTCATGCACAAGCCATGCCTGACAATCGTTTTTATTATTAGCTATGTTTATTAGCATAAAATAAAAAAGTCTGACTTGCACTAGGGATTCGGTACTGTAACTAGTACTTGCCTGACTCACTCTCTATTGTATTATTGTTTTATTTATGTAGTCAGTAATGACCTAATATATCTAATATATTTAAACGAGCAATTCTTGTATATATATACATATAGCAAAAAATTTTTGCAATGCGAATGAATAAAAGTACTAGACGTAAACACTTCCTTGCCATAAATAATTATCTTTGTACTTTTCTAAAGTTCAATTGCCACTTTCTTTTATTTATTGTAAAGGCTTTCATTCAAAAAAATGCCAGCCATAATATTTAATATAATATTTTTTTTTAAATATGTATGTTTAAAAATATTTCATACCTTAGGGTACATAAACCAGATCCTAAAAAAATTGTACACCATATATTGGCCTCCTTAGAAGTAGGAACGAACAAAATGGTGTTAAAACTATCCATATCCAAACTATTCAGATTCAATGCTTTAATTAGATTTAGCCTTTGTTGGTCGTACCGCCAACATTCCATTAATCTATGCATATAATAAAATTCTAAGCGGCTAATTTGTTCATGCTGTACCTATATTAAATATATTTTTAGAAAATCATATTGAAATAGACATTATTATCGATACAGAGGCCGAATCTATAGTATTTAGAATTTTTATCTGTCTGTCTGTCTGTTACCGCATCACGGAAAATAACTGGAAGGATTTAGATGAAATTTGGTATGATGATAGTTGGTTATCTGGGTCAACATATAGGATACTTTTTTATTGCGGGAAAATATCTTATTTCTGCGAAATCTATACAAAACTTTAAAAAGTAAGTAGGGACGAACCCGAGTGGAGCGAGGGTGAGTCGCTAGATAATGATAAGCATCTTCATATACTCCACATACGTCACAGTTTGGTGAGAGTGATTTTTTCATAAGAAATTACCTACTTAACAACTTCCGGAGCGTCGTTTACTTGGTAATGAATAAATACTCGTAAATAATAATACATATAGTATTATACTAGTAATGTAGTATTATACTGAAAGAGATAGACGGGACTTAGCCAATAATAAGTAATTTTTATAATTTTTTCATAGCCGTCCCTGAAAACCAACTACAAGACTTCCTTTCAACGTGTGTATTTGCAAGATCTAACTTAAATCCTCAATTGTTCAACTACTGCTATTCCGTCGCCTTGATGCACAGGTTAGAGGACATGTTAATTTATTTTATTTGTTTTATTTTATGTACAAAGATGTGATACTAATATTATTTCAGGAAGGACACCAAAAATGTTCCAATTCAGAACTTTGCTGAAACATTTCCTTCAAAGTTCGTAACTTCTCAAGTATTTGCTAGCGCTCGCGAAATTGCTGCAGTTGCAGCTCAAGGAGCTCGGGTAACTTTATATCTAGACATTATTATGAACTATTTTTATAATTTATTTATGTTTATATATGGACACTTCGATACTGATAAATAAATGTGATGAGTTTTTTTGAAGACGCTAATTTCTGGAACCACCAACCAGTCCGTTTGTGTTACACCTTAAAAAAGTATAAGTCTCTAAGTAGTGTTCCAAAGCGCGATTGCTAGTTCTTTAAGAACTTTCTAGTTTTGAAACTTAATGTTTCTGTTACAAATTTTAAGCTTTTACGCAATTTCATGGTCCCTATCTTTACGAAGTATACAGCCGCATTAGCTCAGGCCTCAGTAGTCAATAAATTGTCCCTGCGACAGCTGCTATACCTTTTCTAATCATCGTATTTACACCTATCTTTATTACACAAACACTCTTTGTAATGTTTGCCTGTGGCTTGTGTGTACTTCTTGAATTCCACCCGTGTATTAATCCTAGTATGGACCATTTGGGCATTTACTTTACAATCAACTAGTTTAGAAATCTATCAAAATAATTATATTATTTTTCTGTCACAGCGTACACCAATTATAATTCCGGCAGACTATACAGCTACCGACCTGGATGTCGAACATCGTTTGGCTTATTGGAGAGAAGACATCGGAATAAACCTCCACCACTGGCACTGGCATCTCGTATACCCGTTCACTTCTAACCAGCGCGAGATCGTGGCGAAAGACCGTCGCGGAGAACTGTTCTATTACATGCATCAACAAGTTATTGCTAGGTAAATTATGTGCATATTTTTAATTAAACTATCTTTTCACTCACAGTCGGAACATCGGGAACGAAAAATCATAATAAAATTGAGAAAAGAAATCCGAAAAGATACTTTTCAAATGTCTTTTGCCCAATTTCACTTAAGTTACCACCTACGTATGGGATCCCTAGCTTAAAAGTTCCCCTAAACTAGCCCCTATATCAAATTTCGATTTACCATTGTCACAGCCCGTATTTCTAGTACCTATATTTAGGTGGCATTTTAACATTTAGGTGACCCCTAACTGTCGGTGAAACTGAAACTATCCCCTAACAGCCCCCTAACCATGCTTAGGGGATCCCTTAAACTTAGGTGACGTTGGTGAAATCGGCTATTTATCTCGTAAATCCAACAAAGTATTACATACATGCTTATTAATGATACGATATACTGCCTCGGTGGTGTAGTGGCTGGCATGTAGTGGCTAGCTGCACACTCAGAGGTCCTGGGGTCGAGTCCCGGGTCGGGCCAAGTTTAGTTATTGAGTCTTTCTGTATAGTAAGTCTCAGTAACAGCCCGGAGTTGGGAAGTTGGCGGTGTTTCACCCCCGTGCCTCGAAGAGCTCGTTAAGCCGTCGGTCCTGCGCCTTAAATCTTACTGGTCGTGTCGAGCAGTCGTCCCACCGGAGTATGAGAGTGACAGGAATAGAGAATGCACTTGTGTCTGCGCGTACACTTGTGCACTATAATATCTCCTGCGCAGTTGGCTAGTCTCAATGAGATTGGCCGCCGTGGCCGGAATCGCCTAGGATAACATCATCATCACATTACTTACTGGCGCATAAGAGATTATTTACTTACTAAACTAAAACTAAATTCTATGACATTATCCTGTTTCCTTCATAAGTAACATGATTTATATAATAGGTATGTAATACTATTAAAATGGTTTTCTGTTAAATGCCACTCAATAGCTAACATACTTTAATTATAAAAAAACTATTTAAATTAACATATAATTTAATACTTAATAGAATACCGTAAAGAACATAGTATTTCTTCATCAGATACAACGGAGAGCGTCTAATCAATCTGCTAGGCAGAACAAAAAAATTCAGCGACTTTACGGAAGCAGCGCCTGAAGCCTACTTCCCTAAATTAGACAGTCTGACGACCTCTCGCGGCTGGCCCCCGCGCCAAGCGTTCATGCGGTGGCAGGACCTTAACCGACCTGAAGATGGTCTATTAGTGACCCTAGCTGATATGAACCGCTGGAGAAGGAATATTGAGGAAGCTATAGCCACTGGATTAGTTAGACTGGTAAGTATTTAAAAATAATCGACATATAAACTGATTGAATTCTTGAATATACTAATTTTGGTTTAGATATGTATAGAAAGTGACTATTAATCCAGTTACTATAATAATAATATATAATTACTTGTCCAGCTATTTTATTGTTTTTTTAAATTACTATCTATTTATAAACTAGCAGAACACGCGGCTTCGCTCGCGCTAAAACTACAAAAAAAAAACTAAAAATGTAGGTCTCATAAAAAATTCCATTCCCTATTTTACACGTTCCTATTTAAAACACGTATTTATTTAATTGTATTGGAGAGCATTAATAGCAAGTGAGTTTCATAAAAACTTTCACCCCTATTTTACCCTCTTAGAGGTTGAATTTTAGAAAACTCTAAAATACGTAACTCATTATTTTTGCCGTACTCAATTCATACGAAATTTCATGCAAATATGTCCAAGGAATAAAAAGTTTCATACAAACTTTTATCCCGTATTTCACCCCCTTGGGGGTTGAATTTTGAAGAATCCTTCCTTAGTGGATACCTTCGTCATATGAGGAATACGTGTGCGAAATTTAAATTTACTAGCCTTAAGGGTTTGGCCTGTGCCTTAATACATCAGTCAATCACTTTTGCCTTTTATATATACTTATAGATTTAGAGCATCTAGATAAAAGATTATTTATTAGTAAATTTTAATTTTCGATTATGTGACACTGACTTGGACAACGTAGGTTGACATTGATTTGGTCACAGTTTCTACTCGAAAAAATTTTTTTTTATACTAAACAATAGCCGGTCTAATAAAAATAACATCAGTCATACAGCTAATAGTAATAGACTGTTACTTTATCAATAGGGTCAGTCAGATATTTTAAAAGGCCTTCTCCATATCACCCCTATAGATTTTGGTCATTTAGTCTAAAAGTACATTTTTCTCATGAGAACGGTATGTATGTACCTATACTAAAATTTATTATTTTCTTATTATCAGCCTAATGGAACAACGCAACCTCTTGACATCGACACTCTGGGCAACATCGTGGAGGCCAGTATCCTGTCGCCGAACAGAGAGTATTACGGCTCTCTACACAACAATGGACATAATTTAGCTGGCTATCTGCATGATCCCACAAACCGCTATCTTGTAAGTTTTAAATATATTGTCTAATATACATGTTGACCATTATTTTTTTGAATTATTATAATTAAAATATTGTCGTACGAGTAAAAACTAAATTCTTTGTACAAGTTTACTTTTCAATTTTACCAATTTATGCTTAATTCTTATTTTAGGAATCATTTAATGTGATATCAGACGAAGCAACTAACATGCGTGACCCCTTCTTCTACCGCTGGCACGCTTTCATTGACGACTTGTTCCAAAAGTTCAAGGAGTCTCCAAACAATCCTCCCTATGAAAGATCTGAGGTAAACAAGACTTTTTTACAATGAACTTAATATCTGTAGTCGTAGCTAAATGTAGAAGCAGTAGAAGTGTCTAACTAGTCTTACTCGTAGCATAAAAAGGCATTTGAATTGAACTATAATAATAGTAACATCTGTAAGGAATGAAACTCTCGTATCCCACTCCTCCTGTGTAAAGTAAATAATATACTTACGTATAAATGTAGTAAAAATATTTTAATTACATTAAAACAAAAGTAGATTAGTTGTATTGTACTACTAGCGACTCGCCCTCCCTCCGCTCGGGTTCGTCCCTAGTGATAATTTGGGTTTGTATGTATTTTTTTAATGCCGAATCATAAAAATAAAAAAAATTCGAAAAATAATTTTTTTTTTTGAGATGGACCACCCTTATCATTTAGGGATATGAAAAATAGTTTACGTCCTATTTTCAAACCTACTGAATATTACACACAAAATTTCCTAAACATTGGTTAAGCAGATTCGGAGGAGTTTTATTATAAACACTGTGACACGAGAATTTTTTATATTAGATATTATTTCACGTTATGTTATAATATAATACAGTAATAGGTTTAAGCCTTGTTAAACAGTACATATTTTTATAGTTAGTACTTAGTTCTATACATACACATCATGTTTATATACACAAGATGTTCATAATTTGAAGACATCATTTATTCAATTGTAAACCTTAAAATTAGTATAATTTAGTTTGTTTATTTCATTTGTATGTCAGTTTTGAGAACTTATGATAAAAAAAAATTGCAGCTAGAGAATCCAGGAGTTCAGATAACCTCAGCACAGATCGAGAGCTCCACCGGCGATGTGAACACGCTCAACACCTTCTGGATGCAAAGCGACGTGGACCTGTCGCGGGGACTGGACTTTTCGGACCGCGGCCCGGTGTACGTGCGCTTCACTCACCTCAACCACCGGCCTTTCAGATATGTGTGAGTAACAACTAACATTTGAAATATTAAGCGGTAACTTACAGAAAGTTAATATAAAAATTTATTATTAAATAAACATAGATAGATGCATGTTTCCTTTCTTGAAATAGAGTGCAAAGGGCAAAAGTCCATAAGCCTACTGTTTAATTCAGTCAATGAAATATTTTATGATTAATATAATATAAGATCAAGAAAGTACTAGATGTAGATACACAATCAACGACAAAAAATGTCCTCGCCGAATGAGCGTTCATTTGAAAATTTGAGCGTGCTTTTAATTTTTTTTTATGAAAAAGCTTTAAGCATTGCATTTAAGGTTCAATTTACATTATTGTATATTTATTTTCAACTACAATAATTACCTAAACACAATTGGTCACAGTTTTAGGAGAACTTTTGCATGGGATTCTACTTCTTCCTGCCCATTTCCCAAATTACTAATGTTCGCCGCAGTAGGTCCATAGGTACTGCTTATTGGTTTTGGCAAAAAAAAACCGACCGGCCGCCTGCCTGACCTCAACCCTCTTTGGGAAGGCTGTTCCATCACCATCATCATTCACCATCGAGCAAGGGACTTAAGGTGCGATGTCCCTAGATCCTTTAGTCGTCTTCAACGACGCCTACAGGAGGAGATGGGGTAGCCCTATAATAAGCCGAGCGCTACACAGATAAACTTGTGCATGGGATTGTGTATCTAGTATATTTTTGATCGATGAGGTTTATGCTATATAAGAACTAATGTAATTTGGTTAATGGTACATGTTATTCTTAGAATTAACGCCAACAACACGGGCAGCGCACGCCGCGCCACTTGCCGCATATTCATATCTCCAAAGTTTGACGAGCGCAACTTACCCTGGATCCTAAACGACCACCGCAAGATGTTCATCGAGATGGACAGATTTATCGTACCATGTTAGTATTACATTGCATATCTTTAGCTTAATAAATCATATCTGAAGTGATGGAAATTACATGATAAAAGTTTTATAAATATTTACCTAGTAACCATTAAAAAGATATTGATTTTATAGTCCTTTGGGGATTATTAAATGTTACTACATTTAATTTTAAATTTACTAGAACTTTTAGTTTATACTTATTTCCTTATATCATTTACCTGATTAGATTATAACAAAGTACGGTATTAAAGCAACCCAAGTCTATAGTCCAAAATAGTCTATCCGTCAAGAGTCCAAAAACTTGTAGAACCTTAGTCTTAATAATAAAATTATGCGGACTATCCAGAGTATTTTATCACGAAGTATCCCTTTTTATAATACTATCTGTGCCCATTAATTATATTTCGTGTCCACTAAACTTTATGTGGTCTGCATTGGCTTTTAATATATCTTTTTATATGTAGTGAACGCAGGACAAAACACAATAACCCGTCTATCAACGCAATCCGTCTTGACCATCCCGTTCGAGCAAACTTTCCGCGACCTGTCGGCTCAGGGGAGCAACCCGCGCGCCCCGAGCCTTCAAAGCTTCAACTTCTGCGGCTGCGGCTGGCCACAACACATGCTGGTTCCGAAGGGTACGGAGGCGGGCAGTCCGTACGACCTGTTTGTGATGCTATCCAACTATGACTTGGACCGTGTAAGTGCTAAAAATATTAGTATATATTGGTTGTAATTCTTATGGGCAGGGCCGGATTTAGGGGTATGGAGGCCTCGGGGCAACAAAGGAGTTGAGGCCTCTAATTATTTTCCGAGTAAAATGATCAATTTTTTAGTCAAGTGTTTTAAGTATTTATTGCGAAACAAATGAAATTATTTACAATAAACATATGTAAATATAGTCAAATGCAAGAATTATTCGAAATTAAATTACAGTGTTAATGAATGGAACCTTTTCGCTGAACATTATTGCTTTTTTATTATAATTGAAAATCTTAAATTACCCTTTAAAATAATATATAACTTATAGACTTAATGCAAGCATAAATAATCTATGATAAAGTTACTTTTCAATTAAGCAAAAAAAAGCAAACATCTATCTAATATATTTAAACGAGCAATTCTTGTCAATATATATATATACATAATCTGAATCTAGGAAACGGCCCCGACGATTTTCATAAAATTTAGTATACAAAGTGTTTCGGGGGCGATAAATCGATCTAGATTAGTCTTAAGTCTGGGAAAATGCGTGTTTTCGAATTTTCATGCGGTTTCCTTTTGCATTATTCCATGCAAAATATTATGTTCAATAATTTCGCACGCTCGAATACAAGCATCATGGTCAAGCGGCCAAGGCGCAAGATTGAATAAGTGTCCGGGTTCCAATCCTGGTCGGATACAAAGGTATAATTTTTTTGTCTTTTTTTTTGTCTTTATTCAAGTTTTTTTTACAAGAAAATTGTACTTTTGACCAAAAACTCCGAGTGAAGCTCGGTGGCCCAAGTATAATTAGAAAATGTCGGTTTATTCGTGTTTTCAATAATCAACTTTATCGATAATCAACTAAAACATCAACTTATTTTTTTTATTGGAAAAAAAATAATAAAAAGGTGGCGTTTGGGTAGTCCTAATGCTGCTTAACTTAAACATAAACTGAAAAAAATGACTATCTGCCATCTATTGGCGAATAATAATACAATTTTTTTTTATTGCTGAATCTCGGAAACGGCTCCAATGATTTTCATGAAATTTAGTACACAGGATGTTTCGGGGGCGGTAAATCAATCTAGATTAGTCTTATGTCTGAGAATACGCGTATTTACGAGTTTTTATGCAGTTTTCTTTTGCATTATTCCACGCAAAATATGGTCGGTAATTTGCACGCTCGGGTATGAGTATCGTGCTCAAGCGGCCAAGGTGCAAGATCGACTATCACAGGTCCAGGTTCGAATCTCGGTCGCATAAAAGTTTTTACTAAAAGTAAAAACTTTTTTTTAATATTTATTCAAGTTTTGAGTTTTTTTTTAAAGAAAATTATACTTTTTTACCAAAAAATCCCGGGCTAAGCTCGGTGGCCCAGGTACTATTATATAATATCAGCATTCTGCGACAGCATATAATCCAAACTTATTCACTTTTTAACATAATATACTATATGGAAATTTTTAAATGTAAATATGGTGGACTGTATTTAAGGGTGTCAAAATGAAACTCCAACCAACGGGAGTTTTTCCTTCCTTAGCTTTTTTCTTGTCAGTTGCCTCTTCTATGGCTATCCGAAGAATGGTGCACAGTGAGCAAAACCTCGTATTTTCATTTCTAATTAACAATCTTATTAGAGTGAGTCTAAATTCTTATCATATTGTACATTAAAAGGGATAGGGAGGGTACATTAAACAACTTAGCTAGATTCTGCCGTCGTGTAGACTCATCGTCCGTAATATACATCATGAATTTAAATAACTACAGATAAATAAAATTGAAATGTTCTGTTTGTAATGTCAAAACAACAGTTTTTTACTTAATGCATATGAAGTGCATAATATACGGAATAAATTTCGAAATAAATTTTCTTTTAGTTTGTTTCGGCTAATCTCCGAAATGGCTGGACTGATTTTGACGGAACTATCACTGGAAAACAGCTGATGCTATAAGGAGTAACTCAGGATACTTTTATTTTAGAAAAAAACGTGGTTCCGAACAAAAAATTAAATCCCATGAAATTGTGAACAAAATCCGCGTACCTAGGGACGCACCCGAGCGAAGCGAGGGTAATTCGCTAGTTGACAATATGTGTTAATTTTTTTGTAATAAAAGGTTAGGTCCCCATGAGATCTTTGTTTACCTTTAGTTAACTACCTAAACCTATGTAGTAAATCGGACGGACGGACAGACAGACAGACAGACAAAAATCCTAAAAACTATAGATTCGGCCTCTGTATCGATAATAATGTCTATTTCAATAAGATTTTCCAAAAAATATTTAATGTACAGATTCGGCTAAGTTTGAATTTTATTATATGTATATATTTACCTACAGCTTGTCGAGTTAGGTTAATAAAAAATGGTATATCATATTAAGTGAACTAAGTAAATACAAAATTTTCAGGTAAACAATCCTGAAGGAAATCAGTCCGACTGTGTGGAAGCATCCAGTTTCTGTGGACTTCGGGACAGGCTGTATCCCGACAGACGTGCCATGGGCTACCCATTCGATCGTCCCTCTAGAACTGCGGCTAACATCCAAGATTTTATACTTCCTAACATGTCTCTTACTGACATTACGATCCGCTTACAAAATGTCACCGAACAAAATCCAAGGAACCCTAAGACATAAATCTGATTCCAGATAATGAATATTCATTATATTTTTATGATAAAAATTGTAATTGTAATAAGTATTTAAAAAGAAAGGCTAATAGGTTAAGTCTAGTGGATTAATAGGTACAGAACATATGTACATAACATTTATATTTTATAGCTGTAAATAGTGACCCATTATAATAAAAATATATTATTTTCATTCAAAAAACTTTTTTTATGTACCTTTTCCTTGGTAATGATAAATATAATACTTTCTCAGATTTACCTTTGCTCTATTGCTCATATCGTTCACACGCGATGAAAATACTTAAATATTTATAACAGACCTAATAAAAATAACATTTTTTTGTAAATATTTTTTTACATCTTTGTAGGTGAGTTATAACATATTTTTAGTTATATTTAACAATTTCTTATCCTATAATACTTTTAAACATATAAGTTGTTACATATTATATTTGTGTAATCAGTAATCACCTTTTAAAATCTGTAGTTTGACACCACACGATTGATTCAGATTTTAAATCTTTTTTTTTTTAAACACGCCTTAGATCCGCCATTTTTATTTTAAGTGTACTGTGTATCTATGCAATGTAACCTATGACACTCGCATTATCAAAAGAAATCGAGCGAGGTTCGAGGGTACATAGAGCCATACATACAGGAAAAACATAACCCACCTTCGAGCTTCGCCGCAGTTGACTAGGAAGTGCTACATATGTTAGTTTTGTATTTGTACTGTTTTTTAAGCATGTTCACCGATTTCTCGGTGTAGACTTGACTGATATCGCTACTTTGAACTGTATTCTTTTAAGGTACTAGGTCCCGAGGTGACATAAAATTTATATTGCCATACTTTTCAGTTTATGAAGACATTAGGTAAAACCACGGTAATGTAATGCATAAGTAACATTACCGTGGTAAAACCATGAAAATTGCTGTAATTTTTTAAATTTTACCTAGTTCTAATTGTCGTATCGACTTGAAACTGCAAGTAATTGTATTTCCAATGATAGCAGTGATTTGGATCATCAAGCAGATTGATGGATATTGGAACTAGTCAAACGGTTACTAATAAATACCATCGAGTTTGGGCTTACATATGTGGTTTGACTTCATAGGCTCAATATGTTGGTTTTTATTATTACTAATGTTTTTTTTTTAATTTTTTACCTGTCATATAAAAATTGGCTCTATTTTAAATTTAGCTGAAGAGAATATTTTATAAAAATACCTGCTTTCTTCTTACAAAGCTACACTAAAAATGGAAAAATAAACTTTAAAAAAATATGATTAAAAACCAGTCTTTCAGATGTTAAAAAAGTAAAAAGAAACCAGTTGCTAGACTAAAAAGTAATAATTTCTGAAAGAAGTTTCATTCACAAGATATTTTGTCGGTGCCAGCTGTGTGCCTTATTAAGTAAATGGGTGTTTCTTCAAAAGTGCCAATAAAATGCTTCCGGCTAATTATTTTGTTATTCTTAATCACTAAAAAAACAATGATTTATTTTTTGTTTGTGTTTAGCACTACTTTAAAAGTAGATAAGATTTAAAAGACCACTTTACGCTTATTTATATGATTTTAACTTACATAACATTACCATACGTCATTATTCTCGCATTCCGACGACGACATTTGATGCTACATGTGTCTACAAAATATTTGATTTTGAAATAAAAAAATTTAAACATACAATATATTATTCTTTAGTAAATTTAACATCATTTAAAAAAAATAATCTTGCAAAATTTTATAATTGTAAGTCATAATTAAGAATCAAAGTTTTGTCACGCGAAAATCATCATTAATCGCAGTGCACCGTTAATTGATATTTTTTACTAAACTATTTTATTTCTCAACGCAACTTAAATATATCCCCGCGCGTCTTCGCGTCCCTTATTCAACGGCAACGTTTCACCGAGTGAGCACGTGTGCGTCTAGGAATTGTAAGTAAATTTTCATCGTTCTCCAAATTTTGTCACCAGAAATATCATTTGTATTAACAGTCTAAATTCCTTAAATATGGACATTGAATATTTTCCCATTATATCTTTTAGCAGTGAGTTCCAAATGCTTACATTTTGTAAAATCAGTGCAGCTAACTTATGCTCACAAACAAGTTCAGACATGTTTTATTCTCAATTCGTCACTTTGCGTAACATCATTATTATCAGCTTTGTCGTTGCGACGAATGACATACGTTTCGATTAATGATTATGAAGTTGCCTATAATGATGATGTGGTACTAAGAATGATTTTTAAATGTAAAAACGAAAAAATTTAGACTTTAAAAGATAGTTCCACATGATTTTTCTTGACTGTGCCACAAAAGACATGGTTATCTTTGTTTATCATTGTTGTATTTGTTTATCTTTGTGTATGTATGTTTCTATGTATTAAAGATCTAGTCGTTTGTTGTATAATATTAATATCGCTGTTATTTATAGCACATTTCTTACAACAGGGCCATTAATCAAGCTAAAATGCCACAAACCAAAGAACAGCGAAGAGCACAACAGCGTTTATGTAAAAAAAGACGCTATAACCAAATAAAAAATGATCCGGAGCTGCTAGCAATTGAAAAAGAAAAACGAAAAATGCAATATCTTAAGAGAAAAGAAGAGAAAAAAGTTCTCCAAATTAAAGATAAAACGCCTCGCTTTCAAAGAGAACAACGGAAAAGATGGAAAGAAAACTCTAGAAGATATAGAAAGAAAAATAAAGAAGGAAACAATAATGAAATAAAACTGGAGACTATTCAGATCGAAGAAGTCTCGGCCTTAGGAGCTACTGAAGAACCTGATAAAAATATTGAAGAACAGGATCCTCTAAAACACGGCTCTGAATGTCCGGCTGTTAAACGTGCTGTTAGAGCAATCCGATACAAGGAACTTAAGAAAAGAAAAATACTACTATCTTTCATAAATGCATTAAAAAAGAAAAACGAGTCACAACTTAAAACAATAAGAAAACAACAGAAAAAACTACAATTTATCTCTTTGAAGTCATCGAGTACAGATATATTAAAACAACAAAAACTCAACGATAAATCAACTATAATACCAAATCATTTATCTTTGTGTCAAGCAAACCGTCGATCTAAAATTAATAAAATCATTTCGTTTTATTGCGAGGATTCTAATAGGGAGAGGGGGGCAGTTTAGTACAGAGGCAGTTTTGAATTGTTTGTTTTATGAACGGATCCTTTATCATTCCTAACCTCTGAAACCATTTTAATACTGGTAAAACCGACCTTCACATCTGTCAGTTTCTAGCTAACGTCAATGTCAGTGTAGTTTTGAATATCATTCGCCGGTTTGTTTACGAAGACCAGAGTAAATAAATATTTTTTTATTTGTAAGCAAATTACTGAAAAGGTAAGTATTATTTTCAAGTTATTATTATTTTATTGCGTTGTATATATTATATCCCAAGTATTACAAATGAAAATTAATTTGAACTCAAATAAGTTTTTCGTTCAGAGATGTTTATTTATGCAAAATGGTGTTGGGGCAGATTTGAACAAAATTGCTGGGGCACTTTTGTATAAAATGTTCAAAGGTACCTAACCAAGTAAATATCATGAGATTTCTAAATTTTTAATTGGTTTCTTGTTTCAGTCATCATGCTGAAAAAGCTGTATTATGTGTTGTCAACAATGGCATGAAGCTTATAACTGCTGCTGCTATATATAACATAAAACCAACTACTTACAAAGTTAAAAATTTTAAAGAGAATATCAAAGCAAACACACAGTTTATCAAGTTTTTACAAATGATGAGGAATATATGGTGGAAAAGTATTTCTAAGAATGTCTAAAATGAACTAAAGAAGAAGAAGAAGAGAGAATTGGCATACCAATATGCTAATGTCTTAGAAAAGTGCCCTGAGACGTGAATAAACAATAAGATTATTGTATTGAACGGATGCGAATATTGAATGGATGAAAGGATTTATGAAAAGGCATAATTTTATCATTACGAAAACCCGGAAATACAAGCTTTTCTAGACAACAGACATAACGTTATGATGTTTTATAATAACTATGAAAAAGTACGAGGAAATTTTACTCCAGCTGGCATTTATAACTTGGACGTACATGTACGTTCCTAAGACTCTTATGTTATATTTTTAAGATAGGATTCATAAAGGTACCTTCATGAGATTGTATTGCAATATTGATATTGATCTTTTTTATAACTTGTTAGTTACTTTAATCTTGTTTAAGATTGCCCCAGACTGTTTAGTGTTTTATACAATTTATTTAAGTAATAACTAGTGTAGGTATAAATGGCTATGTTCAATGAATAAAATGTAAGATGCAAATAAGTTAAATATAGTCTTAATTATATTCTAAGATACGTGGTTTTTATTTTATCCTGGTTTTACAATACTGCCCCTAGGGGTTTCAAGTGTGCCTCGCGGATGGGGCAGATTTGAAGAAAATATGTTTTTTTTTAAATGGAAATTGCGTTAATTTGGTGGGTCAAAATAAATAAATATCATTTTTATTATTTAGTATAAACCCCATATCTATTTATAAAATATAATACATTTTGATTTTTAATACCATATGGGAAATATAATTTAATAACTAAAAAGTGTTCAAAGGTGCCCCCCTCTCCCCTACAGTTGCAGCAGGGAAAAAAGAATATATAACAAGGAATAAGAAAAGAATGCAGAAGAGGTATCTAACGGCTCCATTAATTGATTTATATAAAAAATTTAAACATTCAGCTAATTCCGACATCCATTACTCATTTTTTTGTAAAAACCGACCATTTTGGGTTTTGTATCCTAAGCCTACTAACAGAGAAACTTGCAAGTGTTCTATTCATACAAACATGGAGCTGCTTGTGACTGCCATGAATAAGTCATCCATCTTGAACGAAAAGAATCCATCAGACATATTATCGACGCTGTGTTGCGATTCATTTAATACTAATTGCTTGCAAAGAGTCTGCAAAACATGTGCGTCTCGAAATCTTATATATAGAGAGTTTAATAATGAGATAGATTTAACATTTTTTGAGTGGATAAAAGTTACGAAAGAAGTTATTTTGGAAAACGGAACTAAGAAAAGACAAATAATAACACTGAAACAAAAGGTAGTTATGAAACCTATGGAAGCCATTGCAAAACTGGAAAATGAACTGACAAAGTATATGGACCATACATATAAAATTTGTAATCAATACAAAGTTATAAAATGTCTGAAAGAAAACTTAAATATTCATGAAGCTGTAGTACACGTGGACTTTTCTGAAAATTATAATTTAAAATATGCCCAAGAAATTCAATCGTTCCACTTCGGAGGAAGTCGGCAACAAGTTTCACTTCATACAGTTGTGATTTACACGCATAGTTTTATAACTGGTGAGGTATGCCTTATATCAATGTGTACCCTTAGCTCCTGTCTTCAGCATGACGCTGCTTCTATTTGGGCTCATTTAGTTCCTGTTCTTGACGAAGTCATAAGTCTTAATCCTTTCGTGGATACTGTTCATTTTCTTTCCGATTCTCCGTCATCACAATATAGAAATAAATATATGTTTTACATTATAAGTCAATTGACATCCAGCCATTCCAATATAACAAGAATTACGTGGAACTATTCAGAAGCTGGACATGGAAAGGGTGCTCCTGACGGTGTAGGTGCTACTGTAAAAAGAACAGCTGACCAGATGGTCCATTTCGGTTTAGATGTTGGAAATTTTGATCAGTTTTATGAAATTATAAGTTCAAGAATAGATAACGTTATTATAAAAAGAGTTACTGAAGAAGAAATAATTCAGAAAAAAAGATTGATTCCTGAGAAGTTGAAACCATTCAGAGGCACCCTTTCTGTGCATCAGGTTCTGTGGGATAAGTTTATACCTAGAATTACTATGAGAAACGCGAGTTGTTTTTTATGTAATGTGGGTGACGTGTGCGCGCATGGCAAGCATTTGGGATATATCAATAGTATGCCTGTGATTCAAAACGATAATGAAAATATTGATTTTGTAATTCCTCTAGCAAATACCAAACCTAAATCTGTAAAACCGAACAAAATCAAAATTATTTCTAATATTTTAATTGACGTCACTAATAAAATTAAACCTACAAGTCACGATCTTGTGGGCACTAACAATTAACAAAAATTTATACATAGTTTCATTTATTTTTTTTAGAATGTATTTCTGATCCTGGACTAATTATTATTGATGATTCGCCAACGACATTTGCTTTAAGTGATGATTATTTTATGAGAAAATGCCTATTATTTGTAGTTTTTTTTACTATTAGACGAAAGTGTTTAATAATTCGAAAACTGTCATAAATTAGAATCATATATTGCAAAAAATATCTGTTTTGTATTTATAGTCTATTTATGTTGTTAGTTTTATACTTGACCGATGTTAACTGTGATTTTTTGTTGATTGCCAAAGAATTGAAGTAAGGATTATTATAGGTTTTTTTAGTTATCTAAGCTTGAGAAAATATGTTCCTATTTAGATGTTTAAATTACCCTGGTATCCCTCAAGTAACGCGATTATTACTTATTATTACTTATTTTCAATAAATCATTGTGTGCTAAATATACGATTTTTGATTGATTAGAATTTGTTTTTTTTATAACCATTGCAATATTGTTCTTGGCCCAATTATTTAGATGTCTACATTTTAATTCTTTATCGCTAAATAGTTGAAAATTATGTTTTAAGTTCATTCTCAGCAACATGGTGTCATTGTGGTCTACGTTATAGTCATTCTCAGTGTTCGGTATCATTAGTCTCAGCACGTTAAAGTTAAATTAGTCAAAAATCTTGAAAATTATTAAAAATATAATAGTGCCTTTCTTACCCAAAGTATTGTTACTATGCAAGGGTTGCATTTAGCTTACTGAAAACGACTTACATCAAGGTTTTCTAAAAACACGAAAAATTTGGTAAAAATAATTTATTTCGAAGAATAGCCCAAATACGACAAGTTAGTAGTTAAAATATTATACATACATTTGTGATGTAATTATACATATTGAAATAGATTTACTTTCCATTGCATTGGTTCATATCATTAAGTTCTTAGCTTAAATTTTGGATTAATAATGGCATCAATTAAAACTTTGACTTAAGATAAAAATAAAACAACACCATATTCTTATATTTTTATTAAGTAATTATATATTCTATAATACATGAAATCATATCTGACAAAATACTCATTAATTTGAATTTCAATTTCACAAATTTATCGTTGTTACTTCAAGAGAATGCTATTAATAAAAAATATTAAAAATCTATATTATTTACTATGCACAAACAAGCAAGCACAAAATTTTACTGTATTTATTATATATTATCTATAAAAAAATCTATAACTCGTAATAAGAACTATTATATAAGATAAAAATTAATCTTATTATAGAATAGTAAAAATGAATTATTGAATAATTATTATCTTACCATATCCAATAATTGTGATAAGTACACCTAAAAAAAACAAATCATGTAAATAAAAAAGTAGCAACTATGCTTATTACTAAGATTAATGTGAATTGTATCAGACCTATCATTAAGTAATTATCATATAGTTATCATAAATACACATTCGGCTCGTGTAAGTTATCATCATATAAGTAGTAGCTTTTTTATTCTTATAAAATGTCATTGAAACAATCTATATTAGATAAACCCTAATAAATCTTACCTCTAAAATCCAATACAATCCATATCCAATTCCAAACTGTAAAGAAAAAAAATAATCGATATTATTTTGGTTTTATTTTTATCTTAATCTTTAAAAGTGAATTATCTTTATCAGACCTATCATTTAATATCATGTGTTAATCATTTAAACACATTTCGGCTCGTGTTTTTTGTCATCATTTATCATATTTTAAGAATGGATAGTAGGAGCTACTTATCTTTTCCAAATATTGATATTGCAATTGAAAGGACGTCAAATACCGATAAGGTTTATCGATGAATTTAAGTAGTATACTTATTTAACAAGTAACAATCTTATCTTTATAGGAAGAAGCTCAAGCGTGTGAAATTTAAGCTTTTTCTTTTAAATTAAAAAAAATAGAGGTTAAGCTACCACGTGCTGTGAAAATTTTCCGACATATTTTTTAAGGAAATAAAGATTACTTCAAACCTGTTTTATCTCGATAAGTTTCTTCAAGTTGACTCCCAAAAAGTAAATTAAATAAAGAAATAAAGTTATGTTGAAGAACCAATGTCCTCTTCACTGCAAGTTTTATTTGTCATCCATGGTTGCAACACGTCTAACTCTAAACTCAAAAATCAAAATGAAAGCTAAAGTCAAAAGTGTAAAATATTTTATAGATAAATAAATCATAATTGAACTTCGAACAGTGTTGCCGCTTTACGCTTACGACTTATGGCCGGTTTACACGTGTTAAGTCGTTTAGTAGTTAACTATATTTTAACTTAATTTTAAGTGACTTATATTTTATATCTGTCCAAACGTGTTTAGTAGTTAAGTAGATAGACTCTTTAGTTGTCTTCTCCATTCTACGTGACATTGGCGAAGTAATCTGTGCTCAATAAAAGAATTGAATTGAAGCTCTTTATTTCATTCAAGATTTATTTATTTATTTGCAAGATATGCCAAGAATACATTGTACCTACATTCTAAATTATTATATTATAAGATTACTTATTCTAGTACAAGCATTAATTATAGGCATACACCGCATTAATTACATTTCCGGCTTTAAAACAATAATATATAAAATGTTAAATACAATTTCTAATAAATATTCATAATAGATGAAATTAAATTAAAGAATTACACATATTAACTACTATAATTAAAATATCATAATATAAATTAATGTTAAAATTAGAATACTATGAACAATAAAAATAATTATTAATAATTATAATTTGAATCAACTATACAATTATAGTTCAGTCATACAAATATATATTTTTTTGAAGTTATTTAAAGTGTTGTTAAAAATATCAATTTCAATGCCATTGTCGGTTTTTAGTAAACTATTCTACGCATTAATTAAACGGTTTATTGGGGAATATTTGCCAAGGTTGGTCCTGGAAGTGCTAGGTGAGAATATATTTTTTATAGGAAATCTAGGAGTACAGTGCGGGACATTAACATTTATTTGACAAAGAATTGACATTGATTATAGCAAAAAGATGGAAAATCAACAACGTAATGAAATCGTAAATTCTGTGCTTAAATTTGTTTTAAGCGAGATAATTCATGCTTTTTACGTTTCATAAGCATTCTTTTTTTAAATATGCTTCTTATCAAAAAATAAAAGAGAAAAAAATTAAACTTAGCACGTCACTACTTAAACGTGTACTAAACTACTTATGCGTTTATACTAAATAGTAAATAGTACTGTCCAAACGTGTCAAGTGACAAGCCCCGCCCACCAACTAAACCGAAAAAATAGGAAACATTCTAATTTAGTAGTTAAGTAGTTAACTTAATTTTAACTTGCAACTTACTACTAAATTGTCTGTTTACACGCAAGTAATCACTTAAAATTAAGATAAAATTTAGTTAACTACTAAACGACTTAACACGTGTAAACCGGCCATAGAGGCAAAAAAGAAGTCGCTAAAGTTACTGGCATCAAAAACTCGCCAGATAAATGGAAAACTTATTAGTTAGGTACCTACGTTGTAACGCTTAGTACAGATTTATCAGAGATAAGATGTTTTCCCGCAGTAAAAAGTATCCTATATGTTGACCCGGATAACCAGTTATCAAATTTCATCAAAATTTGTCCTGTAATTTTCTCGTGATGCGGTAACAGACAGACAGACAAAAATTCTAAAAACTATAGATTCGGTCTCTGTATCAATAATGGCACGTTTGGGAAAAAATATGAGAGTAAATTTTTTACGATGTGCGAAGTATAACTACGTACGTACATAAGTACACACACACACACACACACACACACACACACACACGCTCACGCACACGCGCACACGCACACGCACACACACACTTTGTTTTTGTCGCTAAATCTGAAACAAAAATCTCCAATGCCGTTAAAAATCCCCTAGATTTAGCGACAAAGTCGCTAAAACGGCAACACTGACTTCTAAGCTCGAAGTTTATTTGTCATCCATGGTTCACAATAACCGCTAAGACTAATAGTGATGTAACACAATATTATCGATTTGTACTATTACAAACCGATGTTAAAATAAGCTTGTAAAATAATATTGATATTGAAACATGACTTGATATTCTTATTTACATAAAAAATACATGTACATATTTATAATTGAATAATGTTTTCAAGCCTTGTTTGTTGACCTTTAATCTTTATATATGTGTTAACTGTACTAACTACACATGGTGTCTTTAGCTTTAATATATTGTAATGAAAAAAATTGTAGTGATTTTAAAGCAATTTGCTGTAAACCTGATTTGAAGCATTGAATATAAAATAATATTTATTTATTTTATAAGTAAACCCGCGTTGACACGCTTAAAGTCTGCTTTGACAAAGTAGCTTCGATCAAAGTTTACTTGGATACCTGTTTACATGCTCAATGTCAATATGGCCGTTGCAGCGTTATTTGATTATTTAAATCTATTTATTGAAAATAGGAAATAAAAATCATGCATTCCATTGAACGCCTTTTAATGTCACTATTTTTCTTTTTGCAAAATATGTCACAAACGTAATTAAAAAAAAGTCAATAAAAAGTCTTAATAGAAACAGAAAAATAACAAAGGACGCGTGTATGTATTTATTTGTGCCTACATCTGCTTTGACAAAAAGTTTAAAAACGAAGTTCTCTTTGATAAAGTCCACTTTGATTGAACGCCGACGTCAAAGTGCGCTTTGATTGCTCGTTTACATTATCAAAGTTGCGTTTCGTTGCAGCTTATATAGCCGCGTTGACACGATCGAAGTATACTTTGACAAAATAGTTTTGATGACTACAGTCTACAACTAGTCTTCAAGTTGAAAGTTACGAAGATGTATGACAACAAGACAAGACAAGACGACAAGACTACAAACAGTTGCAGCGGCTGGCAAAGAAATTTGTTGACCAATGTCACTTAGCCGGCGGACGTTTGCTAAACATTTCTATTAACGCATCATTGAAAAATGTTTATTTTGTCGCTCGGT